TCCAGGTAGGCATCGGTGATCTTCTCAATAGGCTCGACATCGTACACGGGATTGATGTTGTTGTAGTTGTCGTTCATGTCGATACCCACTTCCTTGAACGCTCGCTGGGTCAAAAGGAATCGCTTGATACGGGCCAGCGTCGTACCGGGGGAGTCGTACGCCTGTTCGATCAGCGCCAGCTCCTCTCTCTGGCTCTGGTTGAGTCGGCCCTTCACGGAGTAGGCCTCCCGGAGACGTTCCAGGGCCAGGATCAGAATCTTGGTGTCGTGCTTGTAAGAAACGCTAGGGAAGGGGATGGGCGAGAATTTGCGGGACTCCAGCCAATGCACCATGGTGGTGTAGATGGCCACAGCCTCCTCGGACGACACGTAGGGACCGTCCTTCAGGTAATTGTGCTGCCGTTCTTGCTCGGCCTTGAGCCACAGTCGGGTCAGTCGGCCCAAGTTCTTCTTCGCAACCGTCTTATCCACCGTGGCACCACGGCGGATCCGCTCACGGTTGTAGTGGGCGACGGAAATCCACCAGTCGGCCTTGCTCTTGACGTAACGCAGAATGATATTCTCGATCGGCGCCGGAAGACCGGGCACCTTCCAGGGGATATTACTCTTCCAGCATCGCCATGCCTCCGACAGATGTTGGAGCACGGTGTTGACCTTGTTCTGCTTGATACCCTCGGGCATCATGTCCATGAGATCGGCCATGACCGACGCACGCAGTTCCAGATCGAAGTGGGACTCGACACGCTGCTTGGTCACGGTCTTGGCAACACCCTTGCTGTGACGACCCTCGAACTGACGAGACAGCAGGTTTCCGAGCCATCTCTCGAGCAAGGGGATGATACCACGCATGAAGAAGAGCCAGACACGCCAGGCGGGCGCCCAGAAACCGCATCCGGGACCCTTACCGACCGGGCCGGAGTTGAAGCGGTAGTAAATCAGATGCTTCAGGTCCTTGCACGAACGGATCTGATGCATCAGCTTGTACTTGTATCGGTACATACCAGTCAGCTGTCCGACGTGGTTGAAAGCGTAGAGGATACCGTCGGCCAGCTGGAAGGCATCGATGTTACCCAGACGGTATTGCACCTGGGCATCGACAATCAATTTCGTCAGGCGCAGGATTTCTCGCATGAGATGGAACGCGTTTCCGAAACGAGACTTCTTTCGCTCTTTGGTGGTCAACGTCTTGACGGGCTTCAGGTTGAAGTTGTAGTCCAGATGCAGGTAGGTCAGGTTCTTGCGGTGAATGAGCAGGTTGAGCATGTTGAAACCCTGGCGGCAGACCTGCAATCCAGCCTCAACCCAGTCGATGGTGGTCTGCTGGAAGAACTTGGTCGACTTCAGCGTCTTCAGCAGGTTCTGCTTACTCTGGGCCTTGGGCTGCTTCTTGTGCAGCTCGTTCAACACGTAGGTCTTCAGGAGCTTCTGGTAAGACACTCGGACCTTGACGGGCTGGCCCTGCGGGCAGTGTTCCAGGTACCACTGCTTCACGAGCGGCACGTCCTGGGCGCGAACCATCTTGCCGGATCGCTTGTTGAAGGGATGAGGGGCCCACCAGAGGGAGATGGCGGAAGCCGTTTCGGGGGTGTACAATTCCTCATCGGCGAAGAAAGGCTGGGCCTCGGGCGGCAGCTCGAAATCGTCCTCGCCATCCGGGCCAAATATCTCATCCTCATGGCTAACCGTGATGTTTTTGGGGGCGACAGATCGGGAAGAAATCGGATTAATTACAGGGTCGAAGTAGAAGGCGGGGAGATTAGGATCTTCGGTGCGGACATATACAACTTGAGGGTGAGAGTACCAAGAAAGCTTCACGCTTCTCGGGAGGGTATTATACAGGAAAGGATATGCGACTCTGTACTCGGTTCGGATGGGAGCGCGGAAGATGATACGGTCGATGGCGTTGAATTCACTGAAGTCCTCGTCATTCGGATCGATGTCCTTGTAAAGCGGCTCGAAGCGCGGGCCACCGGGAATGGCGACGTTCAGGGCCTTGGCCGTGAAGAAACTGTTCAGGTCGAACATGTGGAAGTAGTTCTGATCGACGGTGTCACTGAGCAGCTGGTGACTTAGTCGGTAGAGCGTCGCCATCTGCGGCAGCGTCAAGTTCCACTTCTTGTAACTGGGCCCATTGACATGAGGCGTATCCAGCAGCGGGCGCTGCTCATAGAACCATTCGTACACCGGACCGTCTTCAGACTCGTCGAGCTCCATCTGAATCGGCTCCAGCGGCTCCACGTCTTCGATATTTTCCGACCACGACAGCGGCGGCTCCTCGTCGTCGAACGGCGGGAAGCGCATACGCTTGAAGTGCCTCCGATCACTCTTCTCTCGTCGCATGCACACCCACATGGTGGCCCACTGGGCGTGGAAGACCGGCTCGATGACTCTCGGAGTCTCGTTGACCAGCGTCAGACAGCCGTTGACGTGGTAGAGGACCTTGACCTCTTTCGCCGACTCCCACGGCATGGGCATGTTCTCCAGCAGCTTCAGAACGGCATGGGGCATGAACTTCAGCGCGCCCAGGTAGCTGCGCTTCTCGTTGCTGAACTTCTTCTGCGACACGTCGCCGATGTCCCGGACGATCTTCCGCAGATGCTCCGGGGGCATGTCGGCCTTCTGGGTTTCGACGAAGCCGCCCTTGCGCTTCTCTCCGAACCGGTTGCGTTGCGTCCGCAGCCAGTCGTTCTTCTTCTGGGCGAATTTCGCGACAGTCGGGTCCGCCGGGGGTTGATAACCGGGCGGCGGCGGCGCCAGAGGCATCGAGGGCGGTGCCGATGCACCCCAGCCGGGGGGCGGGGGAGGAGGCAACGATGCCATGATGGATAGTTGGATGGAGGGGAGGAAGGATCTCGATCTCTCGATTCGACGTTGATGCTGAGTCCAAGTCGCGTCAGAGATTCACGTCGGGAAAGATCATCAAGGGTCGCGCGAGTTCATCGGCCAATGGGACCCAGGATGGAGAAAAGAGGAGGTGTTGCGTAGAAGACGGGGCAGAGAAACGAAACAAAACAATGACAACCCCGAAGCCAAAGAAACACCGAGACGTGACCCCTTCAACGATGGCAGATAAGGCCCTTCACCTTGGCAAGTTCGACAAGCTTGAAAAGAGGTGGCGGCTCTGGTCGGAACGGCGCTAACCGCATCGGGGCTAGCGCAGTCTCGCCAAATTGGCGCTAGCGCGGCAAACCCACACAAAGTCCAGAATGCCCGAGAGCAGAAATCTACGAGGTTAACGACGACAACCGACGACCGCCGCCGCCAAACTTCTTGACCACCGACGTTGAGGTTCAAGGACAATCAAAATGGCGAACAACAGATTGCAATACGTGAGTTTCCGTCCTGGGATTTTTCGTCTGATGAAGCCGCCAAAACTAACCATGTATTTTTTTTAAACTTGTAGCGCCGCCGGAACCCGTACGTTTGAGAATTTTCCCCTCTACCCTGAATACCTTCATTTTTGATCACCTCTGTCGCTACAATTCTACGACATGCTCGTTCGATATCTGGAGCGACAGGGATTCATCCAGTTCCACCAGTGGACTTTGTGACCAGGATATTGACGGGACTTCTTTTTCGTCTACAGGTACAACACGCGGTCCAACAAGGTTCGCATCGTCAAGACCCCTGGCGGCGAGCTCCGGTACCTCCACATCAAGAAGAAGGGAACTGCTCCCAAGTGTGGTGACTGCGGCATCAAGCTCCCCGGTGTGAGTGCTCCCGGTTGATTTTGGTTTTTAATTTTCATCGAGTGAGGTTTTGGTGCGTTGTGTGTGGACGGGACCCGACCCAAGCGATCTCTGGAGGGAGTCAACGAGACGAATCGAACCAACAGAGGAATGGAATGGGATACGGGATTTGAAGAAAAAAAAATCAGACACCACACTACGAACGCCAACCTCATCTCGAAATGGCCATTTCGAATCTTCTACCAGGGTTCTACCAGAAACTGACGACGTTTTCTTCCTCCTCTACAGATCCCCGCCCTCCGTCCCCGGGAGTACTCTCAGATTTCCCGCCCCAAGAAGAACGTCAGCCGTGCCTACGGTGGATCCCGCTGCGCTGGCTGCGTCAAGGACCGTATCGTCCGTGCTTTCCTGATCGAGGAGCAGAAGATCGTCAAGAAGGTTCTCAAGGAGTCTCAGGAGAAGGCTGGCAAGCGCTAAGCGCGATGAGAAATTGAGAAAAGAAAGGAGAATACCTTATTACGGATGATCGGTGTTTGTTCTTTAAAGTGGGAAGCGAAAATGGGAAATTAAAAGAAATTTTTTTTATGCCCGGTTCATGGTTCTCTTTTTAGACAGTAAGATGAACAAAGACCACGGCTTAGCACGACAATGTTATTCTTCCCGGTCGTGGCCCAATGAATTTTCTTATTCTTATTGAGGTTGCTTGGTAGTATGGCTTTCTTTCCCAATCTTTTCTACAGCGCCAAACGCGGGGCATAAAGAATGGAGGGGCATGGGGGGAGTCACTCCAGATTCCAGGCCCATTCAAGACGATAGGACGATAGGATGATAGAATTGGGCGTGAAACTGGTGTCCGTCTCGAGTCGACCCGACCCGACGAACCCGTGCCATTGTCAACCATGCAGGCAGACAGTACCATGATGGCTCCGACCAGACCATGCCATTGACCACCACGTCAAATCCTCCCCGATGCCCTTTACCTGCAACATGCAATGCACCACCAGTCTCAAGGCCGAGGTTCTAGCCCTTGTAGAAGCGCCCAAAAACCCAGAAACCAGGTCCTCTCGTTCTTTATTCTCGCGTCTCGTCGGTCCACGTCGGTCTGTACCCCTGGGATCTCAACCTTAACAGAGTCCCATGCGCTATACTATAAGACGATGCTGGTCTATAGTCTATACTATATACTACATACTATATACTGACTGGCAATACCGGCTATTTAGTCTCTGAGGGGTGCAGGTGGGCACACGTATGGATATATATTGTGCAGAGCAGGGACGTAGCCAATGCGACACTACCACTACCACCAACACCGAAACCAACACCCCATGTCCTTAAGACTATTCAATAAATGTATAGTGCCATTGAGCATTGCAGCACATGCTCGGTCTTTCCAGTATCTCCCTCCTACACCATGCAATGCAAAATACCACCAAGAAGTAAGTCCCTCCAACAATTCCTATAGGACCACCATCTACTCGCATATCATGGCCAGCACAGCAGCACACGGCAGAAAACACGGGACGGCCCAGCACGGCATCAACATAGGCAGGACCTGGAGGACCAGCACGCGTGGCTTCAAGACACTGCTAAAGTGAAAATGAAAGTGAAAGTAAACCTCTTCCATCCCTGTCCCATAAGCCGGGAGGGAAAAGAGACGCGAGAAAAAGCAACGAAAGAGAAGACAAACCGAGAAAAAGAAACAGCGGTATCCAGGGGCTAGTCCAAACGAGAGTAAGAAACTACTGGTCCGATGTCCATAGTATAGTTTTGGAATTGGGTCTGGGTTGGGACTTTTTCCCTTCGCTCTTGACATTCTCGTTCCTTTTTCGGTTGGGAGAATGTGAAGGTGAAAGTTCAAGTGAAAGTGAGACACGAGAAGCAACTAATTTAAAATAGCATAATATAAGGCAGGTAGGTGTAGTAAGTACCCACGAACTAGTTAATCCCCAATTCTGGCACAGCCGAGCGATGCAGCGAAACAATAAGATGAGCGAAAGCCACACGCCCATCTGCACCTGCTGACCTGGCCACAGCCAAGACCAAGACCAAAAAAATCCTCTAAAGGTGGGAAAAAAAAAAAAAAAAGAAAAAAGAAACCATGGGGATGGTCTGGTCTGGATCGGAGTCTTCCGCCCCAGTCCCCGGCTAGTTAGATAAGACCAGCTAAGTAAGGACATAAACCTACATGACAGAAGCAGGTGAAGGGAAGGAATTGCAAATAAGACCGACACCGACTGGAACTAAGGACCTACCTACAGCCTACCTACATACAGCAAGTACTTACGGAGTACATTAGATTGGATCCAGCTGAACGGAGGGCTGGAGGGAGGGTGGTAGACCCTGGCTAAGTAGGGTTTTCTGCTCCAGCGTAGGATTTTCTCCCTCGCCTTCTCGTTTCGACTGCATACGGCGTCTGGGTGAGAACCAGGTCTTGCTCTGCCTCTCCCACCCCCGTGGCCGCGGATGGAGCTGTGGATGGAGATGCGGATGTGGATATAGAACTCCCACCCCGTGTACCTGGTTCAACGTCCGAATCCCAGCGCAGGGCAATCGCAATCGAGATCACGATCACAATCTCCATTGAGATCAACCGGACAGATAACATAACTCCTGCTCTCTGGCGCCGTAGACCCTCTGTCCCCTTAGCGCACGAGCGAGCTACGATGAAATGAGATGAGATGAGATGAGATGGCATCATGTACTACATTGGACCGGAACCAGCACGCCAGACAGACAGCTCTGTACCACCCTCCCATCCCATCCCTTGCCACCCACCCACCCGGCAGATAAAAATGCTCTTGTCTCCGGCATCTCATCGCGACCACAACCATGACTGCTATCCCGTGCTTACTACCCTGTCAAGCATAGCCTCGGAGCCGAGCGGTGGTTGGGACCTACGTAGTCTGGCTAGTGGCATGGAGGCTACCTACGCATACTGGTACATGCATACATAGACGTATGTATGCAAGCGTGTTCGTCCTTTTGTGCGTGGACATGACAGGCAAGGCTCGAGAATGAGGAGGGGTAGAGAGGCAGATACCCAGGGGATGGTTATGGGTAGTCGAAGGGAGGGTGCAGGAATGGAGAGATCTGTGCTCTGCGTCTGTTCACCGTTAGAGGAACTAGTAACTATGTAGTATCTCCCTAGAGTCAGATGAAGAGGGGAAACTAGGAGGTATAGAGGGTCGACAAGAAAAAGGGAAGAAAAAACACAAAGTACGGCGCGGTACTTTGGCAGACCAGACAATCAAGGGTGAAGGGAGTGACAGGCGAACACCAACCTAACCTAACCTACCTGCCTACCTACCTTACACAGCAGCGCGCCAGACCGAAACGAAGCCGAAGGATGACATCCCAGCGCGATGTCTGTGCAGGAATGGTCTGCAGCTGACGTTGGACAGGATAGGAGGATCCCCTTCATTGTTCCCTTCCCTTCGGTTGCGAAAGGGACTGCGAGACTGCTGTACAGTCGATCGTGTTTATTTATATTCCCGGGATGTGATTGGATCCTTCACTGGTGTCATTTTTCTCTCCTCTTTTTTCTTTTTCTGATTATTGTGGCGGCTATCTCTGTTAATTTGCCCCTGGATTTGGAACCTTCGTCAATGGCTTCAGTAATAACAGACAATCCATAGATTAATTCCTGCAGGAATCACTCACCGAGGACATCTCCCGTGGCTAGATAGGTAGGTGGCAAGGCAACACGAGCCTATCTCCTGATGGACCGTGGACAACCTCGCTAAACGCCCGATGATGAGATGCGACTGTCACTCTGTAACCACTGCCGGAGCCACATGTACCATGGCTGCAGGCCCATGTTCAAAGTACGGTTCCTTCGGTCGCCATCCATGCCACCTCCTGGGCTGCGTGAAGCGGTGAAGAAAGGACGGTCCTGACGACGGCCTCGTTTCGAACCCCTGCTCTCTAGAATCATTGATACTAGTAGGTAACTATGTAGTATTTATTTCTTACTTCAATTGCACAGGTGCTCACTCCCTCATACTTTGCAAAGTACGGAGCACTCCGTACTTTGTGTACCTTTTTTTAATTGGAAAAAATATGATAATTAGTTAATAATTAATTAGCACCATCCTCTCCAACCCCCAAGATCCCAGAGTAGACGAGAAAAAAAAAAAAAAAAAACAAGGTCGGACAGGATTCTAATCTCGTCCGTCCAAGCTCCCTGGGAACGAAAAGCCGACGTGATACCAGCCTCGGGCGCTACCGTGATGATACCCAACCCTGAGACACTGCAAAGTCCTCTTCCTAGCAAGTACTTCCTGGTTGGAAAAAAAATAAAATAAAGAAAGTCAGATAAGGTCCGGCGTTAGTCTAGCCGGGGGAGTATGGGAGGGTGTCGCAAGGTCCCGGCCGGAGGTCGGATCTTGTCCACAACTGCTGCTAGCATCAGAACCTACATCGACCTGCATTGGAAGGTGACACATTCGTGACAGTTGAGGCATAGCGGTAAGGGAAGACCAGAAAATGAAAAAGAAAAGGAAAGGAAAGGAAATAAGGCAACCTGGAAGGCAGCGGGTTAGGTCGAATGGGGATTAGTCGTGCGCTGCGATGGAGGAGGGGAGGCCAAAAAAGGGAAATGGTCTAGAGTGTATGAGGTATATCAATCGGTGGGAGTAATCTATTTACGACATGGAATTGAATGGAGGGGGGGGCAGGTGAAACAATCTAAAACCGTGATATCGAAGTGATAGATAGATTGAGGGTGAGGAGGGGGGTGTGCGGGATAAACTACTCCAGAAGCAACTACTTGGGACTAACTACTCCGTGCTGCCAATCCCGGGGGAAGGGCAGCCTGTCATGTGGCGATCGCCTACGACTTGACACCACTCTGGATGTACGTGCCTGTGCAGAAGGGCGCTAAACTCTCAGCTAACGATGTAGCTAGTGATAGGGTACCGGAGAGGACAGGATGCCTTGTTGGGGGAGCTTTCTCGGCGCAGCAGAATCTGCCTCCAGCATGTCTGTTGTCTGTCGTCTGTCGTCTGTCTCTGACTCTGTCGCTGTCTTTCTCTCGCCATCGTCCGGAGTATAGTCACCCGCGAATCGAGACGGACACGGTGGCATCCAAGCGAAAGGAATTAGCTTTGGCAAGCATCAACCCGGAAGCTTAGCGAGGTCAACGCAAGTGCGTCCGCATCGATTTAAACACTCGGCACGGCCCGTTTGAAGCCCGGGAAGTCAAAGTGTCGTACTTTTGTCGCACTACTGTCGACTTCTGGAAGATCACCTGCGCCATTTTCCCCCGTCTTCCGAGGAGAGAGGCCTAAGGGGTACTTGGTTAGTCTGCCTATCAGAGGAAGAGCCAGGAAGAGCAGGGTTGGAAATGGCAGGAGACCCACACAGGTCGTGAAGAACGACCTGTTTCTTCATGATGGGGCTGTAGACCGGCTGGAGAATGGGATTCGAGGGAGAGAAGCGGCGGGGGGGGGGGGAAGAAAACCGGTATAGATCGTGGGGAATGCGTTCAATAGAGCCCAGATTGTGTAAGAGTGCATCCCGCGGATCCAGATTGCTGAGCATTCTACCCCGTCAGGATGGTCACGATCTCCCGGACGAGACATTTCCTGAATCCTGACCGACATCACCTTACTCGCAGCCCTTCACGGGACCAGATTGGATCGAAGCCGGTGCCACCACCCTTGCCATCCAGATGGTTCAGCCGGTCAATCCACTCAGAAGAGGTTGCGCGCGCAGGGGTATGCTGCTGCTGGCTGTCGCCGGGTGGAGGAGATAGAAGAGGGGAGAAGGAGAGAGAGCATGACGCCGTACTCATTCCAGCTGCAGAATTAGTCCTTCGCGTTTGCGCCAGCTGGTTGCAGGGAATTGTCGGCGCATATCCTATTGGCTCCGAAGGACCGCTTTCGTAGTCTAGTGTTGTCGTGCTGCAGTAGGGGGAAGCATAAACGCAGCTCTCACACACGTATTCCCATTGGCACCAGGTCCTTTTGATCCGCCCGTCAAACCTACTTGCAGGTCTGCCATCGTGACGCCGACCCGCTTGGCCTGAATGGTAGCGCTACCATTTGCAGGCTGTCAATTTATTTGACGGGTTGGCACGGTCGCTACCGTAGATTTCTTGTTGAACCCTCGTTTCTTGTGTTTTATTTTTATTTTTAATTTTTTAACGTGAAATATTATTTTCTCCCATGCGTGCACTAGAATAGCCGTAAGAGAGACATCGGATAGGACCTTTGGAACGAGGACTTACTACATCCAGAGTAGTTCAAACCTAGAAAGGTGAAGTGGTTCGATCCGGGGCTCTGGCTTATTGCTCAGAAAGTCCCACGAAGAGTTGATACATGAGTAATGAGTATAGAGTAGACCCACAGCTGTCAAAAGCATTTCCAGGGTAAAACCGGCTGACAGACGCACGATCACGATGGGGAACGACGACCAGGGGCCTGGTCTTGTTCTCGTCTCCCCCTCTTCCAGGTTCCAACCCCAGGCAGGGAGAATAGAAAGGGATTGTCGTGGTACACAATTGACAAGGCACAATGGGAGATCGCATGAAGAGACCCCGGTTCCACTATGATTCACATCATTTGTCATCGGATGCATGATGCCCAGAAACTACTCTGGCGTGCCGAAGAAAACCCCAATGGCCGGAGGCGAGACGTTGGTCGGTTGGTGGGTAATACGAACCATTGAGATGTCATGGAGAGAGGGAGAGAGAGAGGAAGATCTGATTGGTAACCGTTTCTGTTGTTATTTTCTGTTATCAGTCGTCAGTACCGGCAGCCCGGTGAGGACGAAATTCCATAATCCAACAGGAAAAAAAAGAAAAGAAGAAAAGAGAAAAAAAAAGGGAAGAGAAGAGAAAGATAGTGGGCCCAACAGCCGCGGCCGAAGAAAAGCAATTGGCGATGGAGGGCGGCACGTTTTCCCATCGAATCGGGGGACAGTGATCGATCAGGGGATCTTGATTTCGCCAGTAGTTTGGTGGAGAATCAATAAGCAGAGCAGCGAGTCAGTACTTCCTATACTCCATCGTGCATGCAGACAGACATCGTTAGTAACGGAGTAGTTACATACCTACTATCGACCTCACGATGTCGGTGGTGTGTGAGGTAAATGAACGGGATTAGGACGAGTCGAATCATTGGGCATCAACTATCAAGTGTGAGTCAGAATTGAATTAAAGACTTAATTGAACCAGCGCAGGAGTTCTCTTCGGCGGTGCCAGAGAGGCATCCCTGAGTGTATCCCTGGGTGTATAGGGCCGGGATGGGCCTCGACGGGCTGCGCGCCAATCACCGGGCCTCTTGGGAGCTTAGCAGACAGATTACTATCGCCTGGGTTCGGTCAAATTCATATTATGCGATTATTGTTATTTCGCACCCTCCGACGGGTCCGGATGGATTTATTTTTGGTTGCTTTTCCCATCGGCGTTCTCGTCATCGGCGCATCATTCATCTGCAGAACAGGCCACGCGTTGCATGTTGCAATTCCACAACGCCACACCGGTGTAAAAAAGAATTCATATCAAATCCTGGGAAAGAGGAACCTCCTCTGAAGACAAAGGAAAAGTAACAAGGGAAGAGAAACGAAAGACTCGGAAAAAACCCGTAATAAACAAAATTAGAAAATTTTTCAAAGAAACAAATCACCCCCAGGGGAAAAAGAAAAGAAAAAAAAAAAAGCAATAACACCGAAAATGTGACCCCGATGGAAAATGCATCGAATAAGAAAGCCCAGCAATGACAGGCTATTAAAATGGCTAAAGTACATTAGATATGCAGGTGGTCGGTCAGCACGGCCTGAGCCCCTCCGGTTATTCCTCTGGACCTATAGGCCTCCAGAGAGTCGTTATACCCCCAGGTGAAGATCCGATGAGATTTCGGGCCCCGTCAACAGCCCATGGGGAAAAGGCTGCAGCACGCACCAGCCCATGAATCCGTTATCCATGGCCGGACAATCCGGCGCAGGCCCCGCCATGTCACAGAAAATCGGAGTGCAGGGAGGGGCGTCAGCGCACCCGACGACGCTCCCCAAATCAAAGGGCTCGACGGACGGGCGAGTCAGAGGCGGCCCTGGCACATGGAAGGGTGACACCGTCGTCGTGGGGGACTGGTGATGGTGGTAGTACTGACCGTACAGCCCTTTCGGCGGTCGACGCTGGCACGCCAGGCGTTGCCGGCATCGCTCGCGTCGCAACTCGTCCTGGCTCACATGGCCTCGAAACTTGGCAGTGATTTTCGTCGCCTTGCCTCCTTTGGCGCCAGATCGTTGGCGTTGAGGTGCCGGTGGGTCCGACCCCAGCGTCTTCTTGTAATTCGCCTGCTTTCTATACCGGGTTGTAGATTGGATGCCGTTCTTGACGGCTTCGTCCGTCAGGCGCCAGTAGTTGACCGATTTCTTGCCGGGCACCGATTCCTCTCGAACCGCCTCAAAGCCCTGTCGCACAAAGATGTAAGTCTCAATCACAATACGAGGGGGTGTTTCTTTTTCTTTTTCTTTTATCTGTCGTTTCTCCACTTCCTTCCGTGCGTCTCTCCCGAGAGATAGATAGGAGAGATACGTACCGCGTTCATGGACAGGTTATGACGAATGCTGTTCTGCCAGCCTTTGGAGTTCCGGTCCTTCCCCTTGGCCGTGTTTTTCACAAACCAGCTGTAGATACCCTGGAGGGGCAGCTTCATGTCCGGGGCATTCCGTAGAGCTTGGTAGATCAGTAACGAATAAGGAGGGTCCGCGTTGGCATCCTCTTCGGTGTCCTCGGGGCTGGTCTGCATGTCGTCACGCTCCATCCCCGGCTTGGTGCTAGAAGGATGAGGCTTGCTGCTGCCGTGCCCGGACTGGTACGAGGCGACGGAGATGGTGGGCGACGGCGGTGATAAGGTCGTGGAGGGATAGTGTGTTCCAGAAGCCTCGGGCTGATGCTGAGGCGAGACGTGGGCGCGAGAAGAAGCGTACGAGGAGGGGTCCGGATTGAAAGTACTGCCGTCTGTCTCACGTCCCCATTCTGGAGGGCCGTTGTATTCATGGGAACGACGCAGGCCGGGCTGCAATGGAGCCGTGGTGGAACTGGGCGCCATCAACGAGCTCGGCCAGCCTTGGTCGTAGGGAAACACCCGGGGCCCTCCCTCCGCCACCGTCTCCATCGGGGGGTGAGATGGACCCATGGAGTAGCTGGGGGGCATTCCAACGGCGCATGGGTGCTGGCAGGAAATCATCGACCCCGGACTGCGAGAGTTAGAGCTCGTCCAGTTCTCGATGGTCGAGCAGGGGTTGCTATGGCGAGATGTTTCCCCCAGCGCGCCATCAGAGACCGACGACGAGCCGGCCGTCTCTGTTCGTTTTGAAATAAATTGAAGCGGAGTCGCTCGGCCAGAAGGAATCGGACCTAGCTGGAAGTTTGAAGAGGGCACGTAACGGTCCATCCTGTATGGTCGTTCTTCCCTTCTCTTCTTCACAAAGGACAAGACAAGAAAGTGTAGGCTCTATCCAACTGAGGAGGTCTAAGCACGAGGAGGGGGGGAGAGATTATTAGAATAACTTTAATGGATTTGTACAAGGTTCGCCCATGCCAGGAATTAAAAGGTTTTGATAGTTGTAGGGTAGAAAAGAGAAGACCGGTTGGGCTAGAGAAATGAAGAAATTGAGGGGCTTAAACAAAATCGATACCAAGAAATTAGGATAATAAGAAGTAAACGAAAGTCGAAAAAAAAGAAAAAATAGAAAATAGAAAATAGAAAATGGGAAAAAGAAAAAGAAAATAAATGCAGGCAAGAAAATCAAATGGCAGAGGGATAGACCTGTGTGATCGCTCAGAATGAGGGCATTCCATAGATTAATTGAAGCTGTAGGAGTATGCCAGCTCATACGGCCGTTCTCTCTTGCTGCAAACAGCCAGCACCATGCATTTCATGTTCTCGACAAACAAATAAACGGTCTAGAAGGATGTCTCAAGTTGAAAAAAAATGGAAAATGGAAAATGGAAATTAAAAAATAGCGCCGGAGAGGGAGAACGCAAGGCAGAGAGAGAGAGAAAAAAGAAATTAAATAAAATTCCAAATGAAGACCGAAATTCGAATAAAAAGAAAAGAGAGCAGAGGAAAACATCCAAAACCAAAAAGCAAAATGGCATTAGACGCAAGAAAATTAAAAAATCCCCATCATGTGCTCTGGGGATGTTGTGGATGGCGCTGGAAGTGCTTCGTTCTACTGCGGGAATCGCCTCCCAAGCTGTGGAACGAGTCGCGATTCAGGTGGCCAATAATTTCCAGGGCCCAAAGCAGAGGCTGGATCTGGTGCTACAGAGAGGGGGGAACAGCTGCAACGAAAGTGTTAGTGGCTACAACGCTTGACAGCCGGGGGTTGAAATCGGCCGGAAAGCTGCAGGTCTGGTCGGCCATTGGCACCGGCCACAACCCAAGAGACAAAGCGCCAGCGTTTCTGGGATGGCGACTCTCCTGGCAGCTTCCTGGAACGTCCTCAATGGTCTTTCATTCTATCCTGCAGATCATCAAGCCCTTTCCCGCTTCCCCGGCCAGCCGGAACCTTGAAACGAGGTGTAGACGGCGCGGTGGCACCGTCACAGTCCCTCCTGTGCCCCTTATTCCGTGAAGACAATGCGCCTAGCGTGTGGCACCGGGGAGGAGAGGGAAAAAAAGAAAAAAGAAAAGAAAAAGGGCCCTGAAGGCCCTGGGCCACGTGACCGCTCGAGAAGAGCGGTGGCGAAGGCAATCGACGGTCGTTTGGACGCCGGACGGGAAGATGAAGCCCAAGGGAGACGAAGCTGGATGGGAAGTGAAAATAAGAGTGCGATGGCGGCGTCACACGTGGGGGCGATGACAGGCGCATTATGTACTTGGACGGCCGGCAGATGATGTGTCTTAGCTCTGGGTTGATCTCTTGGGGATCGAATGTCTTGCGAGCGAGTGGTTAATATCCCAGTCCAATGACAAGTCTACTTCGGTCGAACAGTCCCAGCGCTCCGGATATCAAAGCCACACCCGACTCTGACTCCGGGCGAAGGATCCTCGTCCATACAATCATACAATATCAATGGATGACCCGATTGAGCATTAATGGAATCGTAATATCAATTAAAATAAATGGCCATCCTGACAATCCCAAAAAAAAAAAAAAAAAAAAAAAAAAAAAGGTCCCGGTGGCGGTCGTCACTTGCGATAATAGATCTAATCGAGCCAAAGTCAGCTAGGTCAATTCCCAGAAAAAGACCTGAAAGGGTTCACTCACTCGCTTGAATTGGAAATGAAGTTGTAAAATCCCCTAGCAAATAAGTCAGCGATTGCTCGACCGAGTGGAATTAGCCCGTTTATACACATACCTTGTCGAAAGTACTCTTGAAGCCTCTCTCTCTCTTAGCGCTGTAGTCCCATTCCTTGTCGACAATTCGGAAGGCAATGTCTTCATACGGCGGACCAGCCATGAATCGAATGAGACAAGTATCTTCTTCCCCGGCTGCGGCGAAAGACTGGCCGCGCTTTCGTCCATGTTCACGTTCTATGCGATATGTCGGGGCCTTAGCCTTGTCGATCAAATCCGGGTAGAAGATGTTGAACTTATAGCCCTGAACAACCTTGGGGGGTGGATTGTCGTGATCGTAGTGGGTTTGGTTGTATTTGTTCCATTCATAACCCATCTGGACTCGGTTGAAGTATCGAGGCTTGCGCGGTCGGTATTTACCGGCCCATTGCGGCCGTGAGCTCGTACTGACGGCTTCCTCGCCCGTGAAAATCTCTTCGTTCTCGCTAACACCCTTCGCAAGCTCTCTTTCATATAGAGCCTTCGTGGCCTGTGAGAAGTCCTCGTTGGGGATGGCAGAGAAGCGAGTCGGTGCGGTAGCGACTGGCACATTCGACGTTTGATTCACAGGGGCAGCCGAAGACTTTTCGGCCTGTCGCTGACGCAGAGGGACGAAACCCATCTTCAGAATTTTTTGACGATCCCGGGCCTGCGAAACTAATCAGTACAGTGGGGGTGGTAAGAAAAGACAATGGCGAAAGCAACATGGCTTACCACTTGGTCCAAGAAGGCTGTCTCATCCACTATCTCCAAAACCTTGTCCTCCGGGCGGACCTGGAGCAATGGATCGGGGTCAAGACCCTGGAACTCACGCTCATCAAATCCAGGCTTCTCTCCAGGAGCTGTTTGGGCAATAGGAGCTAATGGCGCAAGTTTTGCGCGCACCGATTCCGCCTCTTCGCGTTGCTGATCGCGAAGACCCCGAACACGCTCGTCTATAACGGCTTGATAGACGTTCTTCAGCTTCGCACGAGCCTTCCAGACCGAAAGGCTGCGTAGAAGTTCCTCCCAGTAATCGGTATCGATAGGTTCGTTGGAATCCAACTTTCTCTTGACGCTGACTTCAAGGGCCTGGAGCTGCTCGTATGTCTTTGGACTCAACAGTCGGTTTATATCCGCGGCAACAGAGCTGATCGCACGCCCTTCCGGGGCGGCAGTCTTCTGACGGTCGCGACAAATGATTTTCATGGTCTAAATGAAGAAAATACCGGCGATCAGCTTTCCACACCTTACTCGAGTCCAACAACCTTCAAAGCACATACCTTCCAGAAATCCCTGTTCTGCGAGTTTGATTCAAGGCCCACGAATGTATCGATATCCTTCTCTAGGTCGCTCAATTGCGTCGGCGACAGTCCCTCGAAAACACCATCGGGATCCACCAGGTCAAGATCCGAGTCCGCAATTTCGTCGTCGAGGGGGTTCCTCGTGGGATCGATCACTCGCAGGGTCACCGTAAGCCAATCGATGGGCTTCGCGCGTCCCTCTTTGACTCGGATCTCTGCTTTCTTTTTGGCCTGTTTCAAGACAAAGATGTCTTCCTGCGCCACCCACTCTCGCTCTTGTTCGTCCTCCTGCAGCTGGTTGAGCCGCACCTGGTCTCTCATATTCCGCGGCTGGGATTGTGGAGGCCCGCGTCTGTCGTCCCTCCGCCTGTCGGAGTCGTATCGATCTCTCTCGTCGTATCTGCGGGGGAGCTTCTGGGGTTGACGCGACGGCGATCGAGATCGGCTTCGTTTCGCACCTGACCTATCGGGGAGTCGCGACGCCATAATGACGTTGACGGCGCTGTGTTCTGTACGGTGAGCGGCGATAATTAATATAATCTTTTCGTGGAGAAAGGCCGATAAACCATGAAGGTTGGCATGTGAGATGATGAAGTTCGAGATGTTTTCCAGAGCTGGTCCGGCCGCACTCCTATTTCGGAAGGCTTAGCGGGTCGGCCAACCTTCCCGATCCAGTGCCTTGCTCTCACTTCCGCCAGCGCATCGGCCGTTGCCTTCCAAACTACATCAAAACAACCACGCCGTGCTCTGTGTTTAGCACCACAGTTTCCTTCTGTCCATCTTCATGGTCTGCTCCTAGACATGTCCACAAAATGGCAGCGACTATGTCCTGCGAATCAGAGCGATTTGCCCCCGCTTCTCTTCAAGTATCACTTGACGTCAGACGGCTACGAGCTGTACATGACTGATCTGACCAACGTTTGGTCTGAGCATCTATCCCGCCATCAAATTCTGACGCGAGCCGATGAAAGTGCGGCTACTATCGACCCAAGCGAAGATGCAGAGCAGTATCAGATGCTATTGCAAAAGATCGGCGATGCGTTTCACAACGAAAAGGACACCCACGTGACCCTGGATCATAAATCGCCAGGAACTGATACCTTGAGACTAACCACATCGACGAAACTCCCTGGACCACTGAGACCACTAGAATGGACTCTTTTTCTCGAGAAGGAACCCCAGTCTTTGTTGGCGCAGTATATGCTCTTTCCGTTGATCAAAGCGGAAGCGGGCTGGGAGTCCCGACAACAGAATCTCATGGATCAACTGAAGCGGAAAGATTGGATCCTTGGTAAACTGTTTGACAAGCTTGAGTCCGTGGGCGTTGACCTCAGCACTATCTTCCCGGGAGTGTCTGGTTTGCGAACGGTTCGAAAGGGTGCGACGCTGTCACAGGCCGCCAAACACATCAGAGGCGTCGCACCTTTTGACGAGCATGCCTGGCTCGATGAACAAAACCAGTCATCTTCAGACACAAATCTCGCAGCCAACCTACTGGCGGAGCTGTTTCCTACCTCTGAGGCTACGGCACAACCAGAATCACCTCATCCGCCTCCAGACGGATGGTGGCACGGACTATCTGCGGCCAGCACTACGGCACTCCCTCAGCGTGACGATGTCAAAGGAATCGAAGAGCCCGAACCTCCTCAGGATGGCGGAATGACAGATACTGCCTCTGGTATTGATACAGATGATGAATTTGAAGTAAGTTTTTCTCGTCATACACACCCTAGCATAGTTGTTTAACTTTAGATTCCGCTTCTCAGCGACAAGAGACGCCTCCGAGATTCAAACGTTCCAAAGACACCAAGGACAAGTCACCCGACGCCAGAAAGTTGCAAGCGCCAGAGCAAGATTTGAAAGCATCTCCGAGTCCTTCTCCACGCAAACCTCCAACCAAAAGATCAACGGGTCTTGGGAAAATTGGAGGACCAAAGCCAGCGCTGACGCAGGCAGCAAGGTCCTCGCCTTCACCAGACCATGAGCCGACGATAACATCTGAACCGACACGTACATCGCCTACTAATAACGATGAAACGGACTCCGGCTCTGATTCAGATCTAGACGGAGGAAGACCAGCACCAAGCAAACCGACCCCTCAACCTCAAACTACTTCACCAGCCAAACCGCGAGCGCTTGGGCTTGGCCGCATTGGCGGACAGAGAAGGCAGGAACAGAAACAGGAATCCCCCAAACATTCACCTTCAGGAACCGCGACCCCAGAAGACGACGACGCCAAAAACTCCCACGTTCAATCTCAAGAAAAGCCCTCCGCCAAACCACGAGGCCTAGGAACCATCGGCGGTAAAAAGAAGGAACCTCCAGCTCCGCCGGCCAAATCTCCAGAGCCGCAGCAAAGCACCGACTCCTCGCCCTCTCCTCCAAGCACGAAACCGAAACCAAAGCCTACGGGAAGCAAACTCGGCGTCATCGGCGGCAACAAGGTCTCCAAAAACAGCGCCTCCTCAGCTCCCGCTTCCCATCCCCCAAGCAGTAGTACAGCATCTCGCCCCAACCCCATCGCAGACGCAGACACCGAAACCGAAGACGAGAACTATCCCCCAGCCAACAAAGGCCAGACATCCAAACCGAAGAGCTTCGCGAGAAAGTCTCTCTCACCTGAAGAGCCTAAACACCAACCAAGACTATCAGAGCCCCGCGCAAGCGAACCTCCCACGGAGCCGGAAACTGAAGAACAGAAGGCCGACAGGAAGCGAGAGGAACTGAAAAGGCAATTGCAGGCGAAAGCTAAGGCGCCTGCGAAGAAGAAAAGGAAGTTTTGAACTACGAAGCTGTTTGTCTCTCTGGGATCTTTTTCTCCCTCGTTTTGGTTTTCTCTGGTTGGTTTCAAGTGAGCGATTTAGCGGGTTGATATCTATCTGGTATTTATGATGAAAATAGTGGTTTTGTATTTATGTGGCATGCAATGCCAGCATTGGGCTTTTGGCATGTACTGTTTTGCTAGGTTATAAATAGCCTCGACTCGTCTGTGTAGGCTTAGTGTGGAAACCATTTGGCACAATCCGGCCTCCTATGGTGTTTAGTCAATAAGAGAAAGTCGATGTAAATGCACACAATTGACAATGTCCCGTGAGTTCTACTCGGTCCATAAGTCAAGGCAATAAGATCATATAACACATTATGAGACTAGAAATACATGGGTATATTCGAAGCTGATGCCTAAAGCAAAGAAGAGAAAAGAAAAGATCGCATTTACCGCCAATGACAAATAAATAGGACGTCAAGATCAAGATCAGCCGGTCAAACCACTGCTACCCCCCGTACTCGCACGAGAGGCGGCGCTTCGCCGCTTCCCCTGCTCGCTAGGGGTGACCAGTCGTACCTTTTTGGGCGACATCAAATTCGAGGAAGTCGCGCTAGGTCCTGCATTGCTCGTGGGCGACGCATTTGTTCCACCCGATGTGCCAACGCTGAGCATGCCCCGAACTTTTTCGACCGCTTTACTTTCACCCCGTGACCAAGCATCTCGCTTCACAAACCCGAACCCAGATTTCTTGCTGACGGTGTCACGCTTCTTAGACTCCTCGAGTAAGACCGTCCGATTGTGTTCTCGGCGTGGGCCGGGACCGCAGTCGTGCATGCAGCCTGGAGTGGCACATCCGCCTTCACTGGCAGCGATATCATTCAGCCATGTGCCGATGCAAGCCATGTGACCTCCGTGGCCGCAGCCTTGACACCAGGTCCAGAGGGTAGATCCCTTTGGTCGAGGAGGGCTAGAAGGATTCAAAAGATTCTCTTGAATGTGCTGCAATTCCGACGGTGGGATCGGTTCAGTCCGGAGTGAAGAATGTGACGATAGAAGGTGGGAAGGAGCCTCGGACTCCCACTCAGGACTGGAGGGCGACGGGGATGCGGTTTGTTCAGCCACCCATTCTGGGGGCGGATCAATGCTCATGCAAATTGTACAGGGTTCCTGGGGGGTGCTGCAACGGTAACAGCGACGATTGTCGTTTTTGGGATTCTCATACGGCCGTTTGCACGTAAAACAAAACACATTCATGTAAGTGTCGACCTGGGCATATTCATAGACCGCCGGATAGCACGGCGCGCAAAGAAGTCGAAGTTCGGCCGCTTCAATAGGCATCGACTGGCGGACAAGTTGCTCGTTATAAGCCTGGTAGACAAGCTCGCACTCCTCGCTTGGAATAATCTTCTCGTGGTCCCGGAAGAGGATGCGTAATTTCTGGAGCAAATGAGCAGCGGTCTGGACATCAACATGGGCACCACTATGGTAGTGCCTGGTTGCTTGCTTCAGTAGAGCCTCGGCACTCCAAGGCTTGACGTCTGTTCCGTCCGGACTGATGGGGATTATAGGTCCATCGAAGTCATCCCCTTCACCAGGTGCGGTCCATGGCACAGGGAAAAAATCGGTCTCAAATTCTTGGTCGGGTGATTTTAGAGGGGTGGATTCCTTCAATAGAATAGGGGGACTAGAAGGTCGTTCGAGATGGATGTGACCAGAATCTGCAAGTTCTTCTTCAAAGGGTTCATCTTCAACTAGATCCTCTTTCTGAGCGGCGCCAGAGCCCAGCATTGACTTGGATAGACTTTTACTAGGTGTTTCGTCCTCAAGCTCATCCACAGGATCAGTAACGTTTTCTGATACACCGTACAGCCTCGCTGAGGAGAACGACATGCCCAATGATTTAGAGGGATGTGAGCTTCCTGTAGATGCAGAAAACATCGGGAAGCTCTCGGTAGATTCGTGACGATGAAAGGCTGGGGGCTTTGTGGTCTCTACAGGAGACTCGAGGGATAGAACTTTCTTTGGAACCGACTTATAGTCTCGGATAGCCGCCCTCTTATCTTCCATCTTCTGGTCATATTCATCCTCCTCCGAAGTTCCCTTCGTATAGTCGGGATGGTTCTGCGTGCGCCAGTCTGTTCTCCCAGCAATTGCTCGCGGTGCAGACCTCTGGTCATTTTCGGGGACTTGGGGCAGCGAGCCGAGCATTGCCCGAGAATGCGGACTTTCGCCTGATGAATGGCGATGCTGTAGCTGAGCGATGGGGCGAGGCTCGGCGTCAGAAACGGAAGACCAATCGTTGGAATTCATCGTATCGGTGTTAGAGCTCAAGACGGAGGGCGGCAGCGGTTGAATGTTCGAGAAATCATTCAAGGATGTCATGTGGGAAGCAGAGCTGTCAGAAGACCCGACGGGAGAGTCGGGCAGAGGTTGCGCCAGAGGAGTAGTCATATTTGACGCGCTCTCGGCGTCTCTCAGCTGCTTCTTGGACGCTCCGGGTTCCAACACCCCCTTGAAAAAGCGTGTTTTCATTTTATCCTGTCTCCCGTCTTCTAAGCCTCGTGTTTTTTCCGCAACAGGCCCTTCGTCAGACAGCTTCTTTTTGACCTTGCGGGAGCCTTTCTCGGGGGCCTGTTGCCGCTCTCTGGCTTGAAGTTCAAGCTCTTGGATAGCGGCAAATTGGATGATGCGCCATGTTTGAGCCAACTTTATCAACGAGGCATCTTGTGCGGACTGCGCGTTGCGAGTCAGTGACTCCAGGAAACCGCGGAAGCTATCCGGAAGCATGCCATCGAAATCCCCGAGCAGTGGGGAATAATGACGAGCCAGGTGCCGGAAGACTTCCTGGCTCATTGTAGCACCTGGGATGTTTCCGGTCATGCCCTGCTGATACGGACCAGGAGGCTTGATCTTTGCCAGCACGTGCTCAAGCGGGAGGACCTGTTTGAAATCCGATGTACCGGGCGGGGTTCCACCCAATGATTTTGACGGTCGAGCACTGCTCGTCGACTTGGTATGTCGGTGACGAATCGAGGCGAAAGAAGGTTCATCGAGAAGGTCGTCGACAGGGCTTTGACTAAGCACCTCACCGCCGTTACTCTCCTCCTCTTTATGGCCTACGAATTCGGTGGTGCTGAGACCCAGTGTGCTTCTCCTGGGGCGCTTCTGGACGAATGCAAGTACGTCACCGGTAGGACTCCACGCCACGGCACACGTTGGTCGTTGATTGACCACCTGAGGTGCGTAACGCACGTCGGTCTGGGTAAATGCACCGGACTCGCCGGCCGTCCACAGCAGGTCTTTCGAATGCCACAGCAAGTCGGTGGCATGTGAGTCATATCTATCAAATTCGCGGAAGGGTATGTGCGGCCGACGAAGATCCCACAGGTGAATACGCGGATCTTCTTTGTCATAGGAAGTCACCACCTGGGTAGACTGCCAATCCCCGGTGCTTTCCGGCTCCCGAGCCCAGGATGGCGGGCGCCACCGTACGTTTAGGACTGCTTGCGGGGTCCGAAATTGAAAAGTCGGCTTCTGTCTACGCTCCGCCGAAGACGAGAAGTCCCACACCTTGACCTGCCTGTCCGTGCCGCCACTAATGATGTGCTTTCCATCGGGGTGCCAGTCCACCGAGAAACAGGGTCTGTCATGGGCTGTGATTCTCATGGCCGGTGCATTCGTTTTCCGAATGTCCCACAGTTGGATGGCGCCGCTGTCCGTAGCGGTTGCAAACATGGACGCGTCACTAGGCGACCACCGTATGTCCCGGATGGCATCGCTATTTCCGTTGAAATGCTCCTTGCTGCCACAGACCGAGGCACCCCGCTCTATCGAGGGTACGCGCAGGTCCCACATCCGGATGGAAGAATCCTGGCTGCCGGATAACAACAGATGCGGTCTATGCGGGTTGAAAGCCAATCGGTGGACCTGGCGATTGTGCCCCTGAAACCGGCAATATTCAAGGCCGGTCCGGTGTAGATCGTAGAGCACAATGCGGCCGTTGGCCACGGCCGTGGCGATGATCTGGTCATAGGTACCATGTGACCACTTCACGTCTCTCACCGTCAGCTGGTCCTTGTGTCGCGCAGAGAGACCACTCCCCACATGGTGGGTGGAGGAGTAACTGATGATGGCATTGCGGAGATTGAATTCCTCGGACAGATGATCAGGTGAAACGCGAATGGTTTTGAGGATTTCTTTGCCTCCGATTACTGCATGTGTCCGTTGGGGAGAAATGTCCAATGCCGCAATTGGTATACCCGTCTTGTGGGTAACCGTCTGGGATGTGCCGGGTCTAGTTAGGGATGTTAGAACAAGGTTTCCAAAGCACGGAGGATTGCGCGGAGCTCGAGCATCCTTAGCATTCTCAGTTCACGAAAGACAAAGGAACTCCGGGAGAGGGAATGATATTCCGCGGAGGTCAGCAGTGCGACGGGAGAACGGGAAGGGTTACAAAAAAAATAAAGAAAAAAGAAAAAAAAGAAAAAAAGAAAAAAAAAAAAAAAAAGACGGCGGAAACGAAATTGAATTCCAATTATTCTCAATGCTTCCCCGGTGGATACACAAAGAAAAGGGGAGAGGGATGAAGGCTGGAGGCGGGGAAGCTATACAAAGACTTGGACCTAGTAAGGCGGGGACCGGCAGCGAGGTCTGCACGTCCCCCTGGAGTTTGCGGACTGGGAGGTCTCGACCCCGAAAAGAACGGCTGGGCAAATCTTGCCAGGGCGCTGGCGGCGCGGTTGGAATACTTGTGACCCTGTTGCACGGGAGCCGGGGGGGGAGGGGGAGGGGGAGTCGGCGAGGAAGAGCTGCCTCGAGTGGGCAGTCGAGGATAATCGGACATAATTCCTACTCGATCTCGACCGCTGAGAGGCCCGTCAACCACGACTTAACCCAATCAGGGTCGCAGCCCCATGGTCGCCAACGGTCCCGGGAACAGAGCAGCGCTGAAGGGGAGGGGGGGCACAAACAAGAAACTCAAAGCATGAATAATGGCGAGAATAATAATAATGAAAATGGCAAAGGTGGTGGGGACCAGGCAAAAAGAAGGAAAGGGGGAGGCGGAGCTTTTCGCTCGTTGGAGTTGGAGGGGGGGAAGGAAAGATGACTTGGGAAGGAGCCCTGGTGATTGATGGATGGTCAAGTGCAATCACAATCCGCGCTTAGTCAGGCTGCTTGTCACTTGCCTACGGAGTAGGCGTAGGAGTCTACATGCTACATTGCTATCATAGGAAGTATGGAGTAGGGAACAATCATCAATTCATAGCATCGTGAATGGTGACCTCCTACTACTCCTAAAAACTACTACAAATCACCCATCGTCGAGTTCTTTTTATAAAGTGGCATCAATTCTCAGAGTATAAATATAAATCAAAAAAGTGGCGAGAACGCGTGATGTGCGGGTTTAGCGCCGTTTGTTTGGTAAATTTAGAAAATGGAAATGACGAAACCGACACCGGGTGTTTGCCTCGACCGAATCATCGGCCTGAAGAGCTCTCCCTCCAATACCAATCAATACCGGTCTTCTGTGCTTTCTGACCTGTCCAGCTGATGATTGATGGAGGAAAGCGAAGAAAACAAAAAACAAAAAAAAAAAAAAAAAAAGATTTACGGGTACCCGATCGACCAACGAGATAGCAAATGACACCTAAGGAACAAATACCGAGGGGGCGTGAGGTGTCCATCCAGGACCCGGGGGTTCTTCATTGTCTGGATGCAGACAAACCGGTCTTCACCAACCACAGCGGGAGAAAAGAAGAAAGAAAAAAATTAGGCCATGCAGGTTACAAGGCGGTGTGTGGCCAACCCACATGTATTTTATTTTTTTTTTTTATGGTTAAACAAGGGTCACACCTCCAGGGTGGCTTTTTCTTGCCCTCGCCCGAGTGTGAGAGAGACCGACCATCAGGATGCGCATCAAGGATACGCACATAATAATAGTCGGGATTCCTCCAGGGCCGTCTGTTCCGGTCATGTCTCAAATCGGGACGGCACAATAATGCAGGATCAATACGTCCGTCCATACTCCATACGCACATACACACGGTACGACATACCTTACCAGCGACATGTTTTAGATCATCCGGACACTCGGGACTCCAAGGTGGGACAGACTAAACGACTCGTCGGAGTGGCATCCTCGACCTCGCGAAGAAGAAAATCAGGCGGGATGGACCTGGGAGAGTCCAGATGGGGATTCGAGATCGTGACGCGATGGCGGTGCGCATGTTTGATGATGACAGCTGAATTGCCCCCCCTAGAGCATCCAAGCTCTCGCCGTAGGGTTCGGGGCATGATTGGATTCGTTGTTATTGACGGGGTCTGTGATATTATTGAAGAATGACCCTGCCCCTGACAGTGAGCTCAGTTCAGCCACTGCGCAGGACGCCAAGCGGAATCCTTGCGACTCCAGAAGGGCCGAGACGAGCGAGTCCGGATGGACCATGCTCTATCAACTCGTCGCCCTGATGGATTAGATAGATAGAATTCCTCATGCAAACAAGAGAGATCGGGGGGATGACCATGTACATGTACGTACGTATGTATGGACATGCCTACATACTCCGTAGATATCAGTCAGACGGATCTAGTGGGTAATCGAGAAGATGATCTGTCTCTTCGCGTTGGAAACGCGACTAAACCGCGTTGGACATCCCTGTCCGCCGCCGGTCCAGTCATCCCTCATCCCATCCAAGTGATCCATGTAGTGCAGCTCAGACCATGTCGTCACAATCCAATCAGACCGGCCTTGATTGACATCGCTATCAAATCCTCTGAACGATCGGTAAGGTCGGTATCAAGTAGTAGCTCCGATCCCTCCAACCATCTGGCCTCGAGATCTGTCACGGCCTGCAAAATGCCCCCTGCCTATCTACTCCGGAGTACGGTATGTAGGTATTTATTCATCTGACATGTGTGCGCGGCGCGCCTTTTATTTTCTTTTCTTTAATTTTCTCGATTTTTTTATTTTGATTCTTTTTAATGATTATTCTGTGGAGGCATTTTTCCCTCCCTTTTTCCCTTCTCGGTAGTCCTTGGGGTACGGCGTGTGATGGTACACAAGCACCATCGAGATGACCTACTTTGTACTCTCATGCTATGTACCATGCCTTTGCCGAGTCCTAACAGCTAGCGAAGACATACTCCGTACGGAGGGCGTAGCATGGTACTAGGGCCTTTAGCTTCCAGTTCGTTACCCCACAATCCTCGAGTCCACCCTTGACCTCGACCTCCCATTCGGATTCCTTCCCAGGCCCTGGTTTAGATCATGACCATGCGTGGTATGATTGACATCCTTCTCATGGGAACAAGAGGAAAAATCCAATCCAATCCAAAGCATTCAGCCGAACCTCCATTCCCATCCCTGCTCTCATTGGGCACGAACCTCTTGCCTGCGATCCAATAACCCCCCCGGCCACCAAAATGTCGCTGGTGTGTCTTTAATAGATTAAATACCGGTCCAGACAAAATAACATCCTGGACGGACAAACGACTAGGTAGTCACCTCTGGCTTAGTGAGTAGGTAGTTTGATCCTTTTCCAAGACACCTTCCGATGCTGGGTGATAAGACCAGCCAGGAAAAAGAAAAGAAACCGTTAAAAAACCTCCGATTTGCATCCCCATCTAAGGCGAGGGGAAATAAATCAATAATAATAAAACATCCAGGAAACTCCCGCCATTTCATCACGAAATGAAATAAATAAAAATAAAAAACACAGCCGTTTAGGGTGGATATACCTTTTTTTTAAAAAAAAGACTGCAAGATCCAGTTTTCTTTTTTTCCTTTTTTTCATTTTTTTATTTTATTTTCCCTTTGCGCTTTTTTTTTTTTTTTTTTTCCTCCCTCCCTAAACTTAACTTTACCACATTTCGCCTCCAAGAGCCACCCAAGCTTAGCAAGTTCTGGGTCAGCTAGTCCGGTCTGGGTAGTTTCTCGACCTCACACCGTCATTCTTGCTCGACCGTCAATTCAAGCAAGTTAGTTGCTATTTGTATTTCCCAACGATCATTTCCTCTCGGGTGTCTGTCTCTCTTCTTTTCATTCTCTCCTCCTCGCTCTCTTCCTTTCTTTCCTTCTCTTTCCCTTCCTCTTCTCTCCTCTCCCTCTCTGCCTCTTTCCCTTGTCCCTTCTTTCTTCTCCTTTACTTATTTAATACTTCCCCATCTTTCCAGGGTGTGCAATTCCCTCGACCTTGTTTTGACTTTCCCTCTTCATATAGCCTTTTTTAGTTAATTCACGCGTATTCTTTTCTTGTACTTATTCCAAAAGAAAAAGTTTCTTTTTTCCCGCGTGCCTTTTTTTTATCATTTTCTGTTTACTTTTTCTCTTTTTTTTTTTTCTTTTTTTAACCCCGTTTTTCGATCTTTTCATTCATTCTTTTACGCCTCGTTTACCCTAGAACTTATCTGAAGACACTGCTGAATCCCAAAAAGCAAGAAGGAGAATCCTGTCCCACGTGTCTGCCGATCTCTTCTACAGAATCACCAAACCCCGGCCCTCCCTCGATCGACGGGTGCTTCCTCGCCATTGTCACCTTCCAGTCGTTTCCGATTCGAGTCCGTCCGCCTCCTTGATATCCGCCGTCTTATTCTCGTGGTCCTCGGTCTGAAACGAAAGAACGCGGTCGCTGTGTCATGGAAATATCTTGATGGTCTTCTAATCGTTTGGACCCTGCAGGAGGATTGTTCATCATGGGCTCTCATTACGCCACCCGTGAATTGCTGGAATACCTGCGCATCGGGTATCCCATTTTGCTCCTTCTAGTGTTTGTCTCGTCTTTCATCGCCAATTCTATCGTAACTGCCAGAAATGTCAGTAAGAATTCGTCGGCCGCGCGCATGGGTCCCGGGGGGAGACCACTTCCCAAACGATCAAGGAGCTCGGCAACCTTCGTCAAACCGGCCCAGCCCTTTTCGCGAAATGCCAAACTTCTGGTCAAATGGCTCTCGGTGGTGATTCTGGTGACGCTGGTGGCAGACGCTGCCATCAACGTAACCCACGTCATGCTTGCCAGGTCCGAGCAATGGTGGTGTGGTCAATCTGTAGTGGTGAGTTTCTTGCTACTCTCCCTTCAATCCTTGTTTCGCTGTGCAGAAACCCCGGTTTAATTGGATTACATCTACTCTTCACATTTGAAATTGGCCGCGCTAACCCGCAACCTGCAGATCTATGTTGTAGGGTCCTTCTTTGTCTACGCGGTCATCTTAATCTCCTTACTGGATACAAACCCCTCCCCTACATTCGCGCAGTTCATCCCGTGGTCAATTGCGGTTCCTATCGAGATGGCTATCTTGGGCGTCTCCCTTTCGATCCATGCGGATGTTCATCACGAGCCAATCGTAGGAAACCCCGTGGGCGGCCGATTGCGCAAGGGCATGACAGCCTGGGAGTCAATGGAGATTGTGTCGAACTGCGTCAGAATACTGGTTCTCGCGATATTGGTTGGTACCTACATGATCAAAACAATGAGCGTCAAGTCCCATGTGCAGAAACCTCGAGGCCACGCCAACGGTGCCACGGAATCCACGGGATTGCTGGACCCTTCCCACGCGGAGAATGGAGATGGTTATGGCTCCGTTCCGAACAATCATCAGCAGCAGCCCTCCAAACCGGCCGCCGATCCATGGGTTCGGCCGACAACTGTCCCTTCCACCAGCTGGTGGGAGTATCTGAGCGGTTATTCCCTATTTTTTCCGTACCTCTGGCCATCCAAGTCCCGTCGTCTACAAGGGGTCGTGGTGGTCTGCTTCTTATTGATTATCCTGCAGCGCGTTGTCAACGTTCTGGTTCCCTACCAAGTGGAGGTCATAACCAACGCATTGGCCAAAGATGGCGAAGAATTCCGAGTCCCATGGTTTGAGATTTGTATGTATATTCTCTACCGTTGGTTGCAGGGCAACCAGGGACTCATCGGGTCGTTGCGCTCCAGTCTTTGGATTCCCGTGAGCCAGTATTCTTACATGGAACTCTCGACTGCGGCTTTCGAGCATGTGCATGGTCTAAGTCTCGATTTCCACCTGGGCAAGAAGACCGGTGAAGTCCTCTCCGCACTGAGTAAAGGTAGTTCTATCAATACGTTCCTGGAACAAGTGACGTTCCAAGTCGTACCCATGTTAATCGACCTCTGCGTTGCCATCGTATACATGCTTATTGCATTTGATGCTTACTACGCATTGGTTGTTACTATTGTTACTTTCTGCTACCTCTACGTTACTGTCCGCATGGCGCAGTGGAGGGCGGAAATTCGCCGGCAGATGGTTAACGCGTCTAGGCAAGAGGATGCCGTGAAGTAAGCTTCAACCCCCTACACACACTGGTCCCTTCTATGTGTACTTACCTGGGACAGGAACGACTCGATGGTGTCCTACGAGACCGTCAAGTATTTCAATGCGGAAGATTACGAATTCAGTCGGTATCGCGGTGCTGTGTCCGACTATCAAATGGCGGAATACCATGTCCTGTTCTCACTCAACCTCATGAATACAACCCAAAACACTGTCTTCATGCTTGGTCTGCTCATCGCATGCTTCATTGCTGCATACCAAGTCTCGCTTGGACAGCAAGATGTTGGCAAGTTCGTTTCCCTTCTTACGTATATGGCGCAGCTGCAGGGGCCTCTGAACTTTTTCGGCACTTTCTATCGCTCAATTCAGTCCGCCTTGATCAATTCGGAGCGATTGTTGGAATTGTTTAGAGAGCAGCCCACGGTTGTCGATACACCCGGTGCTGCGCCTTTGCCCAAATGCAAAGGCGACATCACATTTGAGAATGTTCAATTCTCCTATGACACCCGCAAACCAGCCCTTAACGGGCTGACCTTCCACTGTGAGCCCGGAACGACGACTGCTCTGGTTGGTGAATCTGGTGGTGGAAAGTCGACGGTGTTCCGACTGCTTTTCCGGTTTTATAATGCTGAAAACGGCCGCATCCGGATTGATGACCACGACGTCCTAGATACGACGATAGATTCGATACGGAAGCACATCGGTGTTGTACCGCAGGACACCGTGCTTTTCAACGAGACGCTGATGTACAACCTGAAATATGCCAACCAAGACGTCTCGAATGAAGATGTTTACGATGCTTGCCGGGCTGCCAGCATTCACGACAAGATCATGTCATTCCCCGATGGATACAACACCAAGGTGGGTGAACGTGGTCTACGGCTCAGCGGAGGTGAGAAGCAACGGGTGGCCATTGCTCGTACCATTCTCAAGAACCCTCGCATTATCCTTTTGGATGAAGCAACTGCCGCCCTGGATACGGAGACGGAGGAGCACATTCAAGGAGCACTCTCCACGCTCTCTCGCGGTCGTACCATGCTTGTCATTGCTCATCGACTGAGTACAATCACCACGGCCGATCAGATCCTGGTATTGCATGAGGGCAAGGTGGCTGAAAAGGGCACCCACGACCAATTGCTAGCTCTGAAAGGGCGGTACGCCAGCATGTGGCGGAAGCAGATTCGGGCGCAAAGGGCAGCGGCAGAAGCGCAGGTGCTTCAGGACCGCGCCCAGCGCTTGCGGAGTGCGTCCGCCACTGGCACAATGGGAGATGACAGCTCGAGTCAGTCCGACGAGGACCGAAATGGCAATGCCCATGCTCGGCAGGCTCATGGATACTCATCCAGTAAGCTGGCTGATGACAGCCGGAAGGGTTAAAAATCCCACCTTTCCTTTTCTTTTCTCACCTACTTAGACAAGGTTGATAGTATCATCCGGTTACATTTTTCGTCTATAAAGAAAGAGGACAACTTAGAATGAGTCGGTGACACCATTCTCGGGTTTTTGTTTTGAACGAAGATCAGCGGACTCTTCGTCCTTCTCCTTTTCCACCTTTTTTCCTGTTTTCTTTTTCCTTTCTCTTTATACTCATTCTCTATATCTGTTTTCGAATGGCGTTTCTGAGTGACTCACGACCTGCACGACACTCTTTTGTCGATTCATACGAAACCTGGCGGCAAAGCAGCCAGGTTGATTTGGTTGGATGCGTGGATAAAGTTTCTAGACCAATTGCACCTGAAATATGTTTACGATGGTCGCCTATAGTATACCTTAATACAAACGTGAGATCTTTTGATTAGTGCCATATGTAGGTTGGGACGATGTATTTCCGCACGGTGTCTGTTAAATATCTGCGTGGGAGGAATGGTAGCAGAGTCATTCTAGTCTACGGGGTTCATTGTGCTTTTATTTGAATATAATGAAGACAATTAACAAAAACAAAAAGAAATCTCCCCGACTGGGAGTCGAACCCAGGTCTCCCGCGCTTGTTCTCTATTGAGTGACAAGCGGAAATCATGACCGTTAGACCATCGAGGAATTGTTGAAGAAAAAGTTTGTAAATGTACCACATGATCCCAGACAGCCGATTCGTTACCATTATGCATTCTCTGATTGGCCCACTGCCGTCCACTAGGAGCCTGAGTTCCCAGGAAGTGCTGTTTAGCTTCGTCGCTCCTCCGTCATCACCTCGACGTCAACGGAAGACGATCCCTACCTGCAGTCATTGTGCTCCGAGATCCTTTCGGTCGACCGCGGAAGACTTTCATCCATCTGTTCCCCGCACGCCAGTATATTTCCTTCCACTCGCTTGAAATGCACTCTCCATCTCCCCAGCTCCTCCGAGCCTTGCGCTCATCCATCGCGACCACCAACACGGCCAGAATCTGCGCAGGCCTTTCCCGACCGGCCTTTGCTTCTTCGCCAATTACCCAGCTTCGCCGCCATAACAGCGACTATGCCCGACCAACTCGCATGATCCCTCGCGCCCACTCCCAACGGCCGGACAACCATGACCGCGGCCCCGAGTCGAAGGAAGACACGCAGACGGACTTTGCCGCGCTCAACGTCCTAGGGGATATCCCGGCGCCGACCACGGCCGTGGACGCCTGTCTGGACAACGGGTTTCATCTGAATAACGGGCTCCGGGTGCGTGGTGGCTCCGGGGTGCTGCTGGTCGGGGGCGAGGCGTTCGCATGGAACCCGTGGAAGATAACGGGCGGCAGCAAAGCCGATATGGTGAACAAGAAGGGCCAGTTTGAGGTGGACGAGCAGGCTTGGGGGATTCTGGGCCTGGTGTGGCCTCGTCCGGGTATGTCTTTCTTCTCATTCTATGTTTTCGGTGCTGCAAGAGTTCCTGGCTAATGATACTGGTCTACTTTCCAGATCTGCTGATCCTGGGCATGGGTAATTCCGTGCTTCCTCTCTCCCCCGAGACGAGGAGACAGATTAACGCGCTTGGTCTTCGTGTTGAGGTGGTGGATACTAGGAATGCCGCTGCGCAGTTCAATCTCCTGGCCACGGAGCGCGGAGTCTCGGAGATTGCGGCCGCTATGATTCCTATCGGGTGGAAGGGCAGGTAATCGAGACGGACCTCGGCATGCCTTGATTTGTATAATTTGGATTGGTTCCTGGGCCAGGGATCTACGCTTAATATGACGCCGATATAAAGTTCTGCAGGATTTATGCAAGCGGATGATGTACTATAGCACTTTTCTAACTCAACTCAACCACCAGTCAATTACTGAGACGTCGTTCATGTGGTCTTGTATAGAATGTCTCTACGGAGCACCCGCAAGATACCGTCGCTGTAGAACAGGCGATGGGCGGTGATTGGCCCCGGGCAGAACGTGACGTATCAGGTGCCCCGTGCCAAGCCTCGCCCAAAGCAGCATCACCCTGGACTTCCAGTCTTCTCCTGTCTCTCCCCCATCCCCCTTTCACTTTATGTCCTGACATCTTCTTTCCTCTCACCTCTTCGTGTTCCTCTCCTTCATCGCCGTCTCTTCTCCAAGAGACTAATTCCAGTTATGGCGCGCGATGAGCCCCTTCTGGCGCCGCGGCCCTCCTCCGACCGCTCCTCCATCCGGAACGCCGAGGAGGAAGACGCCCTGCTGACCGGGGAACGCACTCATCGTGAACAGCAGCGAAGCCGCTGGGCGTTCTGGAAAGAAGTCGGTCTCTTCACCTGGGCCTTGATCGCCACCATTGCCGTCGTAGTTCTCGCCGTCGTCTTCCAGCATGAGACCAGCCGCAGCCGCGCTGACTCGAAGCAATCCTGGGGCCCCGGAGGAAAGCCAAGCGGCAAGCGCAATTTGATCTTCATGGTTTCCGATGGAATGGGTCCGACCAGTCTCACCATGACCCGGAATTTCAGACAATACACCGAAGGATTGCCGGCCGACGACACTCTGCTCTTGGACCAGCATATCGTGGGGACGTCTCGGACGAGGTCCAGCTCCAGCCTGGTGACCGACTCGGCGGCCGGTGCCACGGCCTTCTCGTGTGCCTTCAAGAGCTATAACGGAGCCATCTCCGTGCTTCCGGACCATACCCCCTGCGGCACCGTATTGGAGGCGGCTTCGTTGGAAGGGTACAAGACCGGTCTCGTGGTGACGACCCGGCTCACCGACGCGACCCCGGCTTGTTTCGCCTCGCACGTGAACATGAGACAATACGAGGATCGGATCGCCGAGCAGGAGATCGGCGAACACCCGTTGGGACGTGTGGTGGATCTCATGCTCGGTGGTGGCCGGTGCCATTTCCTGCCCAACTCCACCGATGGCAGCTGTCGCGGGGACGACCGAGACCTGGTGGACATTGCGAAGAACAACGGGTTCCATTATCTGGATGATCGGGAGGGCTTCGACTCTCTGAACGGGGGCAAGGACGCCAAGCTGCCGCTCCTCGGACTCTTCGCGGAGAAGGATATCCCGTTTGAGATCGACCGCCGCAGCCAGAACGAAGTGTATCCGTCTCTGGAGGAGATGGCCCGCACCGCGCTCAAGACGCTCAGCGAGGCCACCGCCGATAGCGAGCATGGATTCTTTCTGATGATCGAGGGATCGCGTATCGACCATGCCGGACACGGAAACGACCCGGCAGCGCAGGTGCACGAGGTTCTCGCCTACGACAAGGCCTTCGCGGCCGTGCTGGAGTTCCTCGAGCAAGATTCAACCCCGGGCGTGGTGGTCAGCACGTCTGACCATGAAACTGGCGGGTTGGCAGCCGCGCGCCAACTTCACCCGTCGTACCCCGAATACCTATGGCTTCCCGGCGTTCTGGCGAACGCAAGCCACTCCTCCGAATACGCCAACAAGAAGTTCAAGGAGTACCTCTCAGGAGTCGGACAAGTCGAAGCATCGCAAGTTCACTCGGGATCTTCTGAAGAAGACTCTGGGCGTCACCGATGCCTCGGACGAGGAGATCAACACCCTGCTTGACCCGAACTCCCCGTACAACTCGGAATACGTGTTTGCGGACATCATCAGTCGCAGGGCGCAGATCGGCTGGTCAACGCATGGTCATTCCGGTATGACTCCTTTCCCCTCTGTTTACTTAACTCTACTCCCTGTTTCCCCAGTACTAACGACCATCCAGCCGTCGACGTCAACATCTACGCCTCCTCCACGAAAGACGCCTGGCCTCTCGTCGGCAACCACGAGAACACCGAAGTCGGCTCTTTCCTCGCCGACTACCTCGATCTCGACCTGAAACACGTCACCGAGAAACTCCGCAGCGGCTCCGTGTCCTCCAACGAGGCCACGCAGCAAGACAGCCCGCTCGCCTGGCTGGGCGATCCTCTCGGCGAAGACGTCCGCACCGAGGGACTAGATACATACCATGGAGACTTCCGGAAGCGGTCCGTTGGTGAAGAAACCGAGGGTTGTGCGTGCGGCGGAAACCATTGATATCGGATATTGCTTTGTTACAGTGCTGTGCCATCATTGATGTGATATAGGAACTTCCTGGTATAGGATTATAGGCGTGTGGCGTTTGGGCCGATGGCTAATATATAACAACTCTTGAAGCATTGGAGTATTGAGTCCCGAACGATCTATCAGGGCAGTACATCGCGTATCTATTCTATCTCGATCCGTTTACCGGACGGGAGACCTCATCCCACGACTGGTAACGATCCTCATCGCGCTCGTCTTCCGCTCCCTCTCTCCCTCCCTCGTCTTCTTTCTTTTCCATCCCCATCCCCAGTCCCAGTCCCAGCTCCCCCCTGATCTCCATACCCACCACCACCACCACCCCCGAACCACCACCCCCCGAACCACCAGAACCACCAGAACCCCAGAACCAGAACCACCAACCAAAGAAACCCCCTGCCACACACACCTCTCACACCCCCTCACAAGCACCACGCCCCCGACCACATTCCGACAAAGATCCGGGACGCAAAGCGGCGGACAGAACTGCAGTTCAGCCTGCGAGGCCGCAGCGACGGCGGGGTCCTCGTTGATGCGCTGCAGTTCGTGCAGCAGGGCCGTGCAGAACTGGTAGACGGAGAAGCTGTAGGCTCGGGGTGAGGGGCAGGCGGTGCAGTAGGTGCTTGTGTAGAGACACATCTTTTTTTTTTCTCTCTCTTCTTTTGGTTTTGAGAGGGGGGTGGGTCTGATGTTGTTGGTTGGGAGGGGTGGGCTGTCTTGGGATAAGTGTGGTTGAGTTGCTAAGGGGCTAGACTGAGGAAAGTGATGCTCAGTGTTTATATAGAAAATGGGTTTCTGTATATTGGGCTTCAATGATTGAATACAATCACCCGTTCGCAATCACTACTTTACAAACAAGAGCAGCTTCAACACTCACAAACGTTGATTATCAAACCAAACAGATCAAATCTAATGTACATAGAACAAACAAATAGAACCGTTCCAGACAAGCTGAACATTCACTCAGAAGAAAAGGGTATTATACTCATTAACACCACAGATGCAGATAGCCAACAACAACCAACAAGACAGCAAACAACCGTCCATGTCGATTTATAATCAATCACACCCGACATCCGAGACAAAGAAGGGTATTAAGGTAGGTAGGTGGGTAGATGGCTCCGTTTTCTTGAGCCAAGCGCATGCCTTCATGCGCCAAATAAATATAAAAAGAAAAAGTAACAAATCATAAAAATAACATCAAGACATCCAATCAGAATCGAATAAATGCTTAACCGGTGAGATATATATCAAACCAGAGCCATGAAGGTAGAATGTAGAAGTTAGACATAAAAGGAGCATCCCCGATGATGGTGGGAGGTGAGGGAGAGTAAGATAGGGGAGCGGCGGAAGGAGGGAATAGAAGAATTGGGAATAGAAAAATTGCAGGTGAGAAGATAGAACGAGGAAAAAGAAAAGAAAACAATATGATTACAGAGTAACCAGCACAACGATGGCTACCAGAACGGCGAAGAAGGAGCTGCGCAGAACGCGCTCGTTCTGAGAAAATGCGCCGTTCGAGTCGGAGCTGCTGCTGTCGTCGTCATCACCACCCTGGCTGAATCCGGAGCCACCGCTCGAGCTGTCGCCGCTGCCGCTGCCGCCGTCGCTAGAAGTGCTGTTCGAGATGCCCGGCTCGTTGCCGGAGCCACCCCGGTTCTCGGGAACCGTGTTGCCGGTGGCGGAGCTGGAGGAGGATCCAGATTTGCTGGGTTTGACGTCCGGGTCAAGACCGGTGGCGCCGAAGGAAGCCAGCACGGTGTCGTTGTTGGTGATCTTGAAGGAGCTGTCCAGGCCAGCCTTATCGGTGATAACGTAGGACTTGTTTCCGCTCTTGTCGGTGTCCTTGGGAGGGTCGTAGCACTCAACGGTGATGTCGCTGTACATGGCATAGTAGTAGCCCTTGTCCTTGATATCCTCGCTGTCCCAGTCGATTTCACCACCGGCCCAGGCGATGGTTCCCTCGGCGTTGCTCGACTGACCGGCGGGCCACAGAGACAGTTGCATTCTCGAGGGGGTCTGGGGGTACTCGTAACGGTTGCCGGTCTCGTTCCAGGTCGATTCACGGGTCAAGGTCCGCTTCACGTCGCCGTCCACGGACCAGGTGATGGCCTCGGGCTTCCAGTCGATCTCATACTCATGCCAATCGTCAAAGGTGCTCGAATCCACCGAAGCGTTTGCGCCGTGGCCATCTGACTCGAATTAGCTTGGCTTCGATGTATCCCTGAGAATCTCAACTTACAGTCCAAAATTCCCTGGAAGTAGTAGTTCGTCTGAACATTGTCCAAGTCACTGCCGACGAATTCGAAATCAATCTCGTCCTTGGTGTCGGCGAGCAGAATGAAAGCGGTCACAACGCCGGGCCCACGGCTACTCTTGATCTTGCCGGAAATCTTGCCGTACCAGACGTAGTGGTTGTTGGCGAACAAGCTACCGACACTCTCCTTAGGCATGGTGAGCATCAGGTTGCCGTCCTTGATCTTGGGGAAACCGCTGTATGTCCAGTCGCTCGCCGACGCATTGCCCAAGTATTTGGTGTTCAAGGCGGCGCGATCCAAGTCGTCCCACTTGTAGGTAGTGCTCTTACACACCGGCTGGGGGGCGCAAGAATCGAGAGAGTAGGAGGTCAGAGGATCACAGCCTCCGAGACAGTAGGCACCCGTACCGCACTCGCCATATTCTAGAAGCATTGGTTAATTTCAGGTACACAGCCGAGATAAGGACCGGGAAATTCACGCGAGCAGCAAGGATATTCCTTGGGACAATGCGAATCGGTGCTACACTTGGGAGGATCGGAGGCAGCCCAGGCGGAGGTGGCCAGGGTGGCCAGCAGGAGCGACGAAGCAAGGCGCACCATTGTGATGAGGATATAATGCAAATGAAGAGGGAGAAGTATATGAAGGGGTATAATCGGAATTATGTACGAGGTATATATAAAAAAAGAAAAGAGGGCCGATGCGGCGCTTAAGAGCTGAGCTGCAGCGGGAACGTTAGCCACCCCTCGGTTTAAAACCCAGCCAGGCTGGGCTATAAAAAGAGTAAAGCAAAGAAAAGATGAGAAGAAAAAAGAGGGAGACGAGCCAATGACGGGGGCGAACCAGCAACGGGGACGGACGTACCTTGGATGGGAATTAAACTGGAGCAGCGCAAGTAGTCAGGGTCCAATGACGGAGCAGACAATGCAGTACAGCCGAGAAGAGACTGGAACTTCCAAAAAAGGGACCCAAGAAAAAGAACAGGCCGAGAGGAGATGTTGAGGATGCAGAGTCGGAGGAACGGGCACACTCTCAGGCAGGCTCTTCTTCTCGAAGACCGATGGAAGGACGGGGAGGAATGAAGTCGAGGAAGTCTCCGAGCAGACGAAAGGAAAAGGAGGGGAGGACAAAAGAAATAAGAAAGCGAAGCCAGCGAATAAATTAAAGGCCCAAGCCAATTGATTAAAACGGCAGCGACGGAGCAACGGGCCTAAATAATACTGCGGTACCGCCGTTTCCATACGCTCACGAGTCGCCCGAGCTCCTGCACTCGGTCTGGCAGGAGGTTTGGCAGGCATGTGCCAGGGGTCTGGCCATCCCCGGAAGGGGAGATTTCATGGATCTTCACCAGTTTCTTGTCCTCCTTCTGTAGGGATCTCAACTCACCTACTGACTGAACTCCTACTTACTCCCTCCGGGTACTCCCTGGCCAGGAAAAGGAGACACCTCAGGCTGCAATACCGCGATACGGCGATACCCCGTACAGCAATACAGCATACAGCAGGGACGGTCACACCCCGGGATCCACCCCAAAGTCAAAATTGGCGCATGTAGTTCGCCGGCAGCCAATCACCACACACCCTCCCCTCCAGATACCTCCGTCGTTCCTTATCGGGCGGTGGCTACCGACTGGCAGGCGAATTCATCTCTCCAGCGCTTCTGCAACTAGTTTCTGCTTAGCCCAGGCATATCAATTCTTTTGCACTTCCACGGTGGGTTCCGCATATTAATGCTCGGACTCAACGGCCGTCGGACGCCAGAGCTGGAAGTGAAACCGAGGGCTAAAGATCCCACGGATGCGTCCCGGCAGCTGTCTTACCTGCTCCATCCCGTCAACCCGTTCACGACATGTCTTGGATTGATGAACCCCTCGGGGCCAATGGCATGATCCCCCGTCGAACATGCTGGGGTGGTCCCTCGGTGGTGTCTAGGACCGTGATATCATCGTCGTCCCGTTCATTTATTGCCACAATAACAACTGGAACATTCTCCGTAATATTCTCCCGCCCAACAAGGCAAAATCCCCCGTCCATTGTGGGTGAGACTTTTTTTTTTTTTTTTTTTCTCTCTCTCTCTCTCTTCTCTTCTCCCCGGGACGGCGTATCATTGGGTACTCGGACCGGCCACGAACTGATCCGGTGGAGGCGAACCCGCCGACAAACCAAGGATCTGCCCAGGCCGAACAGAATTAGATAAGGAAAAAGAAAGAAAACCGGGAAGATCATGGGAGCTGCCAAAACAACACAAAAAGAATTGAAATAAATTCGTATTTTTAGAATGCAAGGGCTTCGCCACTTGGGGCTCTCCAGTTCGTGGGATGTCCTGCCGAGCTGTTCGACAGCTCCGTCCTCGGTCACTAGTCACTACGCAGTAATAGTAATCTAAGGATCCGGTCGGAATTAATTATGCCATCCAGATTATACACAGTAAAACAATCTAATATAATATAATATAATAATCCAACATAATATCCAGTCAGCCAACCGATCAAGACCGCCGAGTTACAGACTGATCACCTTTCATTTCCGCCCATCCTGCGGTCGACCTGCTGATTGCTGAACCTTAACCCGTAGCTAATTACTCCTTTTCGTCCTAGCGATCGTCCAGGGGTATTGACATTGGCCTGCGACTATTCGGACTAGCAGCACGCATGGCGTTAACGATCGGGTTTTTTTCTCCGTATTGTTCCTGTCCCTGTTTTCATGCAGAGATACCACCTTTGATCTACACCATGGCCCAGGAAAAAAAATAAATAGTAAATCCTGGAATCCTCCCGGGAACCATGGATCCCACGAAAAAAAACACCTCCTTCCCCATCGAGCAGGTCATACGGCATATTGAGCATTCCGATGAAATAATCAATCTGGGGAGAATCCGATTCCCCCCTCGATTTTTTTCTCGAAATTGCGAACACGGGAGATCTCTTGATCTTCCTGACGGGTCTGGTTCCCCTGACTTGCCGTTTGCGGGTTGTTTTTTCGACGTCAGCGAACATATTTCGCCATGCAAGGGGGAGGTGAAGGAAACGGTTGAGTTTGGTCGATCTCGGCAGTTCGACTCACTTCACTACTACTGAAACTACTGCGTACGTAGAAGGACTCGATAGTTTATGCATCGTCCTGCATGGTTCTGTTATGGTGTGCCGCTGCACATATGCACTGCGCGTAATCCCATCGCGATGGCAATAATGTCTTGTTCCTGCGTCTCTCTCCCTGGCGACGGATCCTCCCTGACCTGATTAGGGCATGCCCTCTCGTCACGTGAGGTCCGAGGGCCCCTTCAAGGAGGGTTTAGGGGAGACAAATACGGAGTACGGGGTAAGACTGTGAAGTGGCAGGTGAGTGGCCCATGTCCAAGGAAATACGTAGTAGCGACACGAGGGATGAACTAGGAGATGAACGAGGGGTGATCCCTCGAGAGCTGAAACCAGAAACCCCCTCCCTTCCTGGCGTCCGTGAGATTGCCTCGATCTTATCATCACCTCCTTGTTGGCATCAAGGGGCCGCTGCTCCGGTCGTATCGACTCCATTCGATCAACGACCAACGTGCTGCCTCGGAGCGTGACAGGCAGGAGGAAAAAGGCACCGCACGCACGCAGGGCCCTTCAGGAGGGAAGGAGTCACGACGGCGGCCCCATAATACCTAACTAAGGGGGGACTCTCTTTGGCACCTTCTGCCACTGCCCGTGCCATGCAATTTGGTATCGCTAGGGCGGGTTTCGTCCTGCGTCCTCACTTGCACCTTGTTCGCTTTCCCTTCGCGTGTTCATCGCAATTTCGTCTGTTGGGGGTTCGCGATAAGGGTTCGTCTGGGGCCTGTCTGTTGGTTTACGGGATACGGAATACGGGGTACTTTTCCTCCGTGGTTTAATGAAACCTGGTCCACGTATCCTGGGCACTAGGACCTGGGCACGCCACAGTGGTCCTGCTATATCTTCCTTCGTTGGGTCATGCCGTCATGGTCGTGGATTGCATCCTGGGTGGAAGTTTTGTACTGATTGCTATTACTTAAGGGTGGTTACATCTCGCGTGTCGATCGCATTGCCAAGCAGATCCATCTTGAGGGATTCCGTTGGCGATTGTCTGTAGTCGCTTTGATGCTATTAGGTGGTTCCTGTGAATGTGCTCCGAGTACTCCGTAGGGACTAGTTCTGTGCGGTGGTAGCTAACAATAGGGGGAAGACGAGAGAGATAACATTGACAAATAGCGACACATGGTTTATACTTTCAGGATGACAAAAACTCACTCGGCATGCCCCGCGGCCCTCCCCGGAAAGAAGAGGAAGACTTTTACTTTCTCATTGCTGGTTCTGCTATGGCCTGGTGTGGGCACTGGCGCCGTGCGGGTACACGCTATTTACCTGACAAAGTATATATCCAATGGTGGCAACCGGAGGCGAGGGCATCGATAAATAGAATGCGAATTATACTTTACACTTTTCTGTGCATCAGCCCTTGTCAATAAACGGTGCACTATCAATGCAATAAACCACTGTTGTCTGTACAGCGCAGTGGTCTACCCCCGGGATAACCTCCAAACCAACACTTCGATAATATATAAAACCAGTAGCTAGCGTAACAGAGGAGTGAATAACTGGCTCTGGAGTCAATGTAATATGCACACCATACACCTCGGACATATGCTGTGTGACTCTGCAAGCCACGTATCTACCGATCCGAGACTAGGCAGTCTAGAATAAAAGTCGATACAGCTTGTAATTGCAGTCCGGTTATGACTTACCTGCGTAGTATCGTGAATTAAACTCGAATTCAATTCCAGTGAATATGGTGCCAAAATGATGATGCGTATTTCAAGAACCTGGGGTTGTGGTTTAGTGGTATAATGCTCGTTTCGCATACGAGAGGTCAGGGGTTCGATTCCCCTCAACTCCAAGTTTAATTTCTTTTTTCTTTTTTTTTTGCCCGCCCTCTTGTACCCAGTCATCCATGGTCTAGATGTCTAGTTGTTTTTTGGTTTTTTAAGGCGTGTGGGTGCTGTTCTGTCCGTTGAACTGCTTGTTCGTCTCATCCCGTGATCTGTTTGTTGGTCCAGCTACAGAACCTGCTGTAGATAAAAAACCTACCTACCTACCTTTAAGGCAACAGAGCATCTTATTGATTTTTCATCCGTGTAGGGTAAAATTGAAAATTCAGTTAAACCCCAAAACATTTCTGCATATTCACCACCATCGCCTCTGTGAAAATCATTCACCTCTGTAGTTCCTGCTCATTCACTCACTCTCATGACCCTGAAACTATATACTCATGCCAGATTCTTAACCAGACCAGGAAACAACCATCTCATCTCCAGTTCTCTCCTCCCAACAGAACCCGACTCCAATGACCACGATGAGAAAGCCACACCCACAAACAGCCACCACAAAGCCAAGCCCAAACCACCACATCATCCCGACATCCCCTCAAACAAAGCCCGGCCCTGTCGTTTTCTCATGCAACCTGCTCCATCGGGTTTAGCGCGTCGCATGCCTACCCCGGGCTCCAGAGAGAGACTCCGGGGAACGAACGCCCGCCATGGAATAGATTTCCATTTCTCGCTCGACATGCTGCTTCGGGAATAGTAGTTCGTCTTGTGTTACTGTAGGGCGGGATTTGGTTGGTTCTTTTGAATGTTGCCGGATGGGTTGAACTACCCCATGGGATCATGGGGATCATGGGGATCGGCCGTTGGGGGTGGGTTGTGTATATAAATAAGGGCTAGAGGGGCATGCACGGTGTTTGATTTCAATCTATATCTATATCAACAGTTCCCACGAGTAGACGGTGTCCACTATCCCCACCATGCCGGCAACAACATCCACCAGTTCCTTTGCCCGCCTCAACGCCACCAAACCCTCCACCACCCCCGAAGCCCTCATCCACGCCATCACCCGCGACGGCGGCGTCATCGTCGAGAACCTCATCGCCAAGGACCTGGCCGCGCAGATCCAAACCGACCTGAAACCGCGCTTCGACGCCGACATCCCCGACAAATACGGGTTCTTCCCGGCCACCACGCAGCGCGCCACGGGGCTGCTGGGGTTCTCGGATGCCTGCGTCGAGCTGGCGTGCAGCCCGCTGTATATAGCGGTGGCGAACGCGCTGGTGTCCTCGCGGTATACGTTCTGGAGAGGTGATCGTCAGGAGACGGTTAGTGGGAAGCCGATTCTTACGTCGACGGTTGGGTTCAGGGTCAATCCGGGCGGGAGGCAGCAGGTCTTGCATCGGGATGATAAGTATGTGGTTCCTTGACTGGGGTGTTCTCGGGTTGGGTTGTTTGGTGCTGACGTTGATGCTGAAGTGACTATCATCCGTATGACAAGGAGCTGCCGGTGATGATTGGATGTGTCACGGCGTTGACGAAGACGGTGAAGGAGAACGGTGCCACAGTCGCCATCCCGAGATCGCATCTATGGGGTCCAGAGAGACAACCACTCGATGAAGAAGCTGTCCCGGCTGAGCTGGAGCCCGGGGATGCTTTCATCTTCCTGGGCAATCTGTATCATGCCGGCGGCGCGAATGTTACCCAGTATGCTGTCTCCTTCACCGTTTCTGTTCCAACCATCAGAGACCAGGTAGCTAATCAATCCTTTCTGTCTTCCAGGAATGAGCGCCGTGAAACTGTCGGCATATTCCTCTGCCAGCCGACCCTGCGCCCCGCCGAGAATTACTTCCTGGAAATACCCTTGGAGAGAGTGAGGAAGCTGAAGCCCCAGGCGCAGAGGCTGCTAGGGTATGGGGTCATGGAGCCTGGCGTAGGCTTTATGCATTACCAGGATCCCATGAGGCTTTTGTTCGGAGTGGAGGACGAGGAGACGATCAACATGTGACATGACTATACTTAGCCCGGACCCTGCTCAATGAGTGCTCGAATGAAGACTCTCTCAAAATATAAGAAAAGGAGTTAGATTCTGCTCGTTTCTGCGAGCGTACTGTATCCAAGTCTCCTGCGAATCCAACCTCGCCCAGTAAGCACGTAGGAATTGCAAGACCGCATGGTTGCACCAAGATCCAGTCGAGATGATCAAGTCCATAAAGAGACCCTGGATCATGGCCTGCCCGTGTTCGTCTCTCCCGTACTCCGTACCGGCGATGAATAGCGGAAAGAAAACGTTCTGAGAGAAGCTGCGCGCTGACCCGTTTGCGAGAAATTGAATTTCGTCCAAGATAGGCCCTACATACCCATCGATAACTTGCCTTGCTTCAAACATGGGAGCTAAAGCTTGGTAGCAGTAGACAAAACAGGCGTAGTAATGTGCTCGCAGCAAAGCTTCAAACCGTCTCCGTGTATCTTCGTCTCCCGGTAATATGGTGGTCGCTCCCTCGGACGTTTGAGCGTAAGCTTCATCGATTTTGGCTCGCCAAGTACTCATGTCCATGCCCGGGGGTTCACACCCCTTTTGTAAAGCACCGTAGCGGCGTCTTTCCACCGCAGTAATATCACGCAGCAGCGGGGTGAACGTCCAGAAATGACCTTCCAGCAGCCGAGGAGAATATCTAGTGATCGCAGAGCCCTGCTCCCTGGTAAACGGCGCCACACTGACAAACGTCTCCAGATCAACCACTTCCATGACCAGGAATCGCGCGGCCGGGTCTTGCGACTCTCTCTGCCGATTCCGCAAGTTTCGTCTATCAATGATAGCACGACAGGCGCGTAGATGAAGAGCCCAGTTGGTTGAATACGGCACGAGCATCTCCCCGTAGCACAAGACGAGCATGGTAGCCAGGATTTCGATCAGAGACGAGCCATCCTGACGGGCACCCGTGGCGTGACCATCATCTAGTTCGTACCGTATCTTTGTATTCAGAATCCGAAGGCTTGCTTCGCGGAGACTATGATTCGCCTGCAAAAACGCAGGCTCTTCAGTACTACCACCCGCAGATGTCACCGACAAATGCGCAGCGGCTAGACCAAGAATTGACAGACGGAGGCAGTTCGAGCGCCGGGCCAGAGGCAAGATAATGCTTCGCCACGGATTGTCCGAGCTATCGAGCCATCTCAGCATCGACGCAACCTCCAAATGGAAATGACTGAGAAGATTGTCGACGAGAACATCGGCGGAGAACCGATTGACCAGATCAAGCCCACTCATTGGGTCCAACAGATGCGTTGAGAAGTCCCACAGGCGGGATCCATCGTTTGTCCAAGTGCAGAGGTCTTGATCGTGGCCACGACCACTGTCATCATCGATACGTGGCCTGACACTAAGGGCCCCCGACAACCCATCCTGCTCCTCTGATCCACCCCCAGGAGACACCGGGAGCGTCCTCCCAGCGAGCTTTCCTCGACTGGCCACACCTTGTCCCCATTTAAGAGGAACTGCATCGAACCCTGGACAGCCTAGCCCCCGACTGGCACATTTCCGACACCCCGGAATGCTCCGGTCACATCTGATACGCCGCTTGGTGCAGAGACGGCAGTCTGCATCAATTAGATGGTCTCACAGGGAGTGCGGAGTAGAACTGACCCACTTACCTCTAGATGCGACTTGACGATCGGGAGCCAACGAGTTCAGACGGATGTTTCTCTTCATGCTTTCCCGGGTGGAATACTGGTGGTCTGGTAGAAGACGGAGAGAGTGAAAAAAAATGCAAACAAAAATAAAAAGAGAACACACAAGCGCGTCCAGGCCCGGACCCCGCATCCGCCCGTCAGATGCTTCCACGGAACCCTTGCCGGTCCCTAGTCGCTAGATAGAGTAGAGTCCAGTCATCCTTGTTCCTGGTGGAAGGAAGGTGCAGGAAAAAAGAAAAAGAATATGGAGTTGAGGGGAATCGAACCCCTGACCTCTCGTATGCGAAACGAGCATTATACCACTAAACCACAACCCCATAAGGCGGATATGTGGAGACCGGCTAAACAGGACTCATAAAAGGCCATTCTTACACCGTATGGATAGGCAAAAATCATATTCTTCCTCCTAGACAGCTGGACTAAACAATCCGCACATTTGCATACATGAAAGTACTAACCCACTCAATGGCCGTCCAACTTGCGTACATCCTTGAATCTCTTCTGGGCTTCGGGGATTTTTTTCTTTTTGTGTTTTCTGTTCTCATGTGGAATAGCCTCACTTCCGGGTTTCCATAAATCAATCTCAAAGTGAATCCGAAAGATGCCGCTGATGTATGCATCAGGTTAAAGTCAATGTAAGATGGCCTCCAAAGTCCAAAACCAAGCTCCGCCATCCGCTGTGGCTACGCTAGGAGAGATCACCTCATGGATCTCTTCACGTAGCCCTTGGCGAGACCGGGACGAGAGGTCTCCTTGACGAGGACCAGCTCCTTCTCGCAGGGGTCCGAGGAAAAGGTCACGGAAACCCCACTATAGACATTACGGCCATCCTTCCATCTGTTGAACACCTCCAGCACCTTACGAGCAACGACGGTGCTCGTGAAGATGGCGGTTGCTGTGTGATTTATCAGTGATCCTGCCCCCAATGTAGAGGGATGAGCTTACCGTTTCCAGAATTGAAGACCCAAAGGAAGTCAATGTTGCCGGGTCCGGCCAAAGTGCGGACGTCCTGCTTCCATTTCTCAGGCGACATATTCTCGGCAAAAAGTCTCTTTCTGGCAAAGGAAAGACGGCGACGCTCGCGGATCGGTTGGTTCATGCGACGGAGATCCTCGTTCCAATCAAGGACCTCGGCCAATTCAACGTGATAGCCGCATCCAAAACGGCCAAAGCCGAGCATATGCTCCATTTCCTGATTGGACTTCAAAAATGCAAGCGCGTGAGACGCATGCTGGAAGGTCACCCGTGTTCTTCCGTTGGTCTCCAGGCGAACGTCCTGCAGCGGACCTTCGTGGATACGGGTGGTGATGAACTGAATAAGATCCTTAGAAATTCTTCCGTAGATACGGATAACCCCTGCCTTGGCCTCTGGGATTTCAGGCGCTTCGGTAGCTGAAGGAAGGGCAACCCCAGACAGGCTCGGGAGTTGAGGATCACTGCCATCGTCGTCACTATTCTGGCTATGTCTGGACACGGAGGCCGAGGTCAGAGACTGGGGAGTCATGTAGTGAGATGGCTCGGGACAATAGGTCTGAAGGCCCGAGACCGAGGTAGCACTCGTGCTGGCGACCTGGGCCCAGCTTTCAGGCTGCTGAGAAGCCTTTTCATCGGAACAAGAGATCTGTTGCAGTATGCCGGCATGGCTGGTTACATTTTCCTTGTTTATTCTCTCGATTTGGGTGATGAGACCAGAGAAGGCGTGTCTCTGGAGTGCACCGGAGACGCCAGAGTTGCTGGAAGGATTGGCAATAGTGCCTTGACAGCCCACATTCTCCTGCCAATGCTACTCAGTGTCTAGATCTCGGACCCACTGGGAGGGGAGAGGAAAAGGAAGCTTACCACACCATGGAAAATATACTGATCAGGGGGCAATTGATCAACGCCATTGGAGAACGCATTAACAATCTGGACACTCAGCTTTCCCAGCTCATTAGCAGCAGTGTGCTGCTCGTGCTTGCGAAACTGCTAGGATCAGTATATGCTCGAGAGGAGGCGGCCGTGATGACGACGATAGTTGTCAATCACTTACATGACAAGAGATGCGGTTGAGATTATCCAAGGCAATAGCCATGGCTTCGTCGATAGAGAAGGCCGACATCCTGAGTGTGGTCTTAGATGAACCAGAGGAAGGACCAAAATGGTTCCGAATGAGATGGTATAAGACCCTTGGGAAGGTACTCGTCTGTGGGAGGGAGGTATACGCGAAGGGCTTTGTTTCTGAGTCGGTCGCGAGACCTAGTGAGCCGACGAATTGACAGACTTGGGGATCTTAGGATGATGGCTAACCTTTCAAAGCCTGGGAAAGGCTTGTATGATGTGGTCCTAGGAGAGAAAGGACGCGTCAAGAAGGCAATTAAATGGCGAGCTCTTCACGAATACCGTGAGTATAGAAGATGGGATGATATGAGAGATCAGAAAGAGACAACGAGGCTAATTTGAAACAGAAAGTGATGACAATGACGATGACAGACACTTCTGTAGGAAGTGGAAGCCTGGATGAAGTCTCAATGCTTTCGCTTTACTCACACCATCCGGTGAGACAAGACGATCTGGAGATGGTATCGCTAGAAGAACAATAAGATTGGGATAAGAGACTGGAGACAGAAGAGATGGAAAGGAGGAGAGACAACAGTAATGGGATGCTTCAAGAGAGTGAGAGAAGGAAAGGAAGATGGGGAAGTGAGGAAGAATAAAAGTGGTGGGAAGGTCACTGGAGAGGGACGAGAAGAAAGTGAAAGAAACTGGGACGACTGAGTTCAGTTTGCCATTGGGCTTTGGCATGAATGGCATGGAAACAGCGGCACCTGTTATTGATTCTATGCTGCAGGAGGGGTGGATTGACCTGGAGATTCCGGCAGCCCTACAATCATACCTGAGGCCGCTCACCCCGTCGACCTTCCCTTTGGGGAATTCGCCAAATAGACTGAGCTGCAATACGCAGTCTATTGACAATCGGATCTCTCCATCCCCTCGGAGTAGCATTCACTATGAAGCACTCTAACTACTTGCTATAAGGCAATCTAGCTCCTAAGGTGCCTGTTTTTATAGAGAGACGAGTGAATACTTTCCCATGGTATAGAGCCCATCACGCAAATAACAATCATCTCCAAACCACCACCCCATTCAGACGGATGCGCTTGTTTGTTTATGGACCAATACTACATGGATGACCAATGGCTGACACAAAGGGAATGCATATCAATCAAATGGATCAAGCCCAGGTATGGATTAGACGGGCGCCCAGCTATAGACCAATAGTTAGCTGCATAGGTAGAAAAATATACTACGAACTACTGGCTAGGAATGATTGCTGTGAATGTAACAATATTTGTAGATTTGGCGTTCGAATATACAGACTCCCAGTTCCCTCCCCAGCGTACATACAACCCAGTCAATCCATGTCCCCGGACCAGACTGTTGGCAAAAAGCTATCAAATCACCACCCCAAGCGCATGACGCTGATCATTAAAACAGATTTCCTTTTATCTCTCATATCTCATATTTTCGCCCCGAGTCAAGACAGCGGAGGGAAGTTTCTCACGAAGCTGCGTAAATCATTAGTATTTGTCCATGACGATAAACTCCCAATTCTGAAATCCAGGGCAACGTACTGAGCAGGGCATTCATATCCTGCCGGGTTCTTGTTCAGGTAGAGCTGGTGGTACTCCTCCGCGTCCCACCATTGCGCCGCCGGCACCACCTGAGTGGAAACGGGCTGCTTGTACCACTCCTGGCTCACCTTCTCCGTCACATCCTGGGCGATCTTCTCCTGTTCGTCGTTGTGCGTGAAGATGACGCTGCGGTATTGCGTGCCGACGTCGGGGCCCTGGCGGTTCATGGTCGTGGCGTCGTGCATGCGGTAGAAGAATTCGAGAAGCGACCGGTAGGTAACGACGGAGGGATCGAAGGTGATATCAAGGGCCTCGGCATCTGGTGCGATTGAATGCGGGTTAGTACCGTCTCTGGAGAACTGATCGACCTAGAGTATGTAGATCGAGACAAGTGGCGACTGGCAGCTGGCAACTTACGACCCGTGTCGCCGGTGCACACGGCGCGATACGAAGGCGACGCCGTGTTTCCACCGCAATAGCCTACTTTGGCATCCAAGAGGCCCTTTCCGTTACCGAAGTTCTTGCGAAACAGGTGCTCCACGCCCCAGAAGCAACCGGCGGCCAAGGTGGCCCTCTGCGTGGCGTCGGACATGATGCGCGAACGAGATTCTGCGGTCAAAGAGAGGAAAGGTGAACTAGTCGAGAAGGGACGGAGAAATCGTGAGAATAAAGTCGGAGCAAAGGCGGATGCGGCGAAAGTCATTGACTTTTAATACGTACTCGTAAGAAGGGCACCGTCAACGAGTGGGTTGTTTTATTTTTTTTTAGTCACCGCGGAGGGGCACGGGTAGTTTTTTTCTTTCTTGTTCTCGGGAGGTATGTCGGAGATAGATAAAGAAGGACGTGATGTTACAATCGAGGATTTTCGTCCGATGAATCGAAGAGAAAGAAGAACCAAGATCCAAGCCCAGGAACAATCACAGTAGGAGACTTCCGCAGCGTCCAATTCCGCGCAAATGCCGAATTTGTCATGGCGGGGAAGCTTTTGGGTGGCGTCATACCGAGGAATGACATAATTCCACCGGCCAATGCTGCCATCGACGCGTCTAGATTTCCTACGGCTTGAGACAAGAAGGAAAGAAGAAAAGAATAAAAGAAAGCCGTTGTGGTCTGATATTGTACACGTCCCGAGAACCCTAATATATGCCATACAATACAAAAAAGAAACATCAACATCGAAGAGAAAATGAAAGCCACGACACGTTTCCAATGTAAGGTGTATGAATCGCGCATCCTCAAAGGCAACAGAGACAAACCAAGGAGTAAAACGGGATAACCAGACCCAGACGATTCACTCCTGGCAAAAGGGTGCAAAAAAGCAAATGGTATCTGACTTCCCGAAACACCGTTCCAATTACCCAAACGACCCAGAAAATTCAGCAGAAATAACGACGTAAAGTTTACCGCAATCCGATACCAGAGCCAGGATAGGTGTTTTCCGAGGACCTCTCCAGTCGAGGCGTCGCCATAACGCTGAGTCTGATGGCTTCTCGGCTGTTGAGGCTGATGTCCCGGGGTCGCATATCCCCTCCGAACGTCGTTCGACGATGGCCGGTGTTTTTCATGATGGGGATAGTGCGAGGACTCAAGACACGGGGTTTGGCCTCGGCCTCTTTCTCGTTCTTAGCGACTCGTCTCGCTTGCGCCGTGAACATGGTGTTTTCAGGGGGCGAGCTGCCGTACGTAGCAGACCCCGGGCTTCGTCGACGATGAACGCGAAGAGTGTTGGCGGAAGGCCCGGGTCCGAACTGCCCTCCAGAGATACGCCGCATCGCCGAATTGATTCGCATCGCATCATCCTTGTTTGCCTTCCAGCTGTCCTTACTGTCTGAGACGGGGCTGCTGCTATAGCCTCCGCTCGAGGTGCGAACTGCAATTCTCGACGGACGGTCGACAGATGCGCGATTCAAGAAGCTGCTACCTTCGATGTCGCGGAGAGGAGAATTTTCGTTGTCGGACAGGGGTAGCGTCGTTGACGGAGGAGGTGCAATTGGGGAGCTGCTTGTCTTTTTTGAGAGGAATCCGGCCTTGAAACGGTTGGCGTTTTTTTGGATATTCAAGGTTGGTTCCGGGGCCGCGGAAATCGGCGATGAAGCGTACTGGGGGCTGAAGTTTCGCGTGGGCACGGGGATTCCACGCGGGATGGGAGACGTTCTGGGCAACGAAGGCTCGGCAGGGCTTCCCTCGGGAAGAGCAAGTGCGGCTCCCAGCTTCTGGGGTGTCTTTTGGAATTCCGTCAAGGTGCCGTCTTCCTCATCGTCCTTCCAGCGGACGCCTCGCTTCGTTGATTTGGCCACCGACTTTTTGGGCGAGAAACTGACGCTCTTTCGTCCAACACCACCCATCTTGCGGCGTCGGGGAGAGCCCTTTGAAGGCGAGGGCGGCGCTGCCGGCGTAAAAGTGATAGGCGCGCTGAGGGTCTTGCCGGCTGGAACATGGGCCAAGCTGGGTCGCTTCTTCTTGGGAGAGCTGACCTTGGAAGGGCTGACGGCTTGTATAGACGGGGGGTTGCCGTCCGGTTTCACAACACTGGCCGTCACGTTGGAGCAGGAAGTGAGCATCTTCGTCAGAATCTTCTTCCCTTCGTCAACAGCTTCGTCCTCGTTCAATTGCATGATGTTCTCGACAGCAGAGACCGTCTCGAATTGAGCTTGCAGGAGGATCTGCACAGTGGCTGCCTCCCCGGCCTTATCTTGCTCGGCCACTGCAGAGAGCGCCTCACGTTCCGTGTTCGACCTCAGAAGTTCTGCCTCACGCTGCAGATTGGCGTGGTCGCTCTTGTCGCTGATGTCGAAATCCTGGAGTTGACGAATGGCATTCTCGACAGCGGAGTTTAGACCTCGGTCCCAGCTGCTCTTCGCCAGCCGTTGGTGGTAGTGCTGGCGGCTGCCCTCGAGCTCCAAGAGAATTCCCTGGGCCGTCTTGCGGATGGCCTGGAGGTTCGACAGTGGCGGTTCGAGCTCTGAATTCTCGCACACGTTGTCGAAGGCAGCGATCCATGACGATAGCATGCCGATCCTGCGGCTCACTTGCTTTAATTTAATCATATTGTTCGTCCTTTCCTGCCTCTCCGGCAACGAGTGGTCATAGGCAGTGCGAATCCGAGAAATCCCGTCGCGCACGGCTTGGTCCTTCTTCTCAGTTTGTTTTTTGAATTTAGCGAAGGCGACTCTCTCACTGTCCTTCTGTTGGGCTTTCAGTTGATTGATCAGGGCCATCTGCTCGTCGATCTTCACCAGGAAGTCCTTAACATGACGGTTGACATTGAATACATTTCTCGTAACTTTTGTTTGGATGTTCTTCGCTCTGTTCGCATAACGCAAGGTGTTTTGGGTCTCGTCGAAATGCTGACTCGATGGACTGACACAAACGATCATCACCGTTTTACAGTTGCCGCCGAGCGAGAACTTCAACAGGCGGGTGAGTTTTGAGTTTCTGTAGGGCACATGGTTCCGCTTCCGGGGATCGCAAAGAGCGTTGATACAGCTTCCCAGCGCCAGGAGAGATTTGTTGATGTTTGCACCTTCCATCAGCCTTTCACCCCGGTTCTTCGTGGCGCTGGCTCGCTCGCTTCCCGCCAGATCGATAATACTGAACGTCGCCATCGTATGCGGCTCGTTGATGTCGGCGTTGCGGTCCTTTTGGGCGATGTTGATCTGCAGAACGGCGTGGGATCGTGAAGAAGTGGCATTCGCCTCGGTGGGTGACATGGTGCGGCACTCGTTGCCTTTCATGATCATATCCATAACCTGCTGCACGCTCTGGGGATGGTGGCTCGACAACCCAGAAACGGAAACGGATTTGTTGGTATCTTCGCGCAGCATCAGGCCCCCTTTGCTACCTCCTGGCACGAGAAGGTCACGGATGGTCTCGTTGTAGATTTCGAGATATGACAAGCTGACTTCGGTGTGTTTTTCATCGGATCTCTCTTCGATCCGCTCGAAAAGCTCCTGCATCGTAAGGAAGATGATTCCTGGTTGCTGAGCCGTACCGGTGATCGTGTGGGTTTTTCCACATCCGGTCGCACCGTACGCAAAGACGGTGGCATTATAACCGTCGAGGACACTATCGAGAAGGTTTCGGGTAGTCGATTCGTACACCTCTCCCTGCGAGGTACTCTGGTCGAAGATCCGGTCGAAAGCGAAGGTCTGATCCTTCACACGCTTGCCTTGAGGGACGACGCTTTTGGAAAACTTTTGCACTGGGCTGTCTTCAGGGGGGTCGAATACTCTGGAAACGGATTCGAGTCAGTTGATGCTCTGAGATGTCAACGGCGGACACAACAGCACTATACTCACAAGCATCGATCATCGATCACCTTGATAATCGATCGAATTCCTTTCTGGTTCAGTTTGGGGGTGGGGGCACCGGCCAAAGAGCCGTCCCCGAGAAACAAGGGGCCATCCTCGCATTTCGAGATCTGGGCCGCTTCACGGATGGTGAAAGGTCTCACTCGGACGGAGACATTGATCGAAGACGAGTCGCTGGAGGCCGCCATCGTGTCGAGATTGGGAGCTGTTGAAGTAGGCGTAAAGGTCGGATAAGAAAATCAAGGCGGGGAGGGGATAACCAAGGACCATGCGGCGCCCCTACACCGTCGGCGAGGTAGAAGGGCGAATTGGCGAAGTAACAACGATGGTCGAAGAGAGACGAGTTAGAAGTCCTGTTGAGTGGACCTATCCCCAGAGATTGTTCCCTGTTGAGTTGTCTACTAGTCTAGCGCGAGCTTGCAAGCCACCTGGTTGACTGTTGACACGGGCGTGTTTTCCACCGCGCGTTGCTCCGAGCAACCGGACCGGTCGTGGGATTAAGAGAAAATGGTGCGTGGGGTTTGATGACCGTTCAGTCAGGACGCCAAGAGCCCGCTGAGTGCCTGCCGATGCGGCCCCTTGCCTCATTGCCACGGCATCCGTCGAGCTTATATACGCACCGTCGCCTCATGATTCGCTGGAAGCACGTCCAGGTCCCGTTTATTTCATGAAACTCTCCCGCTTGATGCATGGGGTGGAGGTTTGATTTTAATGTTGATAGACCTGCCTTACCGTAGAAAGCAGCTTGACATTGGCTACGGAGTATTGAGCTTGAAATTACCTACGAGATCTGCAGAACTGCCTGAGGCCGCCATGGTGGCGCCTCAGACCATCTGGTAAGGAGGTACTCTGGAGGGTACGGAGTAGGCATCTGGACCGCTGGCATCCACCCAAATTTGTATATGAGAAAATTGACAGACTGTCTCGCTGAGGATGCCTCGATTCGACTTTGCTCACGGAGTCTCCGAAGCACAAACACATATCATGAAAACCACTCTAGGTCATTCAAGTTATCTGCCCTATAAACAAAAATGTACGTAAACGCCGTCATCAAAACCCACATATAAGCCTTGCGCCGAGTATGTACACCTGTCCATTTCAGTTCACTTCTTCTTCCTCGTCGAGACTAGGAAGCACAACATCCCATCCGGGATCTTCAAGTTCCAGCGCGATATCATCATCCGCCCCGCCGTTCTCCTTGGGTTTTTGGAATCGGAAAGCAATAGATTGTCCATTGCGTAGTTTAGCCGACTGAAGAGTTAGGGAGCTGGCTGCCTTCTTCCCAGCGCCTCGCCTTGGGGTCTCGCCATCGTCGAACTCTGACATGTCAGACTCCAGCTTCGTCCAGCCCTTTTCCAGATCATTTTTGTCCACCGCCACTCCAAACTCGATGTCCGAGGGATCTTCAGGAACCGGGTCGCCGTTGATATCCTCAAGTTTGCGAGATTGAAGAGCTTTGAGGAGCGTCGCTTTGACGGAGGCGATTGATTCGGAAGGCGGGAGCACGAGAAGCACGGTCGTTTTGTGCTTTTTGAACAAGAGCGTCCAGCTCAAAGGGTCAACCTGCGACTGTTGAGACATGTGTTAGGGAAAAGATTCCACCTATGATGAGAAATGATAACGGAGGTCAAAAGAATAATTAAAACGTACCATCTTGTAGACTTAGTCTGGTGGTTGGTCGCCGAGCTTTGGCGGGTCCTCGGAGCTTTTGAAGAGTTCCGGCAGTCGGGGAGAATTTGGAGCGTCGCAGCGTGACCTCACTTCCCCCAAACGCAACGGCAAACAAACAGCCCCAAGGGACCCCGATCAACACCAGCAAGTAGCTTTCGCTACAATCGATTCCGTCTTTCTTTATTCGGCTTGAATATATTTACCTGCACGACATCAGTCCACCAATCGCCCACAATGGCCTCCCAGCAGCCGCCGAGCGCTGTTGACCCGGAATCACCGACACCGCAGGACAAACCGAGGTTCGGTTTGAAGCCGGATCAACGCCTGCCATACATCGCCTTGGCTACATTTGGTACGGGTATGGGCATCGGTGCCTTCCACGGGAGTCAGACGGCCTCCTATCGCTTTCGCGCCGAAAATGCGCACCGTTTCCCGACGACGAATAAAGGATGGTTCCTGTATCATAAGGATAAAAGCAACCTGCGCTTGGTGACGGCAGTCAAGGAGGGATTTAAGATGGGAGCCAAGCTGGGTGCAGGTGCTCTTGCGTTCGGGTTCTTTGAAGAAACGGTGGACAAGGCCCGAAATGACCGCGATTTCTTGTCTACGGTCACGGCTGGATTGACATTCTCGGGTATTTACAGTGTATTAGGTGGGTGCTCTGAATGCCTCTTGTCGTGTATCTGCTAAACGAAAATCTTCCATTTAGCCCGACATGATGTTTACACGGCTGCGCGTACCGCGAAGTTCGGCTTGAAGTTCGGTCTGGCGTATGGCTTGCTGCAGGACCTTCTCGAGACCTTGAAGGGCAAGCAGCCCAAATACGTGGACTTCATATTAGGAGATCGCCTATTCAAGAAGGAATAAATAGGAGGATTGAGCAGATTGTTGCCTTTCCGCCGATCATGAAGTCACGCCACAAATCCCGCGAGATCTAGTATGCCGCTACGTGTGTACTAGTGTTGAGAAGACAGCCCAATGCTAGACTCGGCGTAGTATAGGAGATATCTTGACTTGATGAGTTATACTATACATAACTCCATCACGACCGGTTCCCGTTCCCTGGAAGCAAACATAGCTTCTCGACATGACGCCTCTCCACTACATCTACTACGACCTCAGCTACTTTCATGCCTGAATACCGAGAACCCTGAGGCCAAGTTGAGAACCTTGAAGCTCAAGCGAGAAATCACCCCAGCGGAGCACGATCTTGAAAGATACCGACAATGCGCTTCATGAGGATGGTTGTTACCACCCGTACCTCGTTTGTCGGCGATATGTTAAGATAGACGAACACCGTTCACGGCCCTAGAGTTGGCAGATTGGCATTGAAGCTAGGAAGGAGATCGGAAGGCTCTTGGGGACCTCAGGAGGAGTCACTAAAGAATAAATACCGACACTACAGCCATTAGTTAGCTGGGCAGGGGCTGTTTGGTCGTTTGTAAGAATTTAATCTACTTTTTAGGTTTATCCCAAGCTACCTAGTCAGACTAGCCCCCGCATACAGTCTTCTACTTCGTTGCAAATGCGAACTGCGTAGTTCTGGGTGTCGTGCATTCCAGTGTGCCCGGTCCTCCATCGCACAGACGGGACTTTTTGACATCTGCCAGCGGAAGGTGGCCCCTGCGGATCTTCGCTGCCGTCCTCAATCCACCACGGCAGGACGATGCGATGGGATCTCGATGAAAATCGACGATTTCTGGCCACAAAGGACACAGAAAGCAAGTGGGACCCGTGAGCTGCAGGCTAAGCATCTTCTCAAGCAGTGTTCATGGGTGCTCCCCTCGTGGTTTATTTTTCATCTTCTTTCTCATCGCGAGAACGACCTTGAGGCCTGCTCGGAATGTGTAAAGCACGCCATACGCGAAATTCCGTGGCAGCGTCAACCAGGAATTCCAAACTCCCACGGCCATAGGGCTTATGCATGGCCTAACAGGACCACTGCAGCTGCAGTCAATCAAGCATCCACCCCTCATATCTCGGCTATGGGCACTCTGTGACCTGACGATCTCTGGCATCGCTGATCAATCAGCCTGGCGAGCTAACCAACTAGTCCGAACTGGTCAGTCAGCACCGTACTGTACGCATGTACCACTTGCGGAATTCTTATGCCTCCCTTCACTTCGGCTTTCTCTTTCTCACTCTCTCTCTCGTTACCCGCCCCCCGATCCTTGCTCTCGGCGTCGCATGCTTCACGGTTGAGGACGACCGCAATTGATGGGCACGAGAGAGCCTCGGGGAACCCACGGGGTTGATTAATCTTGATTATTCCCAACAGAAGATATCTCTTATTGCAGACCGCCGTTGTTTCGTCGGATTTCGCTGCTGCCGAGTTTCCCACCAAAACAACCCCACTAAAACCAGGGTTCTGATCCTATCACGAGAGGAGGGGTTTTTATTTTCTTTCTTCCTTTTTTTTTTCTTTCGCTGCTTCATTGATTTCCTCAGACGAGGGAGAACGAAGGCAACCGCTTGGCCCTGGTCGAATCGACAATAATCTCCTAGCGGTGAAAGCGTGAGAAAGTGATAGGCTGACTAACTGACTTGCCGGTGGAGCTCGACCGCATTATTTGACGTTGGTGATCCCCGCTTTCATTATTCTGGCTGCTGCTGCTGCGAAGCTTCCCTCCTGCTCTCCGACTGACTCGCTAATAACCATGGTCGTTCTTAGCGACTCCTCGACGGTGACTCTGGCATTCCGACTTTCGCTTCATCTTCGTTTCTCCAATCGCACGCCTCGCTCTCATATGCTTGTCCGCTACTGATAGCTCCCCCGCGCCGCCTGGGTTGGAAATGCCTCTCTGAAGCTCCCGTGATCCAATTCTCGTCGACGTCATCGGCCCATTGACTTCCCAATTATATGCTACCACTGAAAGAAAAATCCCTTTTCCTCCCGTGCTTATAATCCCATACTCCTCCTGTCTGATTTCCCCACCAGCCTATTTCCCCTCTATACTCACATCATGCGACGACATGGCAGGGCCAGTGGAGGTTCCACCAAGGCCGTCACACCCGTCTCCGACACCGTCTCGCTGATCCATTCGTTTGATTCCGTGACGAATCCGAATCGCCCCGTACGTCCCTCGCCGCTAGCATCCTCGAATATCCAGGCATTGCCGCTGGACCTGGTCGACCGACTGCGCTCCTTCCCGCTCTTCCAGTCTACCCCGGAATCTTTCTTGTTCGCTGTCGGCCAACACCTTCGCCCGCAGCTCCATGCCGCCAACGATTATATATTGACCGAGGGCGATGATGCCAAAGCGATATACTGGCTGGTGCGAGGTGCGGTGTCGGTGACCTCCCGCGATGGCGAGAGTATATATGCAGAGCTTGAATCGGGCGCCTTTTTCGGCGAGATTGGCGTCCTGATGGATCGTCCGCGGACGGCCACCATAGTTGCCCGCACGCGATGCCTATTGGTGGTGCTGACAAAGGAAGACTTCAGGAATATTCTCCCTCGCTTCCCTACGGTTGAGCAGGCCATCCGCGAAGAAGCTCAGGAACGGTTGATGATCCTTGAAAAGAAGAAGAAAGAGACGTCCGCGCCCGCGGCAGACATTGACGAACCGGCTCGCCGGGGGTCAAAGCGACTGAGAGACACCTTCATTAGAGACATGTCACTTACAGAGCGTGATGGCTCGACTCTGAAGTCGGTGAACAAGAAACGCAAGTCTCCAAGCCCCGGATTGGCCGACGGGTCGTCGAGTGCATTAGCAAATGGACTAGTCAGTGTCCGGCTTCTGCTCAAGGAGTTACCCCTGTTCTCCGGTCTCCCGCCGGACATCCTGCACTTCTTGGGCCTGAATGTGCAGCCGCGATCATATCCTCCCTTCACCGATATAATTAAGCAGGATTCCCAGGGCCGAGAAATCTATTTCATTGTTCGCGGTGAGGTGGAAGTCCTGTCTGAATGCGCCAAGCCTCAAAATTCCCACTCCCTGCCCAGCACCATCGAGCAGCCCGGGTTCGAAGTCAAGGCCCGGTTGAAACAGGGTCAATATTTTGGGGAGGTGGTGAGCCTTTCACTAGCCCCTCGTCGAACGGCAACGGTGCGCTCGATCAATGCGGTCGAGTGCTTGATGATTAGCGGCGACGTCTTGACGGAATTGTGGGAGAAATGTCCCCAGGATGTTCGACAGCAAGTGGAGCAGACCGCCAAAGAAAGACTCGATTCAGCGGCCGATGGCGATATTGTAATGTCCGAAGCCGGGGATGTCGCAAAGCCTATGGGCGACGGGTATCCGCAAGTCGGCGGTCCGCGTCGACAGTCGATGCCGCCAATGCTTACGCTGACGGAGACGGAACTGGATGCCCCCCTGAAGCCGAATGGCATTGACGAGCAGGCCGTCTTGCGACCATCTGATCCCGACCCTTTTCTTAATGTTGGCCTGGACAAAGTCCGACTTCGCAGTCGACGAGGTTCCGTTGCCCCGCTGACACCTGAGGAGGTCTCTGGGGAACAGCAACGACCATCGCCTCCATCGGAGCCGCGGTCTGCGAGTTCATCTTTTCTCACACTCCCGGAGGCAGCCATATCAACACCCAAGACTCAACGGGAACCCCAGAAAGACAATCGCGGAATTCTTCCTGACAACATTCTCCTGACTATATTCCACAACCTAGAGCTCCACCATCTCCTTCGCATTCGTGCTGTATCCCTCCACTGGTCAGAGATCTTGAGCAAGTCAACTGAGCTGCTTCACCATTTGGACCTGAACATATATAATCGATGCGTGACTGACGACGTTCTTGTCAAAATAATTTGTCCATTTGTCGGAAGCAGACCTCGTTATGTCAACATTAGCAACTGCTTTCATATAACCGATGAAGGATTCAATAAGTTGGTTAATACATGCGGCTCCAATGTTGTTGCATGGAAGATGAAGAGTGTGTGGGACGTGACAGCGTCGTCCATCCTTGAAATGGCTAGCAAGGCGAACGGGCTACAGGAAGTTGATTTAAGCAACTGTCGCAAAGTAGGAGACACCTTGCTAGCTCGAATCTTGGGATGGTTCGTGCCTGGTCAGCACAAAGTCAGCGAAGATTCGGGGAAAACAGGAAAGGCCATCCTGAAGCCTACTATGCTCACGGCTGCGGGCACTGTATACGGCTGTCCCAAGTTGAAAAAGTTGACATTATCATACTGCAAACATGTCACCGATCGATCGATGCATCATATCGCGTCTCATGCTGCTTCGCGCATTGAAGAGATGGACCTGACGCGCTGTACAACGATCACGGACCAGGGGTTTCAATTCTGGGGGAACACGCAATTTACCAATCTGCGAAGACTTTGTCTGGCGGACTGCACATATTTGACCGATCAAGCTATTGTTTACTTGACCAATTCCGCTAAACAGCTGCAGGAATTGGACCTGGTAAGGCTATCTGATTACCCGTCTCTTTTCATTTGTTTATTGGCGGGGAGTTGTAAGCTAACGCAAATCATTCGTCATGAACAGTCTTTTTGTTGTGCGTTGTCTGATACCGCAACCGAGGTTTTGGCGCTTCAGTGCTCTCAATTGACCTATTTGAACATGTCTTTCTGCGGTTCCGCAATCTCCGATCCGTCATTGCGCAGTATTGGTCTCCATCTTCTTCATCTGAAACGATTGTCCGTGCGTGGCTGCGTTCGAGTTACCGGCGCCGGCGTTGAGGCTGTTGCCGACGGCTGTAACCAGCTGGAATCCTTCGATGTCAGCCAGTGCAAAAACCTCTTACCTTGGCTTGAGGATGAAGGGCCTTCCAGATATGAAGGCAACATCAATTTCGAAACGGTTGCACAGAATGGGAGAGTGTTTCGGTGATTCATCCTGGGGGTCTTCCCTGTGACATGAGTTTTGATTTGCTCCGGCTTTGACCACTCAACCTAGTTAAGGAGTTTTCCCGGCATATCAAATTGCTGTTCCTCCCTCCTATCTCCCCACCGTCTTCCCGCCATTTTCCTTGCTTGTGTGAACCCGGTGCGCCGTGATACTCTCGCCTTGGAAAATGTACTTCGCATCATCCAGGGTACGATTTCTGGCCCCGGTATGTGCTAATGTGCTATATAGAGATATGGAGCATGTCCATTTCTCATGTCTTTTATTTGTCTCTTAATCTTTCTGACATCTCCTATTTTTTGGGATGGTCTTTAAATTTCTAACGGCGGTACAGGAGCTATGGCTATGGGCATGGAAGGAGTTGACATGGAAGGGAAAGCATCAGGCAGCATATATCTGTTCAAAGGATCGGTCTGTTAATATTCACACTGCATGCCGGAGCAAATGGATGGTTTCGGAATGCCCTTCTGTATCTTAGACCTTTTATACTTCTCCGTCTCTGTCTTTATTTTTGGTCTTGCGGGACGACTGGAGATACATCTGAATAGAACGACCGCATATTCCTCATAATTTTTGGATTGGAAGCTCGTTGGATGTGGGATTCGAACGGAATCCCAGGCCTTTGTCCTAGTATGATATCAGTATTTTCCCTAACCCTTTGCTGGGTCGTCATTACTAACTAGTCTTTGAGCAATCGCTTTGCGTTAGATGGACGGGTAACTAGGTAAGTCTCGTTCTGTTTTTCATCTTCTCATCCAATATAAAAGATAGTTAGCGTTGACGGATAGATAGGACAAAGGTCATTGATATAACAAAGCACCATGGTGACTGGTAGTCACCACAACTCCCGCCTGGTCATGACAAGGGCACAAGGGCTCATCTTTGATGCACTGTTTTCTTTATACGCATTATTAGAAAGACAACAGGCATTGTGCATAACAATGCTGCCTTGTTTTCCTACGAGATCATCTCGTGCAGTCTCTGCGCTTTGATCCCATTGTATTCACTGTCCAGTGCTTTGTTGGTTCTGCCAATCGCTTTGAGAGAGGGACCTACTACTGGGGACTGCCGGTAGGTTTACTGGAAGGTCCCTCGAAGAAGATAAATAGCGAGGGAAGCCCACGGTATGTTCCGGTTGGCAGATATACCATTTGCAGCGACATCGCCCTCCAACCACCAGTATATAATAGCCTCAACGGATCGTTCCAACAGGCGTGGAAGGAAAGGAGGAACAACTATCTCAAGTACGCTCTCTGCTTTCCATCTACTTTGTTTCGTTTCATCGCAGCTCAGCTTAACTTTGAGTACCCTTTGCACCCTATCTCAATCCTATCTTTTACTGTTTACTACTGCATCCTCCATTCAACATGTCCTCCAAGCGCAAGGCAGACGACGCTAACCTTGACGAAGACCAGCCCCGTCGAATCACCAGGCGCAATGCAGGAACTGCCAATAAGACTCTACCAGGGCAGGCTTCTGCAGTGGTCCCAGAAGATGACCCTGTATTGATTCTTCTAAATTCTGCCCCAGTTCCTGAAGCCAATGCCCCAGTTCCTCAACCCATTACCCAAGTCCCCCAATTCTCCACCCAAGCCACCCAAGCCTCTGCAGCAGTTCCCCAAGTCTCCGTATCAGTCCCCCAGACCTCTGCACCGGCTCGCAAGACCAAGGCTGCAGAGATCGAGGATGGGACTGTTCCTGACGAGGAGGCTGCTCGACCGACCAAAAGGGCCAGAGGCAATGGTCCCCCAGTTCCTACGAAGACAACCAGAGGTTCTACGCGCGTCAACCCCGAGTCTCAAGCGAAGAAGAACTCGGAGAAGTTCAGAAGCGAGTCCCCAGCTGCCAAGACTACCCAGGAGGCTATTCCTACGGCCATTCCTGGTAGCAGTGCTGACTGCCCTTTGGAGCTGGATGATACCGACGATGGGAACCAGGGTGCGAATGTGAACCAAGAAGTGGGAGATCCACTCTTTGAGGAGGGAGATCCACTCTTTGGGGAGGATGATCAACTCTTTGGGGAGGGAGAGGAGCAGCAGGGCGGTGGAGAAGAGGATACCAAGAGGGAGCAGGATGAGCAAGGGGAACTCCAGGGAGAGGAAGACAGGCAAGACGAACCTCAGGGAGAGGGGGGTGAGGCTGATGAGCAGCAGAGACTGGGTGATGAGGTTGAAGAAGAGGAAGAGGAAGAGGAAGAGGAACGGCCGAAAGGCAAAAAGAAGAAGGCCAAAACGGCGAGCCAGAAAGCCAAGAAGAACCCGGGACACACACGGACTCGCAGAAGAGCAGACCAACCCGAAGCGGATCATTCGGCCATTATACGGAAGAGGTGGCGGGACGATAGTGAAAAAGACGCACGGAATCTCGCGGAGTGGGAAGAGAGGTGTCGACAATGGCGCGAGCAGGGCATAGACCCTGACAATGACAAAGAGTATAAAAGGTTGAAACCGAAAATGCGGACGGGGCAAGCGTGTGATCGCTGCGTAGTAAGTCGATTCAATGGATCTCTTGGATCTCTGCGAGAGATGTACTAACGGGTGATAGAACCTCCGGCAACCATGCAGCAAGGATGCCGACTCCTGTCGCAGGTGCCGAGAGAAAGGATTTGAATGCTTCATGACGGATAAGAACACGGGCGTCACGAATAAACGAGGCGCAATCCGGGAAGGACGAGAGGAAATCCAACAGCTGAGGCAGCAGCTGGCGGAGAGTGAAGAGGAGGTGAGGCGACGAATTGCGGTCATCAATCAGCAGCGGGCCCTCATCCAACAGTACGGCGTCGTCTCACGCATTTCCGTGCCCGAAATGCAGGTAAGTGCTTGCTACATAACTCCCCTTTCATCTCATGCCCTTGTTTCAAACAGCTAACCATCTGCTCCTCTAGGCCAGGTTCATGACTCGCAATCCACCGGTTCCATATGCCAATTACAACGGACTGAATATGCCAGGCAGCGTGCCGGTGTTCGACCAGACGATGCCCGGTGGTTTGATGATGGATCCGTCAACGCAGTACCCCATGCCCATGGGTCCAGGACCTGTCCGGCAGGGCCAGGTAGGCAATGGCGGGTATATGAACCCGCCTGCAAACATGACTGGCCCTGCAAACAGGAACCGTCCTCCCATGGGTCGTTTGCCTCAGGATATGGCTATGCCGGGGCCCTATCAAATGGGCCCCGCCCCAAATATGGGCCCTCCCCAATATAACCCCCATATGCTCAATCCCTACGGCGTGGCACAGTACCGTCAGCTGAACCAGCAGCCTGGCGGTCTTAACATGTTCCAGGGGGATATGACGCATTTGGGGTACCAGGTGCCCCAGCAAGCCATGCCACCCCGGCGGAATATGCAGCCTCAGCCGACCATGCAGGCTCCTATTCCGAGCGAAGACAGAACCGGGGCTACTGCGCATGGCTTGTCAGAGGGCACAGGGCCCAGTCAATTCCCGCCCACAAATGTGGGTAATAATTTCGAGCTCCCTCCGGATGATTACAGCAATGCCCCCGGGTTTGAAGACAACAACCCGATGGAGGCTGCTGATATCCGGAGAGATAGCGCTGTTTCCAGGAACGCCTTTGACGAATTCCTCGATGAAACGGTATACGCCCAGCCGGACGACGCTGAGCCCTTGGCCCCTGCACCGCAACGGCCGGCCAGGAGCCAGCGTTCTTCGGTTGGCGCTATTCATCCGCCATCGTACAACGTCGACAGCACCGGCGCGGTGTACGAGGAATTCCCACCGGCGCAGCCTCCTCTCCCCTCTGTCCCTAGCACGGCTTATCCCAACCGCCTGAGCGTTTCGGGACCCGTCCAGCCAGCCGGAGCTGCTGCGGCCAACGTCGAATATTCCGCTCAGCCCATGACGGCTAGTCTGCAGCCCCCCACTAATATCGCAGGCGTCAATGACCAAAGCACTCTGCCCCCGGTCGAATCGACCCAGGAAGCAGGCGGAGTGCAGGTCAACGACCTCGATATCGCGCGAGAGATGGCGCAGCTAGCAGCCATGCGGAATCAAGACACCCAAGCAGCTCAGGCCGCCGTCCAGTCCGCTCCCCCTGCTCCTGTTCAGCCTCGTCCTGAAACCCAGAGTCAGACCCAGACCCAGGATCCTCCCCCCCCTCAGAACCAGAACCCATCTCCCCCCGAAGACGACGGGATCATTGATTTGCACCCCCTGCGGGAAGGCGAGATGGAGGAACTGTGGGGGCTCGCCTGCGTGCCTGATAACCTTGAGGACGTCTTTCTGGGTGAGCCCAGCTACAACGACGAGGCTTGGAGGGAGTTCATCGGGTTGTCCAACCAAGCCAACCCGAACCCGACAACTGCCCCCGGTGAACCCGAGAGCAACGCGGCGTCCAGCGGGCAGGAGAGTGCCGAGCAGCCGGCGGAACCAACGGATGGGGAGATCCAGCGTCCTCCGGGGGTCCAGCAACTCATCGACCTCCACGACGACTTCAATACCCCCTTGTTTCCTGGGGTTGAAGTCCCCCCCGCCGATGAGAATGTGGGAGACGACGGCCTTGACGACCTCTTTGAGGAGTGAGGTCGAGTGTATTTATGGTTTGTATATAACTTAGAGGGCGTTGGGTATATTGGCCTTAATGGATGGGGTTTGGGTTCGGTTCGGTTTGATTCGATGTACTTTTGTTTGCATTGCGTTGGAGTTTCGGCCTAGAGACAGCGTCGGGGATTTCTTGGTTTTGTAAGATGGCGTCTCGGAGTTTCATGTTGTTTCTGTTTTCTTGATAGACTGGGTATAGATATGAACTGGTTTCATTTACTCATCTTGTATTCTCTGGTAAATCATTCGTGTAAGCGGTGATGGTAAGTGGTACTTTCATTTTATTTTCAGAGTGAAGGGAAATGAATCATGGGATATAGTCTAGCAAAATCAAACAAGGTTTAATCCACAATCAATGGGTATTCGCAAAAATAATATAATGTCTTACCGGTTATATTCAACCGAAGTCCTTCCATAAGCTCCAACTCCTATTTCCCATTCCACAAGACATCCAACCCGAAACCAAAAAAATATTCAACACCGTCCCAATCATAGAGTATAAGAAATAGACAATACATATAAAAGACCGAGAAAAAAGACGAACCAAAATCATCGATAGCAGCAACATATACTCCGATTTTCGCACCACTGCCGCACAAACCCAGCCCCGACTTCTCTGTCCTCGGACACGAGAGCCAAGCCCTCTGTATTCAGCCAGCCCGTGAAGTCCTCTAGGATGATAGGATCATACAGCAGCATTTTCTCGTGCCAGGTGAGATGATTGGGAGGACGACTAGAGGCATGGGATTGAGATTGTGCACGGACAGCCTTGGTTATCTGGCTGGCTAGATCAGGAGGCGCTATTGATTTGGGGGCTTGTGATGCAGGGAGATGTTTTGTAGTGTTGCGAGGTGGAGCCGATGGAGTCGGTGACATAGGGAGAGTTTGTCTGTCTTCGGTGATATGGCGGGAGAATCGGCTCAGGAGTCGGCTGGGAGAGGGAGTGGCCTCGTCTTCTGAGTCTTGGATTTCCTCTATGTCGGCGAAGGAACGCATGGATGATGTCGGCTGAGTTGGTTCAGACCGAGAAGTGGCTTTCTTGGTGGCCTTGGAGAGTGAGGTAGATGCATCGGTTTTCGATTTCGTCGTGGATTTGGATGACTTGCTTGTTTGGACCTTTGCTTTTGTGGTCGTCGCTTGAGAGGCACCGGTAGCTTTGCGTGTACCTTTACCCTTTGTCTGGGGCTGGGATGGCGCTGTCGGTGGCTCAGAAGGTCTATTATCCCACTTCGTTTCATCATTCAAGCTCTGACAAGTACCGTGTTGAGAATCCCAGCACTTCTCAAGCAACTCAATCATTTTCTTGCGGTTTCTGACCGCTTTGAACCCATAGGATGCCACCTGCTTGGATAATTCGGCATCTGTAAATCCGGTATATTGGGGCTTTTGAAGAGATTCCGCAGGCTGATGAGTTGTCTCCTTGGTTTTGCTTTTGTGTGTGTTTGTATCCTGGTTTGCTACCGGTGGCAGCTCTTTATCCAAAGGTGCTGTATTTTTAGGCTCAGATGCTCCATGGTGGCTCGAGAAATCATCCGAAACATTAGAATTTATGCTCTGTTTATCTTTTGAAACAGCTTTGGGTTTTTTGTTACTGATAGACGATATTTTAGGGAAAGCAGGCGAGTCGGATAGATCGATAACATCGACATGAGCCAATGACCCCTCGGAATCTCTCGCCGCAACGGACCACAAATTTCTCGGGGCCTTAAAGCGTGAGACTGTGGAGGTAGACGATGGTCCTAACTGTGAGTCTGGAGCCAAACTAGACGTCGACGCGGCTGTTATACTCTTCTCTGATTCAAGAATTGCTGCTTGCGTTTCTCTTAATAAGGTTGGCGAGTCTTCTCGTTGCAGCTGACTGCAGGTCCCAAATACGAGATCTTGGTCATCAAGGGACTTGGCGGCTGCTTCAGGGGAAAGAACGATGAATTCTGGTTCCTGAGGTTTTGATTTGCCTTTCCCTTTCGATTTTGTGCTTTTAGTTTGAACAGGAGTGGAGTCCTTCCCGGAGGCCCCCAAAAGGCCTGAAGAGTCCGCGAGATCATGGTTGTATTGGGCCGTCACACGAGCTGTAAGCGTGGTAAGCTTTTTGGGCTTTGGCTGCTTTCTCTTTTTATGCCCAGGTGCTTTAGAAGACTGCTTTTCTTCGGTAGACGGCTTCTCGTTGTCGGGACTTCTCTGTCTCGATTCAGGATTGCACACAGAATCAACAAGTTCGATTCGTCTCCGCTTTGTGATGAATCCATCCTCAGGAATCACAGAGTTGAGTTGGGGAATCGAGGAGCCTCCGCTGAAATTGTAATCCGCTAACAAAGAACTGAACTTGTTCGAGATACTGTCGCCCACACCTTCGACCTTGCCGGTCTCGACGGCCCGTTTCATCGTATCTTTGGTCGGAGTCCAATCCATCCTCCGTTTTGTCGCTGCTTCCAGTTGCAGGCCTTCCTTCTCCCAGTCGATCGGATTCTCGGCGGTCTCTCCCGATGGAGATTTAGGAGTCGATGGGCATTTGGTTTTCGCATCGGACTCTTTTGGTTGAACATTTCCGGCCTTCGCAACCCTCCCCGACAGTGTTTTATTATCTGTAGGAGCCTTCGTGCTTGGTCTTCCGCGCTTTTTTGGTCCTTCCGTTGATTTTGTCTTTGTAACCCTGGGCCTTTTTGGCGCGGATTCTTTCTTATTCTGATCCGAGGCTGATGTTGCTGGACTGTCTTGCGCCTTGCTCGCGGCCTTTCCTCGCCCTCGTTTCGGTTTGTTCACAGTCGTAGGTTCTGTTCCTCCCACATCAGGACTTTCTGAGCTTGTGGGTTTCTCATTTGGCGCATTCTTTCCCCGGGTATTTGGCCGTTTATTGCTTTGGTTGTCGGTGCTGAAGAACCGGGATCGCGAAGGGGGTCGGAACAACTCTGACGGTGATACCACAGACGGCGGCGATGATCCTGGCGGGGAGATTCCAAACAGTTTCTCCGGATCGTAAGCCGGACGCGCTGGAGTGTGAGAAGGAGGCTGCTCAGGCGAGGAATCAAGGATGATGACGTCTGCCGCGGCGCTCATGGTGGCTAGCGCGTAGCGATGCAGCAACGCTAAGGACGTTTAGAGGGCGAGCATGGATGATGAATGATGGCGATAATATAAATCGAGCTCTCTGACACGTCTTCCCCTGTTGTCAAATCTCAGCTAATTTCGGCGGGAAAATTACGGATGAAGGATGAAGATTCACGCCGATTCTTGGCAAAGTTGTCGGGTTACCGGATTCGGACGTGTCAAACAGTGGGCAGGGCAACCGATGGCATTTCGTCTGACATGTCTCCCAAGTCGCTCATCGATATTTAATTAGAGTATCCAACAAAGTATGATTTCTAAATCTTTCTTCTATTCCATATTCTGGGGTATATCACATGAATTGGGTCGTAATTGAGAGCCCACGATCGTGACGCCTGATCGTTTAGTCATAAGCACAGCGGCGTAAGACTTGCGCCTTCCCAAGCACATTGACCACGCTTATATCAAACGTTGACGACTGTGTAGAAAGAGATGCCGCGAAGCCCCCGTGATTGTTGCATATCTGTCACCATGTTTGGCCTCCCCAGGAACACATCGCCGAGGAAGCCTGTGACAAGAGAGTTGGACAGTTCTAAGCCAACTGTGGGACGTGATTCCTGCAAAGACCATGACGGAATTTAGTGTCACTGCGCCGGCTCAAAACGCCTTGATGATGTTACTATCGATGCAGCGGTCAAAATCAAGTCGCTCCCCGCAACGCGATGGCAGCCAGCACCGAAAGTTCAAGTCGTTTCATTTGATCGTCCTGGACACCGTTGACTTGGTTCCCTGGGGTAGTATTCAATGCTCCCAGCTTGTATGCCTTCTTGATTTTCGCGACATCGGCGATCTGAGACAATGTCTCGTCGTCAAATGGTACCATAGAGCCTTCGATGTGCTGCGATAGATGCGCTGCTACTGCGTCGTGTGTGGCACTTGAGTCCACAGCAATCTTAACCACAAGTAGGTCCTTTGTCGAGTCCGTGATACCGAATTTGCGGAATGAGTCGGCGATCTATGCGCGATTAGCTTAGAAACAGAATCAATCGGTCTACAACCCAGGAACACACATTAGTGGTGGGGTTCAAAGAGAACACAGTCTCGGAATGCACATTGCGAGACTTTAGCCGGTCATTCAAGTAGTCATTTACTGCTCTGAAAACGGCCGAAAGAGCATGCGTTTTGGATAGGACCTGTCCTTGGCGGTTAAAACCATCTCATTGATTCTACATCGAATTGACTGCACAAATGCTCCATACCATGCTTGCATCGACGAAGGCATATTCAAATTCCGCATTTCCCGAGATGAGCTGCTGTCGCAAAAAGGGCGCATTCTTCAGATCCCGGTACAAGGCTACATGCACCGGTAGCGAGGATGGAAGATGGGGGAGCTGGATCGTTTCCAATGACGCAGACATGATGGCAAGAATTTCCAAGCAAGACTGACTCAAATTCGGCAGATGCGAGAAGGACGTCGAAAGAACGACCGGAGATATCGCAACGCCGGTCTTTTCCCCTCCCCCGCCAAACTTATCGCCGACGCCAAGTGAGTCAGCACCGCCACGTGACTGCACTTCTCGAACTTTCGGGCGCCCGTAGCGGACCAGCGCGGACTGATATCACAGCCCTTAAATCCAGCCTGCCGTGAACCCTTCGTCATCACGCTTGGATTCATCTCCATCGCAATCATGGCTTTCTTCCTACGGCGCCCTTTTGCCGTTCCGACGGCTCTTCGTCAAGCAGCACCTAAAGCTGCGAACAACGCTCGATTCATCCACAACTCTCCCTTCAAGCCTCAGTCCAAGCCCGTCGGCTCGGCCTCGTCCTCGATCTTCGCGAAGTCCAGACAGTCCTTCCAGAATGCTTTCCGTCGCACATACATGCAGCCTTCCTACAACGCCTATGGCGGTGGCAACGTTACCCAAAAGCTGCTCTACGGAGCCGCTATTGTTGGTGGAACTGTCCTGGCGACGAACTTCATCTTCAACCGTGAGACGAGAGAGGATGGCGGCATGCCTCCGTACGAACGAAGCTACCTGAACGACACTTTCTTGCACACTGGACTCGGACTTGGTATCATTGGTATCGCTGCTAGAGCTTTGCACATGAACGGATGGTCGTACCGTCTGATGGCCATGAACCCTTGGGCCGTCGTTGGTCTCGGTCTGGTTGGCAGCATCGGAACTATGTATGGCACTATGTACACTTCTCCCGACAAGTGAGTATTCCATCTCTATTCCATCCTAATCCATCGATTCCATCAGTCAAAGAACCAAATACTAACAAGCCATCTAGCTACGTGATGAAGTATGGTCTCTGGGCTGGTTTCAACCTCACCCAGGCTGCGCTTCTTTCGCCCCTGATGTTCATGCACCCCGCTCTGCTCGCCCGCGCTGGTCTCTACACCGTCGGAATGATGGGATCGATTGCTTTCGTCGGTGCCACCGCTAAGCAGGAGAAGTACCTGTACCTCGGCGCTCCCCTCCTCGCCGGTGTCACTATCGTTGCTCTGTCCGGTCTTGCTCCTCTCGTCATCCCCGCCACCGCCACCCGTACCCTGATGTGGTCCGAGAAGATCTGGCTGTACGGTGGTCTCGCTGTCTTCGGTGGTTTCACTCTCTACGACGTCCAGAAGGTCCTGCACCACGCCCGCATGGCCGAGCGCGGTCTTGTCCGTCGTGACGTCGTCAACGAGAGCATCAGCCTCGAGTTGGACTTCATCAACATCTTCGTCCGTATGGTCCAGATCCTGGGCATGCAGCGCAACAACCGCAGGTAAATCATACCTGATCAAACGAATTAAATGTCCCTGAAGGACTTCCCGGGAACCGAACTACATCGGAAGAAATGTTGGTTCGATTCGATCGCTGGTCTGTGCAAGGCCAGTAAATAAAGATAATAAACCCTGGAGGAAAGTGGATATTGCATGCGTTCGCTTTATTTTGCCCGCATTTATTGGGTCTCCTATGTACTTATACTCATCGTGGCTTTTTTACCCCCCGGCTATGGTCCAATGCCATATGGTTGAAGCTTTTGCACCAAGCAGTGTCCTGTTTATTCCCTGCGCATAAATCACTAGTCGACTGCCCTCGGCTAGAGGCATGGCGGAGAAATCTGCTCGAGGATTCAGGCATTTGTTCGATAGGACTGGTTAATAGATCCACTCCACTCTTTAAATAAAAATGGCAAAAAAATCAAAATTTCTCTATTGGACTACCTGGTTATTAAGAAAGATGTAACTGTCTTAGGTGGAGGAAACGGAGCATAAAAATTGAAAGCTGAACAGACCGTGTCCTTGAAATATTACTATGTGCAACCAAAACTAGAATACTAAGTAGTAGATAACATCGAAGGAGTCCTCGAGAAGAAAACCAGAAAATACAACGACAGGCTGCGTCACAAACCAACCCACACCAGATAGACAAACACCGAGACCCAAATCGACAAAACAACCTGCCCACAGCCCGAAACAAGACTCCTCCCAGCCAGACTCGTCGGAGCAGAGAACTTCGAAACGGAATCGTTCAAAGGCTTCTTCTCAAAGTCATGATACGACACATTGGCGCGCTCATAGCCACAGAGCCCACTCCCGTGCATCAAGTTAGTCGGGTAGAGCACGCGCGGCTCGCCCTTGTCCATGTCGAGTCTGAGCTCGCCCATATCGTTGATGGTGTACGTTTTGCAGGTGAAGACGTCGATCACCACGAATGAAGGCTGGTACCCGTTCATCATGCGGACTGTGTATTCGCCACTCTGCGATCCCTGCGTGGACAGCACCATGACGACCTGTCGGCCTTCTCGGCCCTTGCGGAACCCCATCTCGCTGAGGCCCTTGTAGATCGGGTAGGTCTGGGTGTTGAGGTATTCCGGGTCGACGCGGGAGGCGTGCTTGCGGAGTCGGTTCAGCGTGGCAGTCGCTTTGTATAACGGGGCTTTGGTGTCGTAGCCGGAGAGCCAGAGGGCTTCGCGATTCTCGGGGTCGTGGCTCCCTGAGAAGTGCTGCTCCTGGCCTTGGTAGATGATGGGGATGCCGTCGAAGAGTAAGGTGAAGGTAAGAACGTTCTTAGCGAGCTGCGTGGTTGATGCTGTTAGGTTCGAGGTATGGGTAGAGTCAGAGGGGAGTGTGGTTGCTTACAGTCATGTCGTCTTTGTGGCTGGCGAATCGAGCAATGTCATGATTCTCCGAAAAAGAGGCCATTGCTGTTACATCAGGACAATTGTTCTTCATCACTTCCACTTGGTCCGGCAGTGAGCTTGTATTGCCTAGAGTGAAAGCGTCCAGGAGAGAATAATAGATGGGATAGTTCGGAAGGCTGGTCAGCTTGTCTTGATAGCCACAGATCCTTCTGACTGATCTGTCGAACACCTCGCCCGTTATAAATGTATTGGCTTCCTCTTGGAACACAGGGAGAAAGTCTGGAGTGATGTGCTTTGCCGCGTCGAGACGCAGCCCATCAATCGAATAGTTGGATATTGTCTCTTTGATCCACCCCAGCAGCATCGCTTGTACCTGCTTGTCTTCGGTCTTCAGGTCTGGAAGTGGCACAACATTATCTCCCGTCCAGCATTTCTGGGCAAGTGAGTAGTCATTGTAGTCCGTGATTTTGCAGTACGGGTGGAAATATTTCGCATCATTGAATGGGTTGAGATCGGAGTATTCGACATCAGCCGGGGAGCCTCCACTCCCTGTGATATAAGCCATATTGTTGATCACAGTGTCCATCATGAGATACATTCCGCGGTCGTGCAGAGCTTTGCTAAGATCAAGCAGATCCTGCTTTGTTCCGAAGTGCGAGTTCAGCGAGTACATGTCCTGAACCCAATAGCCATGGTAGGCTTCGCCATATGGCGCACGGCCTTCCACATTCTTGACGATAGGTGATATCATGACAGCATCAAACCCCATGTCTTGGATATAGTCAAGTTGATTTATCATTCCTCTCCAGGTTCCACCGCAATGCAGGCCCTGTGTCGTATTGCAGCCGTGAGATGTGGAACCATCAGTTCGCGCAAACCGATCTGTCATGGTCTGGTAGATAGACCTCGACTTCCAAGCTTTTGTGTCTGCTGCGTCACCAAGGGAGAACATATCCATAGCTAGAATGAAGCAAGCCCATTTTGACAACTGTATGAGGGGCATGGTATCAAGTCACTTTGCGAAATTAAGAGTCCTCGGCTCATATGATCATGATTTGCTTTATTGAAAGTGTGGCTCCGCTTGTCTGTGAGAGCGTAAGATAACTCACTAAAACAAAAGTAAGTAGAATGTTGAATTTAAAGAGTGTCGGATAGCAAGAAATCCCAAATGATTGATGGTACTCGTTCCAAAAGAACAATGCGAAAGTGAGCAAGAGGGAATATAAAGATGGTAGCCAAAACGTTGGGGTAAAACAAAAGGGCAATAATGAAAAAGGAACGAGCAGTCAGGCGCACGAGGGGCGATGCTAGAGCCCAAGGGGAAATCTTGGAGACTGTATAGTCGATGGCACTCCTTGACAAGGGACGACCCCTCTCTTCTATGCACCACAATATGGGATTTTACCCATCAGGACTTTCGATCATAGCGAAATTGCTTGCCTGCTGTACTGCAAATTTGATGCTGTTCTACTGCATGCATCATTCTTTCATAGACCTGAGATACTCCACGTTAATCTTAGAGACATAACGCAGGACTTGGTGTGTAGCGAGCTTGGAGATTAACTAGGTTGAATTCGGATAGATGAATATCTTTGAATATCCTTAAACAGAAGGGATAGATCATCCTGGTCCTGCCATCAGCAAACCTAATACCAAATGCTCGAGGGTGGCAGCGCCCTTTAGTATGAGCTCCTGTTCTACTATCAGGGCAGAAAGGCGCAACAACAGGTGGGCTAATTCTCCAGGGGAAAAGCATGGGACAGCTCCCCTTGCGCAAGGAGTGGATCATGAACATAACCTGGGAATCGAGGATATACGTCGACTTCGATGTCCAGTATCAAATACTCAACTAGAGCATTAATGGTGCACAAGTCGAACATTAGTAACCAACTGAGCGGCATTGCCATTATTCTCTCTTATCGTTCAACTTCAAAATAAATGAATTGGAATTCGAATGATACCAATCAAGGCGAGTCGAAGGGTGGGTGGATGCAAGGGAGAAGGGAGAAAAGCCGAGGGTTAAATCCACGGTGACATACACGATCAGGAGACTTACCGTTAACTTCGCGTTTCCCAAATTTGTATGCAATTTGGCAAAATAGAATCCAGTTCATATTCATAATCAACATGCTGGGAAATGAGGGAGTTATGATTTTTCATGCAGGAAGGCGCTCTGGTCACCAATCTGTCGTCGCCCTTGCAGCACAGATAGGAAGCTGCAGCCCAAGCTTGTTAATTTAGCTTAATGCGGAAAATATCAACAATTGGTGAGAGCAGATGCATGTCTATGAGGCTACTGGCTCGAGAGCTAGACCTACTTACTCCGAGGTCCGCTTGGGTTATTGGGTAAGTTGTACTGTGCAATTTCCAGAATTTTGTCCTACCTTGCTAATATCTTATAGGAAAATACGATGCTCGACTCCGATTTAAACTCTTCATTGTACAATATAACAGTAATATCACAGACCTCTGTCGACTAATTCCATATTAAAGGTGAAATAATAATATCAACCGTCGACATGAATCCTCTCTCTTAGGCATAACCCGATGCCATAATTTCAGAATCATACTGCTCAACGTGAATGGACAGAGATAGCACGACATTGTGCTCAACAGGACACAGACGAAACTAACACCGGCAGTATCCCCAGTTTGTTCCCCCCAAGTGAGACCATCGAGTCTTGGTGCATAGGTATGACTCTGCTCTCTTCCTTACAGGTAACGTAAAGTTTCTTCACCTTGACTGTTTCCTTCTCTTTCTTTTCAACGGCCCAGAGATATTCCACGAGTCCTCTCCAATCCAGAACAGATACAGGAGGAGGTTTGACGATGTTGACCATATGACACCAGTGCGCTGACGTGATTTCTTTGAACGTCCTGAGAATGAGGGCCGCAGTTTTCCAACCTTTGATCCGCTCCTCCGGTAGGAAGAGCTCGATTCTCTGCTTCGACCAGTTGCATGAGTAGAAGTCGGCAAAAAGCCTGCTTTCGAGATGAGGAGCGGCGAATCCTTGGGACTTTTGCTTGACAACCATCTTGTTTCCTTTCGCAAGACAGGCCGAGCGTTTCATTTGCAGTGAGAGTTGGAGAGAGCCGTCTTCGAGTCCTCTGAGATTGATGAAATGCATTTTCGAGCATTTAATATGCACGCTGAGAGTCCAGGCCGTTTCAACTATTTCGGGATTCTTGATTGTTTCTCGCAAAATTAAAACGTGACCGACCAAATCAAATACTACGTCGAGTTCAGCCCCGGGTTGATGCAGCGCACGCTTTTGTTCTGGTCTCGTGCCGTGCAAGAAGAGCTTGAGCTTTCTCGGAGATCTTCTGGATGCTGGCTGGCAGCCACATTTGGGGTCCTTGCTAGCCATCGAATGCTATCAGTCAAAGTACGTTCATCTGGACAAAACAGCCTTGTACTTACCAGCGCATCTTGTCAGGGTGGTCAAGATCCATCGATGTTAGCGACGCTTCTCTGGACGTGGACCGATTAGAAGAAAGGGGTTTGGAATGAGGAAATCCGTGAGTTGGGAGTCGAGAGTAGTAGCGCATGTTATGACTGTTGTGTGGAGGGTGGCTGGTCTTCATTCACTGCTTTCCTCACTTTGGGGTGTCAACCGTACGTATTGGGATGCTACGGTCCCATATACAGCAATACCTGCCACCTTGGATGGATCGGAATTTTAGGATGAGAGAGCTCTTTGGACAGACCTTTGCCAGTATGTGATAGACAAGTGTAGATGAGTAGATTCGGAGGACTCGAGTCATCTTGCCCAAGGCCATACATCACATATAGCTCATGAAAGTAGGCCTACGTCTACGTGACGTTAGTACAATGAGTCGGAGCTTCGAGAGATGGGTAAGGCAAAGAGAAAGCTCTTGTCTGCCTCCTAGGAAAATAAGAGAGGGATGACTAGGTAGGAGAACCCAGGTGTCAGATTCTATCCAATTCATCTCTTGCTGTAGACTGTTGAAGCTTAATCTGAAACGGCTGGACAGTTGAGAATATTGTGTAAGCTTTCCCTTTCTATCTAGAATAAGTATTCCTTATGAGCCACTAACAATGAAGGTTTCCACCATTCTAATATTCTACATGATCATAGTCCTCTTTTTTTTTTTTTTTCTCTTTCATTTCATTTAGGATTAGTCACATCCAAATGTATAGTTAGGGCTTCCTACAGGTTTAGAGAACCCGACCTGTAATCCTAGAGAAATTACAGCACTTAACAATAATACGTAGAGAATATACCATGGCCAAGAATTAATAAATTGAAAAACTACCCCTTCTAATTCTTTTAACAACAACATTGCCCGTTGCCAGGTGCACTGGACTCTTGTAGTCCTGCCAGTACTATAGATTACATAAGCCCACCGCAAGCTTCGCGCCGACGATCCGCTCGCGATCAAGCACTGGACAAACCTTTCTAATTCCGTCATTCCTCTCTACATCCTACAGCCTTTCGCTTCTCCCTTTACTTACTGTTCCCTTACGAATCGTCACAATGTCCGCCGAAATGGAAGTCGACCAGCCCGTCTCGCAGGACGACGCCCCCGCGCAAACTGGAGGTTTCGAACCACGAACACACGCCGAAGCCGTCGCTGTGCGCAGTATCGAGGGATGGATTGTGATCGCGACCAACATTCACGAGGAAGCATCCGAAGAAGATGTGACGGATTTGTTTGCTGAGTATGGAGAGATCAAGAACTTCAACCTGAACCTTGATCGCCGTACGGGTTATGTCAAGGTAAGTTGACATGGTCGTTTTTTGCCTACTTTTATGCCTACTTAATAAACTGCTTCCTATCTTCTTTGCTTCTGCGTAATGCTTTGTTGTTTTCCAGTTGCTGTCCTTGTCAATTACGGTCATGCTAATCTTGTAATACAATAGGGATATGCATTGATCGAATACTCGACTCTTCCCGAAGCTTCAGAGGCCATCAAAAACCTCAACGGATCCAAATTGCTCGACCAGACAATCCAGGTTGACTATGCGTTTGTCCGACCACCTCCCGCCAACAAAGGAAAAGCTGGAGGGCAGCGAGGGGGCCGTGGCGGCGGTGGAGGCCGAGGCCGCAGCAGGAGCCGAGAGAGAAGCCGCAGTCCTGGAGCTGACAATGATGAGAGAGAATAAGCGCATTTTCCCGAAGAGTTTGCCGGGCTACTCTCTTCTGGCTACGCATGGCCTTGTGACGAACTGCTTTATTTGTTTCATATTATTTCTTCCTTTTTCCGGCCTCCAGCGGTCTTGTGTCGGTTTTCACCCTTGCGGGATGGCTCGAGGACAATGGTTATGAAGGGTCTGCTGTCATTCCGACATTTGCAGACTGCTTGTGGCGGGTGACAAAAACGGGGGTGAATGCGCTTATAGCCGGTATTTCTTTCTCTTGTGAGGGTCAGGATGCATGGCCATCATCTGATGATGCGCATGTGCGAGACTGTTCCAGGGGTGACATGCCGGCGTCATGATTTATTCTCAATTCGGTATGGCCCTTGCATCTTTCCCAGCATGGGTTATCGTTGGTCATATGCTGACTGAGACTTTAGAACGATTCCGGATTTTTGATATATCGAACAATTAGATATCCATACACTCTGCTGGTGTTAAGCTGTTTCCCTCGATTATGACCGAATTCAAAATGATATCTCGATGACCACGAGCTTATGCTTCCCCGTATTTCTCAGCCTTGCGACATGCAAATCGCACAATATGATGACCATAAACCTGAGCTTTTTTGCGCATTGGACGTAGTATATTTCACCCCTGTCGTAATACGTGGAATATCCCTCGAGCTGTAGGCAATCATCCGACCATCGGAGCAGTTATTAAGAATGCATAGACTCGAGGGCGCGTGATGCTATGCGATGCAGCAAATAGATGGAGATCCGAGTCCACGCGGGTGTCGAGGTCTCATAAATGAAACTACAGAGTGAAATTCTCCCTATCAGCATTAATTATCGTGGATACTCGCAGAAGGTGTCATATTGAGCGATGGCGCAAGAGTTCCCCCGTGCCGCTTCCGAACCAAGAAAGCGCTCCCCGCACAACTTAATTAACTCCAACTGATCATCCTCTTTCTTTCTTCCTTGTGTCAACCTCTGCGCCACTGGCAGGGCAATGTCGCACCGCAGGTCATGATTTATTCTTTATCGCTTTGCCCTCCATTGGTCGCCGGATGTCTTTAAATTCGCGTCCTTCCCTCATTCTCTCTTTCTTCCCACCTGGATAGTATTCTTAAGTCGGCGGGGAGCCTCCTCGAGGACCACTTCTTATCAGCTCCGACTCCAACAGCCGCTTCTCCAGAGCCCAGGAAGATTCCTGAAGTCCGAGAAGTGTCCTCCGAACATGGCAGTCCTACGATATATATTTAGTGTGCTCTGCATATATCTTATTGTTCCTTGGTCCGATGCGCTGGCGCCGCGGTCGCAGGGCATTCTTGCGCCCTTATCTGCGAATGGGGAGACCGTCCTCGACGAGACGGCCGTGTCACCAGAGTCTCCCTCCCTTGGTTCCTCGGACTCCTCGACCGACCCAGTCAATTCGGCGCGGCACACGCAGCGGGATCTGGCCAACGCTCTGAAGGTCATGCAAGATAAGTATTTCGAGCTATGGCAGGGAACATGGCCAACGGCTATCGACTGGACCGCTGCGGTCATGGGCACGCAGGTTTCGGGCACGCTCTCGTCGCTGACCTCCGCCATCGAATACCTCCTGCCGTCGAACATACCTGTCGATACGAACATAGACGTTAGATATACACCGGCAGTTGACCGACACGGTCAAGCTTTCGAGAACCTCGTCAATCATTTTTTCGACCAAACAACGGCCTTTTATTTCGGCGAAGACGCATTCGCCGTGAGAACGCAAGCATTTGACGATATGCTGTGGGTGGTTTTAGAATGGCTGGAAAGCATCAAGTTACAGGAACTGCACTCGGATCTGCACTACCGGGGACCGTCGAGCTTGGGGTCCAATTCGAAGGGCAAACCCCATTGGCATGGGTTCCAATACCAGATTCCAGCAGCCCATCGATCCCGATTGTTCTATGGCCTTGCGTCTGAGGGATGGGATGTCTCTCTTTGTGGAGGTGGGATGATCTGGAGCCCGTATCTAACTCCTTACAAGAATGCCATCACCAACGAGCTGTTTATCTCCGCCAGTATCGGAATGTACCTTTACTTTCCCGGCGACCCTATCGACTCGCCCTTCATGGTGGAAACTGAGGATGGCGAAGTCTGGTCGGATGAATACCCTCACAGTGATGTTCATCTACAGGCTGCCATTGACGGGTACAAATGGCTTAATAACTCCAACATGATCGGACCCGGCGGGCTCTACGGAGACGGGTTTCACATCAGCGGATGGCAAGACACTAAGAATCCCGGTACACGCAAGTGCGATGTTCTCAACACGATGGTATATACCTACAATCAAGGTGTCATCCTCAGTGGGCTCCGGGGTCTCTGGCTGGCTACCGAGTCACCAGAGTATCTAGACGACGGGCACGAACTGGTCCGCAAAGTCCTTCGAGCCACGGGGTGGCCTAATAAGTCCAGCAAGCAGTGGAAGGGTCTTGGCCGTGGAGGTGTTCTCGAGGATGCTTGCGATTCATCCGGCAACTGTTCCCAGGATGGACAAACGTTCAAAGGGATCTTCTTTCACCATCTAGCCGAGTTCTGCCGACCGGTTCGACCGCAAGAGTGGCGTTTTTTGGTCAGTGCCAACCGGGTGGCCGAGGAGGGAAGTGATTGGGACAACGTATACCAGTGGCACCAAGCACGATGCCAGACCTATGGACCTTGGGTCAAACATAACGCGAAGGCTGCTCTCGTAACCCGAGATCCCGACGGCAAATTTGGAACCTGGTGGGGCAGGCCATATGGCGAGTCCGTGAATGCCGCGACTTACGACAGTCCTCTCCCTGAAGGAGCGGTCGACTATCGCAACAACGGCGACGACGCAGAAGGCTCCGAGCTGTTCCACGGCCGATCATCGGGTGGCGCCAAAGATCAATCCGGCGGGACTGAACAAACACCGTTGACCGAGTCTCCGGATGCCACGGGCATGCAGGCAAAGGATGTCAATGACCGAGGCCGTGGTCGTACGGTGGAAACGCAGTCCGGCGGAGTAGCGGTCCTCCGGGCGTTGTATCAATGGGAAAGCTTTCCCTCCTTGTCTGGAAAGAATCACTGATTCAATCTCGACTGATCACGACCGTTATGTTGTATATAACATCTGGGAGGTGTATCTTTATGATTGGACGGCTGTATTTTTGGATCCGGGAGTCTTGGGGATATATTTATAGATATCTTTAGTTGGGCAGAAGACCGGCGCCATTGGAGATAACGCGCATACGCATACGATCGAATGGATGGTCTCTAGCTGAATCATAAACCGATGGTTGTCCAGCACAGTAAACGTCATAGTCCTGATTCGGGACACTGCGCCGTCCACTGCAGGTCTGGCAATATGCAGACAATAGACAAAACCTAATCCCAAGCCTCCCAAGGCATCGCCCGTCAACCACCGACATCATCGACCGACCCGCTAAAATACAAGCACTGCCCTGGTTGCGTCAACCTCCACGCTCCTGTCTCCGATTCCAAACCCAAACCCACACACTCCATCACTGCCTCACCAAAGAGGAAACAGATGGGACCTGTCCATCTCCAGAGGCCACATCAGATGGATCGATGATCCACCCACCCACGACCGAACCGACTTCCAATACATCCGAAGTACATGGACACGCGCATGCATGCTCTCACCGGGATCACATTTCTTCTACATTCCTCTACACAATCGGTACTTGGGGACCAAGTGGGATCGGATCTGCGATTTGCAGCATTCGGATACGGAATTGAGTTCCGGTATGTAAGGACTGTTCTTGTCCTTCTTGTCGGTCTTGTCGTTCTTGTCTTGTGGGTGTCGTGGCGTGGCGTGGCGGGACGGCTTGTTTGGGGCGGGTTTTTTAACCCTCTGGTTTCTTTCTTTTTTGGGGTAGATGGATGGATGGGGGTAGTAGGTGTATGTTTATTTTCTTTTTCGTGTTTCTTTCTTGGGAGTTATGGGTAGGTAGGTGGATGTAAATGGGTGGATACATTCAAGCAGGTGGAATGAAGTTGTCGTTCTTCATCAACCAATCTAGCAGAGTCATGTACGGAGTACTCCGTAGAGAGAAAGAGAAAGAGAGCAGGACCTCCTGCGTACTCCGGAGTAAAAGCAACGTACCCAGCGCCAAGACCAGGCGTTTGATCTGATCTGTAGAGTCAGTCAGGCAGGAAGGTAGTAGGTATGTCACCAAACCTGAAACCCATGAAACGGCCCAGCGCAACAACGATTCAGACTCAGATTCGATTCACATTCCCATTCTTTACTCAACTCATGACCCGACCACGACACCCAAGCCACCTATACGGAGTACAACCCGACTAACCCAACACCGCCTAGACTAGACTCCTCCGGAGTAACTACTCCTAACTAGCTCGCAACAGCCCGTGCAGACACCAAACCGAACCAGACAGGCATTCGATTCCCGGACTCCGTTGCAAATACCACCCTATCCTCCCTGCCCTAAGTGCTTACCTGCGGCGTCGTTATCTGGCCCGGACCCAGTCCACCCAACTGGTCGGGTTCGCGATGCGATCTTATACGCTGTCGCGGAGGTAGGGTCGGTAGTGTTGGCGGTGGTTACCTACCGCTTGATGATTATTCAGTCACGGCTCCAGAGGAAGGAGGCACTAGAATCACTCTAGAAGTTGCGCCCTTGCGCGGGCAGGAGCCGAGTTAGAAGCGTAAGCAGAGGGAAAATATCCCCCATGTTGGATTTGATATCGTTTGGTTTGATGTGATGAGGCGGAGGACTCCGGACGGTGTGCTACCTACCTACCTACCTACTTACTGAGGTGCCTCGGTTGGTTACCTAGGTAGATATCAAACGCTGGGTCTTGTATGCTGTATGCGCATGGACTACCCAAGAAAAGACCCGGCATCGGGAATCAGAAAGTAAACAAAAGCCACACAGCGCACAGCACAGCACCGCATCCTAGGTTAAATCCGTTCGACAGTATCGTATCCCTGGACACAGACACTACCGACGGTCCGCAGAGTAAGCAAGCCGTAAACAAACCGGCGCGGGAACAGCCATTGCTACCTGACTGATAGCAGTTTAGCCTACAGTTACAGGGAGGGATGGGTTCCGCAGGAAGGAATCGGGAGGAATGGAAATGAACATCCGCGGATGACAGTAATATCTCAAGTCGCAAAGGAATCAAGAAGGAAGGGACAGGAAGGAAAAAAAGGTTACAATAACAGCCAGTCGGTGCTGGGATTCGAATCCCTCGCCAAGGATGACCGTGCTGAAAGCCACATGCAACTTAACGGGTGTGGAGTTTTATTTTTTGTTATTCCCCCAGCGAAGAGGGGAGGAAGGAGGCTTTTCGGTTCGCTTATCGGGGAGAACGCGCCTTTGACGCGGTAGCAGACGATGATAATACGGAGGGATCCAGGGGATTATAGGGACCCTGGGACATCTCTCCGGAGATGTACGCTGTACGCTGTAGGTAGGTGTAGGGGTGTGTGTGGGTTTATTTGGCTAAGCCGTAGTTAGCGAGTTAAGAGTTTGACGTGACGGTCTGTCTGCGCTCTCTGCCGGGATTTGCAGATGAATATTAAGACGGATTATTGATTGAGTGATGGAAGATTGTCGGTGGGCACTGGGCAGACGGACGGACGGGCGGCATGATTCTTGGTTTTGTTGGTCGGCATTGATTAGGTGGTGAGGTATCACGATCATGATCACGATGCATTGCGCATCCACTTCATTGCTCTGCTGCTGTCTCGCTAGGCGCTCTTCTCTGCCGTTGCCTTGTTCTCCATGAGATAATTGGATATGGATCTGTAGGATAAGGGGGAGGGGGGGTGGAAGACGGGGGCTTGGGCCTCTTGATGATGGACGAAAGAAAATCAAGCGATCGGCTGCGTTACGCTGGTAGCGATCAAACTAGCTTTTGGTCTCCAGAGCACGGAGGATACATAGACGAGGGAAAATATTTGGAAAATTTTTTTTTTTAAAAAAAAACAAGGGAAAGTCAAATGAGGATATGATAGTCTGGCGGGAAGAGGGAAATAATATTGATGGTAATAATAATAAAATTTCACGGGATCGGCGGTGCTTTATCGTCATCGGCCCAGGATTCGAGGATTGCAGTGACGAGTTCCATCATTCAGCTTAGACTGCATCTCCCTGACAGTTCTGGAAGAGTGGTTGGGCAGGGAATGTGTCGAGAGAAAGCTCCGGATGGCCTGACGCCTGAAGGACCTCAATAATCTACTCCGGAGCAGTCCAATAATCCAATAATTCAGCAATGCAATCCCGGGCGATGGAGCTCCAGTCACGCGGCTTCCACGTTACCGACCGCGATCACCGACTACTAGAGTAGGATGCACAGAGTACAGAGGACTAGTAGGCGATAATACTATATAATGGGCACCGAACACGGGACTCCATGGGTACCTGAAGCTCCATAGGCAGTCATATGGCCGGGCAGGTACCCACGCCTGAGGTGTCAAACTCCTCCGACCTTCACCAAGCGACTACTCCGGAACAGACTAGGAGCAACTCTACGGAGTCATCTTTCCTCTGGGACTGCCAGGACAGCACTTGACAACTGTCTAAGAACAGGCAAACTCAACCGCAGCTCAGGTCACAAGCCCCCTCTCGGGGTGGAGGAGGTAAAACGCATGCGACCCAGCGATGCGGGGATCGAGGAACGCTTGCAACTGGCTGCCGCATCTTCACTTGCTCAACGCTCGGCCGGCTGAATTTCTTTGCTTTCTTTTCTTTTTCTTGGGTTTTTTTTGGGCGGTCCCGAGGGTTGGCCTGATTCTCAACCCTCGTGTTGACTGTTGATCCGTGGTGACCCATGGTTATCTCGCCACCGGCGTGTATTCTCCAGGGGCGGACCTGGGAAGAGGTACTTTAGAGACTTTGAAAGGTCGAGAGGACGGTAAAGAAAGGTAAACTAGGTTAAGAAGGCTGGGAGAGTCTCGGGAAAAAAAACCAAAACCAAACCAAAAGCTGAGAATGAATGAAAAAGCCTCCGTCCTCCCTGTAACACCTGGTCCATATTATTGCCGCCTTGCTGCAAGCAACCTCCAGTTGTATTTTTTTTTTTCTCTGGCGATCTGGCAGTCGCGCGAGAACCGATCGGTGGAGAGGAAACAAAATGACGTAGGGGCGATCAACCTGTGTATTTACTAGGAGGTACGAAAGAATCCCCATGACAAAGTACCATCCGGTGGTTGGACACGTCCAATCAAGGCGGCTCATGACGTGCTCGGCCGTCATCGCTGGGGTCGTCGCCGATTCTTGCCCGGAAAGATAATCTGGCGGTGGAAACGGCCAGCAAGGGCTTTTCTGGTCGGTGTACTTGTGTCCTTCCCTGGACTCTCACTCTTACGGAGCAGTCGCGAGGAACTCCCCCTTCAACCGGAGGGCGTGGAAAAATCATCTCCGAGAAAGAATATTCGGTCTTGCTTCCGCCACCCTTCGTCGGGCATTTTCCATCCTCCCATCCTCCCAGGGGGGCGACTTCCCATCCTCTTGGGTCCGACTATTTTAATTTATCGCCATTTTCGTCGAATGGGAACACAAGTCTTAAGTAGACCTACAGGATTTGTGTTCCGGAGCTACTGCCTCCTTTGCAGATGTTCCCTGCGCTTACTCCGTCGTTATCCTGGCGATGCACTGCACGGTACCGCCTCTCGCTGGTGGAGGGGGGGGGGAGGATGGAGGGGGAGAGAGAGAAGAAAGGAAAAAAAAAAAAAAAAAAAAAAACAAAAACGGACGAACAGGAAGGGAGGAGGGCCCTTAAACCTCTGCGAAAGAATGGAGACGGAAAATACCCTACACGCTATTGCCGTGGCCGTAAGATACTAGGCAGGCGAAGGTGGTACGGGGTAGCCGCGTTCCCCGTATAAACTCATGAGGATTGGCAGCATAATTTCAGGCCGTCAATTCTGATTCGATCCCCGGCGCCCAAGATGTTCCCGGTGATGGAGGACGATGATGGAGGATCGGCATGCTGCACATCGTTTTTGCCGGTTTCAGCTTTCCTTAGTGGCTTGCCGCCATGGATCCGTCAGAACGGATCTTCCTGTCCCTAAACCGTTGGTGTCCTTCGCTTCTGAGGTCGCTGGGGGACGAAACGGGCAGGAGGTGGCTTCACCGTTATTCTGGCATGCGCCGGATTCTTCCTGAGACTATGGAGTATGGAGTACGTGAGAAGGGCAAGGACCGAAGGCACATACGGGCCAACCACTCAGCGGGCCGCAAAAGGCGTAATAAGCGCCCGATTCATCGCGAGAGACCTCCAGTGACGAGGATACCATTCCCGATCGACATTGCATGACCGCTCCTTCTGTCTGTCTGCCCCCTGAGACCGTTTCATGGGACCTGGGAACTTTCCTCCGCCAGACGACTTCTTTGCCTCCCAATCGCCTCGGCAGTCGGGCAAGCCAGATCCCAATCCTCCGTAGTAATGAAGGACCGCCACTGGCCTAGCGGGCTTGGGTGAGGATGGGGGATGATTTGATCCCGATGGTAAATCCCAGTATGAAATCGAAGGCGAACGAAAAAGCAACGAAACCCCGTCTGATTTAGCCCGAGAATCCTGACCAATCAGGGCCCCGCAATCAGGCAATAATGATGATAAAATAAGAAGATTATTGGGATTAATTACAGGCATTCATATGCATCTCTCGTCCGCTCCATCGTACGTACGCAGACGACGAGATGTAGGACTCCGTGCTAGCGATGGCCCGTGGATCCAGGAAGGATTACCCTCGATACTTTCACGGATACATACCGACGCTGGGACTGGGAGCCATCTGTCCCAGTGTCCATCTGTCCATCTGCCGGAACCCTCCCCGAGGAGGATGGCCCATGGTCGGCTATCAGCATCACCTCAGCATCAGCATCAGCATCCTCTTGCCCCCTCCGAGGCCGTTTGGTCGTCGGATCATCATACTAGCGGTGGGTGATGAGGATCATCACGCATTCCTCCGCGGGCCACAATCTCGTTGGTGGTATTTGCCCCCTCCAACCCCTCTAGGGACGAGGGTCGAACCAGGGGGAGGAATCCCAATGGAAGGACCCAACAAGAGGGAGCTAACACGATCACTAGAAGCCGCTAGAGACGAACGAACCCCTAAATGAATTAATGAAAATGCGCCCTCCCCACCGCCGACGCCATGCCCGAACGGGGGCTTCACCGAAAGAAAGGCCGTAAATCTATTCCGTAGTCTTTCCTATTTCCTACGGCGTGTGTGCAGTACGCAGTAGTGCGCAGTAAAGTACTCCGTTCCTAGGGAGGTCCTGCGATCCTTCGTTCCGGTGGCGGCCACGAGTCTCTGAGCCACCCTCAACTCTCTTTCATCCCAGGGCCGACGGTAATTTTGCCCACTGTCGAGACATTCTGATAGGCTTTTTTTTCGGTCAACAAAAAAAAAAAAAAAAAAAAAAAAAAAAAGGAGGTAGCCGACGGGTGACCTCATCGTTCCTTATATTCGCACCGAATAAAGTCTGATTGGGATTTTCGTCTGATCATCCTGGCGAGAGGGACCCCACTAAGAAAGGAGAGAACGCAGTATTTCACTTACGGAGGACCAGCGAATAATCAAATCATCAGACAGAAAAAGAAATGAAATAAAACCGAAATAAAAAAAGGGAATAAAAAAACCCCTTCTTCGGCCTAAAAATCAAAACTAAACCATGACCATATTAGCCCTTAACTTAGTCTTCATCCACCGATTCGGTCGAATTATCGTGATTACCCTGCTTTGGACGGTCTTCCTGCCTGCGTCGCGAAGGCAAAGTGAACTGAACTGAGACCGACTGACACCGTCCAACTTCTTACTGCGACGACGAACTGCCCACGCCGCTCGCTCTTCTGACTTCGACGGGTTCCTTGACTTCTTTTTTTAACGTGTATTTTCCCCTGCGACCACCTGCCCCCTTGTCGGCACTCTTTTCCCTGGTCTCCCTCGTTTTCTCTCCCTGGGACCTTTGGAACCATTACTTCGTCCTCGTTGATTGTTATTACAACCCACTTCCCCCCCCTCCCCTAACGGCTTCTTTCACCATCTGGTGTTAGCCCAGTCCCTTTCCCGTTTTCGGACTGTTCGACGAGTTCCTCTCGCCCACCTTCTCTCCCTCTTCCACTCCTCCTCCCCCCCTCAAACCCGATTTTCCTCCTGCTTGCTTTCCGAATTCTCCATCGAAAATTGGATCCGACAGAGCTTTCTCCATTAGAAATTTCCACGAAGCGAATCCAAAGGAACGGAAAACGGACAACTTAATCAATCCGTCATCCAGGAACATTCTTGAATTGCTTTGTCCCGAGTATCGGTTGCCTTCCCAACTTCGCTTAACCGATTCGCTTTCCCCCCGAACTTTCTCCATCGACGCTCTACTTTTTGTTTTAATTTTTTTAATTTTTTTTTTTTTAAAAAAAAAATCACCCTCATTCCTACTCCTCCAGTCTTTACCCCTTGGGTCGTGCCTGGAGAAACTGGATTTCGCTGGATTTTTTACTTTTTTTTTCGGGTTCTTTTTTCTTTCCTTTCCGTCCTGCTGTTGCGTCCGTTCTTCGCCCTCCCAACAGTTTTCGACCCTCGAAATCATCCCTCGCTTCAACCTCATTGAACCCCGATAGCTACCTCCAGCGATACGCAGATTCGGGATCTGAGTTATTCGCTAGAGGTAGTCCCACCAGCTGTGATTGCTCAAGGTTATCGTTGGTGCTGGATTTGTTGAACTCTTTTGGTCGTTCGATCGTGGAAAGCCGCCACATCAACCACAAACCAAATTCCTCCCTAAAATTCTCAAAGCCACCGAACAATCCTAGGATCCGGTAGATTCAACCACAACGCCACCACCTAATCATGGCATCGACGTCAGATATGCACGGGTCGTCACCCGTCCCAACCTTACCCCATCCTAATGACAACGGTCGCACGCACATATCCTCTTTGTCCTCCTCGTCCTCCATTTCCGACGCGGAAACAGATCGCAGAGGCCGACCGGAACGTCCTCGTATGGCCAGTCGAAAACCTAGTGCCTCGATCCTTGTCCCGCGAGATCACCCCGAAATTGAAATTGAGGAGGAAGAATTTCCGCCCGACGACGCGAGAGCCATGAGTCCCCGACGCAATTCCGCCGATTTGGAACGACTGGGAAAGGAGGCCCGCCAGACCTTGCAGGAGTAAGTATTTGGCACTTGGGAGCTTGGAATTTCGATCTATTGCCTTTGTATCTGCTGTGTATCATCTACTAACGCTGGTACCTCTCTCTAGACAAGCAAAGGCTCTCCAATCCTCTCTCCAAGCCCTGGCCGAACGCATCGAAGCCGTCAAGTCGGATCACGACAAGCTTGAAAACGAGAACAAATTCCTCCAGGATTACATTGGCGGGCTGACTCGGAACATGACCAAGAGCGAAATGACGAGAACGAGTACGAAGGTCAGAAAATCCCAGAAATAATGCGGGGGAGCCGTTTTGCACCTTGGCTGTTGCGACGATCAGACGGTCGGGATTATGCGGCTTTTTGAGAAAACACCAGGGGATTATTTTGTGCTCCCTGAAATGAAATATGCGCCCTGATACGCCCTCGGTATGCGACGACTCTCGTTTGCGACACGGCATTTTGCAGGAATCCGCCCTGGCTGTCGGCTCTTTTTCCGTCATGCTCGACCGTACGTCCGAGCATTCGTCTTTTCCTTTTCCCTCTTCCATTATACGAATCCACATTATCCTGAGCGGTACCGCGTCTACCGCCGCCCATTCTATACGAAGTTTTCGACCGCAGCTATCTTTTTGAAACGCCCGCGCAGTCGAAACGACACGGCACATTTGGAATTCCAGCTGCCGTGGCTGCATGATTTGCAAATGTTCTCCGACCTGAGTCGCGTCACATCTTCAATTCTCGTGAAATCGGTATCGCCACTCCGATCACGAGCCTTGCGTCGGAACTGAACTCGGGGTTTCGCCTCGATCAGCAACTTGTGTCACGGGGAATGTCGACGGGGAAAGATTCGGTGGGCAAGGGAGGCTCTTGTGACATCATTGCATGCCATGTGTTGTCAGGGAGCTGAACGCTGCTGGGTCTTGGCGCCCGATCCGATTCCGTGATCCTGCTGATCCTGCTGACCCTTGCTATCCCATCCTCAACGATTTCTTCCTCCTTTTTTTTTTTCTTTTTGGCGTGACTTCCGATCCGGTTGTGGTCACAGTCCACCAATCTTCGACCTGTTCATATTAATTTCCTCTTCTCTTTCTTGTCTCATCTTTTTTCTTTTCCCTATATTTTTTTTTCTTAACTTGTCCTACCGGAGGCACCTGTGTATTTTTGTGGCATAGCACAACTCGGCGTTCGGAAACTGACTGGGGAACTCTTTGATCGCTCTACCTCGACTTTTTTTTTACTACTTTAGACTTGCTTTGATTGACAGGAAACCGCAACTGGGCGCATTTGTTTCTCATGGTCTGCAAAAAGAAAAAACTTTTCATTCGGGTGGGAAAGCATTTTCACGGAGCAGCCATTTGTGATTTTTCCTCTACTACAACCTTGATCGTCCTACATCTCTTTCATCCATCATCGGCATCGGCATCGTGTACATTGGAATCGTCCCGGTCTGACGATTCGGTTTGAATTTTGTTTGGCTCTGAAGACATTTGCTTTACATACCCAGGAAGCGCGCGGTTTGATACAAATGAAATGAAATTACAAATTCGAAATGATTCTGAAGTTCTATGCTCGAGATAAGAATGACGTAGATTCTGTCGTCCGAAGTACCTGTACAAGGGGACGGAGTACACAACCACACCGTGTCTCGAGTTCTGTACAACCATCCGACCAGGCAGACCCCCGTAGGCAGACACGCTGACCCGTTCGTCTTCATCGAGTCCAGCAAGTAAGCGCTCAACTCCGACCCGACCCAGACACCAAGACCAAACGAGACTAGGTGGTTAATTACGCCCCCGGCCGCGGTGTGCAGTGGATGATACTCGCCACTCGCCTGCGCCTCCTTTTTCCCGGCGCCCCATGTGTCTTAAACGTCGATATTAATTCATCTTTCTACGGTGTCCTGACTCGGGTCGTTTGCCTCCCCAGCCTCATTACATCATTTTGTCTTTATTCTTTCTTATTTTATCTTTATTTTATCTTTATTTTGGGTCTTCACTGGCATTGTCGGGGGCGTTTATTCTTCATTTAGTCCACGGAGACTATCTAGATTAGTTCTCCAAAGGGACAAGCTGTCAATTGGACCTATTACGATATTAATATCGTAGTCACGCGGTATTCGATTTAGAATCTACGGAGAGTTTCTATAGGTAGCTAGTTACTCAGTTCCTCCAACCACTCTGCCCGAGCAGTGACGACACTTCAGCTACGGCCACCCTCTAAGCGCTACATGAAATTAAAAGAAAAGAAAATAAATTAAATTAAACAACACCCATGCACACATCCCGTCCCACCCACCTAACCCTACCCCATAAGTAAGGCAATAAAGGTAAGGTAGGGAGGTAGTCATCGTAATCGCCATACCCCATCCCCATCCATCCCCATATCCTACCCCGGTATCTACCACCCAACCTTCCCACCCAAGTAAATGTACATGTACATGCCCACTGCTTTATTATTAGTCCGAGTTCCCATCTGCAAGTGGCACAGCACACCACCGCCGATCTTTAGACCAAATGAAAGGGGGCGAAACACGGAAACACCAGGAGGCGCCGCATACGTCATGCTTCGGAATTGCTTTCCAGGTGCTTTTGTTTTTTCTTTTCTTTCTCTTTCTCTTTCTCTTTCTCTTTCTCTTTCTCTTCCTTGCGAATGGATAAGGTGGGTACTTACTTATGGGGGACTTTTGCGGAGGGATATCTTCCTACACTGGGTATTTGTGGGGTGTCTATCTATGCCCTAGGTCGTACTTACTATGGAGTACTGGAAGGGATACCTGGTAGCTTAGCTACGGAGTATGGACATGGATACAGGTACATGGACAGATGAGGCGATAGGCATAAGACTCTAGCCAGTTGACTGATCAAGGACTATCATCCCTGGTGGTTAAGATCACGTCTCACCACGGTGCTATGTATGTGCATTGCCTAGGTAGTACTTCATGCAGTAAGTTCCATATTAATCAACCTCCTACTCCTAAGTACTACTACTCATACCCATCCATTATCAATCCCGACAAACAGACCCAAGCCCAAAAACCAGACGGAAAGAACCACTCAACCCGAAACACACAAGTACATACAAACAATAGAACAAACAAATCCAGGCTCTTCACAAGCCTGTGACAATCACCATTCATCCCATGTCTTACCTCCCTGTCAGACACAGACACAGACAGAGAAAGACAAGACAAGACAAGGAAGGTTAAATTAGACACGGGCTGAAAACAAACTAGCCCAGGTACCGGGTCTGCGCTGGCTGTATGTATGTGCCTTACTTACCTTGTGCCTGCTTCGAGCTATCCGGATCCGGTCAAATTTACTCACCGTTGACTTCAAACACCTAGCCACAAAATCAGGATTCACTTGTCAGGTCAGACCGGTTGTTTGTTTGTTAGTTCGGTGGTGGCTGGTTTGGGGTTCTTGGCTGCTAGGGTTGCGGCGGTGGACAAAGTACGACTGCCACCCCGGTTGGAACATGGGTATCGGCGTGGCATCATGCGAGAAAGATTGAGCCTCAAGACAACGCAGGGCTAGACTCCAAGAGGAATCCTGTCTCATGCTCAACTCCAGCGGTGGTATCTACAGTGTTCATCTCTACTCCGGGTCTGAATTTCAACTTTCTTAGATAGCCACTGCTGCCGGACTTTAGATCTAAATTCGAGCTAAGGCGAACATGTAACACGCCGTGCGTGGCAAAGGGAAGTGACCCCAGGACATAGTCTGGAACAATAGTCCAGGCCCTGGAGGTATTCGTGGGGATTGGGGGATGTGTAACTTCACTGGGTGTAGTGGTAGCGAGTAATAAGAAAAATGAAAAAAGACAAAAAAGGGAAAGGTATTCTTTGGGTAGTTGAGCAATAGGCAAAAACCGATAAGGGGGGAAATGAGTTAAAAGAAATAGAAATCAAACGAGGAATCGAAAAGCTGAGCCACACAGATGGAGAACCGGTTCACTTGCCAGCCGAGACGCGCTTAAAAAGACATCAGATTGGGCTGGGGGGATATCGAAAGGGATCCGAGGAGCAATTTCGACCGAATCTCCATCCGTTAGCTGTGGCGTCATGAAAACTTCCACGTTGCCCCGGGTTGTATGATACGAAAACAAAAATGCACCTCTCGTTTCCCTTGTGTTTTTTTTGTTCGGCCCTCTTCTACATTCATTCTAGTTCTTTCACGCATGCCAGCCCGTCATCCGATAACTCCATCCGTGTGGTGAGGGAATCCTGCATCATCTCTTCTTTACTCGGCGGGCTTCTCACCCTCGGCAGCCGGGGCCTCCTCCTTCTTCTCGGAAGCAGGAGCGGCCGACTCGGCAGCGGGCTCAGCCTCGGACGAGGTCCAGAGCGTCTAGGAAACGTTAGTACGCAAACCGAAAACCAACCCTCAGATGCGGGTCTTACCAGGTTGTCCCGGAGGAGCTGCATGATCAGGGTGGAGTCCTTGTAGCTCTCCTCGCTCAGGGTGTCAAGCTCTGCGACATGTGTTAGTTCATTCGATTCCAAAGCATTTGAGCCATCGCGTCCAAGTTTGGTGCGAGGCCCCCAGGAGACAAGACATACCGGCAATGGCGTCATCGAAAGCGAGCTTAGCGAGGTGGCAAGCCTGGTCGGGGGAGTTGAGGATCTCGTAGTAGAAGACGGAGAAGTTGAGGGCCAGTCCGAGACGGATGGGGTGGGTGGGAGCAAGGTCGGTTTGGGCAACTTCGGTGGCAGCCTTGTAGGCCTCGAGGGAGGCATCGGCAGCGCCCTTGCGGCGGTCGCCGATGGCGAACTCGGCGAGGTAACGGTGGTAGTCACCCTTCCTGTTTGGTGGAAAAGTTTCGCGATTAGAAGTTGTTCTCGTTTGCGAAAGCCCAGAGATGAATCAAAAGACATACATCTTGTGGTAGAAGACCTTGGACTCGCCGCTCTGGGCAGAGGGGATCAGGTGCTTGTCGAGCACCTCCAGGATGTCATCGCAGATCTTAGCGAGCTCGGCCTCGATCTTCTGGCGGTACTCCTTGATAAGAGTGACCTGGGACTCGTTGCCCTTGGACTCCTCTTTTTGCTCGATCGAGGTGACGATTCTCCACGACGCACGGCGGGCACCAATGACGTTCTTGTAGGCAACAGACAGGAGATTCCGCTCCTCAACAGTAAGCTCAACATCGGCGGAGGCAACGATCTTCATGTTCTCGACCATCTCTGTAAAGTGTTTTATCAGCAATGCGGTCGCGATCTACCGGGCGAAGAGAAGGAGGTTATCACGAACCCTCATAGCGCTCGGCCTGCTCAGCGAGCTTGGCCAGGTAAACGGCATCTTCGTGACCCATTGTGAAAGTGGTTTCTAGTTACGAAGTCTGACGTTAGTTAAGTTGTAAGATGATTTTGGAAAGTCGCGTTCAGATGGTTCACAAAACCAGACACAGGCGAATGAAAGGATTCAGAAATCAACAAGAAATACCAGAAAAAAGGAAGGGTAGATAAGGGGTACAGAAATTAATAGGGGAAAGAAGCGTTCCAGATCGTGCGATGAAGCGAGGGGCAGGAGGCGGTAGTCACAGGGCAGAAGTGAGGCTGTGAAGTCAAGTGGTCCAGGGAACACGAAATCAAGAAAAAGTCCCCTCCACTGTTGATCCTGTTTGCTTTTTTTTTTCGGAATAAAAAAAATCGATCAAACGGATCCAACGGAAAAAGATGATGACAATTTTCAAGATACAAGATCATTCACGAACAGCGGGGAACAAATTAGGTGGTACAGCGACGGTCGGGGTTGTTGACATAGAAGGTCGCACCGCTGGTCCTCCACTCGGCTAGCCGTGGACTGTGTCGCGCGGGAAGGCGATTCCAACGTAGTCTAGACGGGGTGGAGGGGAGCGTCGACGACCCAGCAATTCATCCCGCAACGTTCCCCCAGTAAATGTGGTGGTAGGGCGTCGTTTGTCCCCCCGAGCCTCCCAACAGACAACGTCCAACCGAACGCGATGGCGATGACGAACATCAGGGATGGGAATGGGGGAGCGGGCACGATTGGAGAAGTGGGATATGGGCATGACGAGGGGAAAACAGTGGAAGACAACAGAAAGACGGCCGGGGCTCACCTGACGATTGGGTTGTGGACGGAGGGGGAAGTAAGTTGAGAAGGGGGGAAGTCGAGGAGTGAACGGTAGAATTGGAAAAGATAAAGTAGGCTGGGCAAGGAAAAAAATTATAACGGGGAAGTCGGAGGAAGGAGGAAAGGAAGAAGGGAAGAAGAAGAGAAGGAGAAAGAGAGGGGGAAGTTGGAAGTGAGAGCGAGTGGGAGGGGAAAGACCGGCGTCAACGAAACGCGCCCAAAGGGGGTAAAGGAGCCTCGACACCTGAGGCAGCCCTGGCGTCAATTCTTTCGCCCGTCCAGCCTGGTCCCGTCAGTTGTCCGCTGTCGACACTCGTAGTTACATTTGCTTAACTACGGAGTACCTGCTTACTACTCCAGAGGGTCTTTCGATCAAGATTCATGACTTCTTCTACTGCGGATTCTGACCCTCTACAGAGTACTGGCTACTGTCCATACACCTCCTGCCGCGCACAATCCTTCCACTCCAGCCTCACTCCAATCTCGCGATCCGGAGGAGCTCGACAAACAGGACAGATTGATAGATCTCCTCAACCACTCCCTCAATTCAAGGAAAGGAGGCCTTCGTCCAGACACTCGTTTGTGTGGTTCGGTGGGCCGCCCATCGTCATCCCTATTTCATTCCCGCCAATCGTTCCACCCACACCAGAGATCCTCCTGGTGACTTGGTCTTTTTATTTTATTTTTATTACCCTCCGATTTTATGAGATTATAATTAGCGACTGAGGTCCAGAGAAAGGGCGTTTTAGCCGCCGTCCATTATTGATTGAGCCTCGTCGCTAGTGCTCCTAGTCCGGATGGCACTACGGAGTACAGAAGAGTTGTCGCCCACTCGACTCCATAATAATCAAATAATAGGGGAAGGGTCATTCGGATTTCCAATGGTTTGCCATCGGGGATAACGCTTGGATTCTTCCGAAGGCATTAGACATGTACGATGGACGGAGGCCCTCTGACAGCACCGTAGACTAGAACGCAGAGAGAAGCGAAGGGAAATCCAGAACTATCTCGTTTGGTCGGCGGATCGATTGGGTTCTTTTCCTCTGGCGTTTCAGCCTGGTGGTTTCTGGAGTCTTCGATCGACGTGCTCATTCCCATAACCACCAACAAGAGTGAGTAAATCCAAAGCCTACGTATCGATGCAGCATGTCTAGACGCCGCCAATCTCTACAATCGTATTCATGGCAACCGCACCACCCTGGAACCCGTCTCATTGGCAATTGGCATTGTCTAATATTAGTCCTGGGAATTATTGGCCCCAGGGCATTGGTATCGTATCCCAACGCAGCAGACAACCCTAGACTAGCCTCAGGCCCGAACCAGGCAGACTTTCGGCCGTCAGCAAATCCACCCGCTCACCTGACCCGCTGACTCACTCGCCCTGACATAAGCATCACATGATCCGCCGGCTGGTGTCGTCATTGGAGAACGAGTGACCCGAAGTGTCCAGACCAGCCCGGGCACTGGCAGCTACTAAACTCCGGTACCTTACGACTGCAGCTAATAAGACCGTGCCCTCTCCCCTCATTCTTTCATCCTCCCCATCTCATTTCTTCATCACTCGAATCACTCATCAAGTTGAACTACCTCTCTCACACCTCATCCTCGATCACCATGCTCCGCCAGTCCATCGTCCGTCCCTTGTCGACTGCCAACCGTGCCCTGGCTACGCGGTCCTTCTCTGCTCTCGCTCCCAGAATGGCCGAAGGTGATACCGGTGCTCCCCGGGCGGGTGGCTCGGCGCAATCGTAAGCCTTCCTCTCTCTTTTTTCTCATTTCTGCCTGTCAGTCCGGCTGTGCGGATTCATATTGCCCAGTTTATTTGATGGCATTGGGCCTGTCGGGATTCTGACCCGTCCCATTCGAGCGGATGACATCATCGACGACGATGCAGCATTACCCAGCAAAAAGCATTGCTAACATCATGCCAATGACAGTGACTCGTTCCAGCGTCGTGAAGCCGCCCAGGAAAACATGTACATCCACGAGAAGGAAATCGAGAAGTACGTTATCCCATTTTGTGCCCTCGTCTCGTTTTTCTCCGCTCCCGGACCCGAAATCCCCGAGTACGTAACTAATTCGAATTCTCTAGGCTCCGCAACCTGAAGAAGTCCATCAAGGACCAGCGCGAGCACTTGGACAAGCTCGACCAGCACATGTACGTTTGAACCCTTTCTTCTCGCCTTGTTCTCTGCTCGGTGTGAGAATCATTCGGGGCGGTCTTGAGCTGACGCATTTCTTCCAGTGACGAGATCACCAAGGGCCAAGGTGGAGAGCAGAACTAAGCTCATGCTCCCTCCGTTTCCCTCCAAATAATGTATGACGGGGTCATATCACGTTCACCTTATCATCAGTGCTTGACGATGTCGGATGGGCAGTGTTCTGCTCATGGCCTTATATCCCTTGACGAAAGCATGATTTTCTGAGTTCATCTTTCAGTGCTCTTTGCCTCTGCACTTACTTCCTAGATGTAATCTATCTATCTACACGCCTAGCCTACCTACACAATACTGAGAGCATCCTCTACTCTTATATTTGATCAATTCGTAATCCAGAACGTATGAAACGTTTGTTCATTAACCCATTGTGCAAAAACACCTACTTATAGCCGGGAAAAGGAAGAGGGAAAAATAAATAGACAAAAAGCACCAGGCAATAATCCCATCACAGGTACATTACATTCGGAGGATACGACCCGCATAGACTCATTTACCGCCGCCCCATGTAAGAACGGTAGAAATCGTCTGCGGCGTTTGTACCTCCAAAACCGGAGCTGCTGAACCCGTATCCGAAACGGGAGGACAGCGTTTGTCCGGTCTTCTGCGCCGCCTGGACCTTGGCCTGCAGTTCGGTGGTGCCTTGGTCGATGACTTGGAGCTGAGAAAGGTGGGAGTTCAGGATGCGCACGATTTGAGAGATCTAGGTGGATCCGTTAGTGGCAAAAACAGAAAGGAATTATTTGTATAAGATCAAACTTACCGGTTCATCCGTCTTGTTCGTCTTACTCAAGGTGGACGAAGCGCCGTTGACCTCTTCGATCATGCTGGTGAGGTCCTTGCCCATCTCGTCCAGGCGCTCTGATAGCTTTTCGGCCATTTGGTAGCTAGAATTAAATGTCAGCAAACGGCCCAATAGTGCGGAAGCCACATCTTCTGCAGCGAAAAACAACTTACGTTCTCTCACGCTCTTGATCCGGTCCTTGGAGAGACTCGCCCGGTCCCACCTGTTTCGACATCATCTCCTCCACCTCGCGCTCATATCGATCCAGCCAAGAAGTCAACTCCTCCTGCTGTCCTTCAACGGAAGCAAGCTGGCGCTCGACCTCCTGCGTGGCTCGATCGGCATCGACTGTGCTTCCGTACAGCTTCTGAACCTTGCTTCCGTTCTCGACCAGCATGCGATCCCATTCGGCAACCTTCTCCGCCTGCTCCCGGAAGTCCTTCTGATACTTGGTGAGGTCGGTGGCCCACCGAGTAATGATCTCATCCATCGTCTTGTTCTTCAGACGCGACTGGGCTGGGGGAGCCGGACCGGCAGTAGAAGCGCCGAGCCATTGCGGCTGCTTGGCCGCTCCCGCGGTCCCTGTGGTGGCCGAGGCAGTCGCGCCCGACGTAGCCGCTCCCGACGTGGCAGTCAATGAGGGTTTATCGCCTGCAGTGGTTGCACCGCTAGTGGCAGGCTGAGTCGACGGAGTATCTGCGGCAGGCTTTGAAAACATGTTGGTCGCTGCGGGTTGAGAAGCGGGGGCTGAGGTGCCAGCAGGCTTTCCAAATAGGGTGTTGGTCGCTGCGGGCTGCGAGGCAGGAGTGGCGGTTCCTGGGGTGCTCGATTCAGTTGACTTAGGGGCTCCGAGTCCTGCGAACAAGCTGGAACCTCCGGCAGCAGGTGTGGATGATGGAGTGGTTGAAGAGGCGGCGCCTCCAAGGGACAGGAATGGGGACTTTTGCGGTGTCTCGGAGGAAGTGGCAGGTGTCAACGACGATTGGGCAGTCGACGCCGGAGCGCCTAGCGAAGGGAAGGCAGGCTTAGCCCCGGAATCGGTTCCGGAAGACGGGGCTTTGGGCATAGAAAAGCCGGTCGATGCTGGGGCAGCGTTTCCGAAAAGGGACTTGGGAGCACTGTCTGCAGAGGGGGCTGCCGGAGTTGTTGATTCTGCGGGCTTGTCCTTGTTGGTATTTCCGAAGAGACCTCCTCCGGCGGGCGCCGAGGGAGTCGCGTTACCAAACAAAGGCTTCTGTGCTGCGTTCGCTCCGAATAGGTTGGGGGTCGATGACGGTTGTGAGGCTCCTCCCAGAGTGGGGGTGGTGGAAGAGGTTGTCGCGGGCGCAGACGAGGTGTTGCTGTTCAATCCTCCAAATAGACCGCCTGGTTTCTGCGCCGGCTGTCCAAAGAGTGATTGGCCTTGGCCAGCAGAGTTCCCTTGGGGAGGGGGGCCGGCGGGAGTCGTTGATGTATTCCCGAAAAGTCCTCCCGACTGTCCAGGGGTGGATGAGGTATTACCGAACAGGGTCCCGGCAGGTTTAGGCGCATTGTTTCCAAAGAGGCCGCCTCCCGAGCTGGGGGTTTCGGTGGGCTTGGGTGTTTGTGATGATCCGGTGCCAAACAAAGAGCTCGTCTGGCCTGCGGGAGCGGCAGGTTTGTTCTGAGTTCCGAAGCTAAACGAGGGTGTACCACTGCTATTCGCGCCACTGGCCCCAGCATTACCGAACAGTGAAGGACTCTGTCCTGGCGTAGAGGTGGTTCCGAATGGAGAAGCCGTCGAGCCACCGGTAGTTGCTCCAACATTTCCAAACAGACCTCCCGAGTTGGATCCAGTATTCGCGTTGCCAGCGGAACCGAAGATACTACCTCCGGAGGCTCCGCTAGAAGCTGGAGGATCAAATGAAAACATATTGGACATGGCGTTGCGACGAAGCTAATGAGGGTGGACGGACAGGGCTACCCTGGGAGGGACGAGGGCAGAGGGAAGGGGAGAAAAAAGCGATCTAAAAAAAAAAGTCAGTCGAAGATGATGCGAAGCTATCGATAGGAGGATGCAGGATTTTTGAGGCACAAATAGACTCACCGCTGCCAGAAATGACCAGCGCGGCAACCAAAGAAAGCAATTGGAAGGATTGTGATGCCTCACGCCGAAAGCTGAGAGCGCGAGGAAAGCAAAGCACGAGTAAATTGTTAGCGATGGTTCCTGTTCTGGTCGCCCCGGGCGCAACGCGCTTGGCTCGGCTGGCGGCTACGTGGGTGCCCCAGGCAGACGTGTCCTGCCTCAGGCATGCGTTCGAGACTCGCATCGAACCCGGCAAGTAATCCAGCGTTCATTCACAGCCATCGCCAGACCATCATCTTCCCTTGTCCCCCTTTGGTGCCTCCCCCCGGGCCTGCTTCCTTCAAATTATCTATCCCTCTTGCTGCATGAACATCCTTGGAATTATAGGCCTTTTCTAATGTCGGAACGGTCGCCCCGTCCGTCCAGCTCCCACCTGGAGCCCCCGAGGAAAAGCGTGGAGTTGGAAGATTCCGGGGCTCAAGATTCCGGTAGGCTTCCCTATATCCATACAGCACAACGAAGGCATCCTCGCTGCCAATTGAGTTGAATAACTAACGATTCGGCGTTTTAAAAGTGGCTTCAACCAGCGACGACGAACATTTCTCCGATGCTAGCGAGGGCCACCACCAGTCTGCTTCACACCCGGCCTCCGGTCGCACATCCCCTGTGCCGCTGACTCGCGTAGAGAAAGTCGACGAAAATCCTTCGCACGGAGAAATCCCCGGAACGCCTGCGTTTGAGAAAAGGGAACAGGATGCTATTCCCGATGAGATCGAAGTGATACCGGAAGGGTCACGCAGCAGAAGTTCCTCGACTGCGGGGCATTTACCGCGTTCTTCAACCCCGGGGGGTTCCCCCGTGCCCCGGACCGTGGTCGAGAAGGTCGACGTGGACCAGCCAAGTCATGGAGATATTCCTGGGACGGCAGCATACGAACAGCGAAAAGCAGATGCGGTGCCTGATGTTGTGATAGAAGCGTCGGATGCAGATAGCAAGCCATCGTCTAGCCCGGATTCGAATGAACAAGCGCCCACCGATGCCAATGCCAGCGAAATGAACGTCCCTGAAACAGTCCTTTCGAGAGTTGACTCTCTTCCAAGCGAGGATACAACCTCAGCTTCACATGCTCACCAAAGACGACCAAGCGACGCTCTTCCGGACGTCACAGAGGTCGTAGCAGATGCCCCAGGTACGTCTGCCAACGGTGCGTTGACACGGTCGATGTACAGAAGCGATTGACCAATGCCCCCCAGACCCGGGATCCTCGCCAGAGATTAAAAATGACCATCAAAGTGACGACAACCAAGCACAGCCCCTGACGGATAACGGCGATCAAACGACTGGGGACCAGGCGGCTGCAGACGACTTCGATGATTTCGCAGAAGAACAAGACATGGGAGAAGATGATGATTTTGGGGATTTCGATGATGGGTTTCAAGAGCCCAGTGCGGAGGTAACTGAAGATGAGTTCATCGAGCCAACCGAAATACAACCTTCGCAGCCTCCTACACCACCTTCCGTTGTAAGTTATCTCTGCAGCAAGCAGTTTCCCCATGGCCGTCGGGCTCTTGTCAATAAACCAATACTGATATTGTCTACCCTCCAGCCGCCTCTTTTGGATTTTGATGCTTTCCAATCCCTCTCTGATCTCAACGCCGCTCTAAATGACCCTCTTGATCGGCTCTTCCCGGCCTCAAAAGAGGTTTCATCTCTACCGCAGGTAGAACCAATCCAAAACTCCTCCGCCATCTTCAACTCCGAACGCTCTCTATCATTGTGGTCACAACTCGTTGCGCCCCCACCACTCCAGCCCCAGAACTGGGTGAAATCCCGAATCCGCCGGCTTTTCCTCGTGTCCCTTGGGGTTCCCGTTGATCTCGACGAGATTCTCCCGGCATCCAAACAGAAGAAACTTGTGCTTCCATCTATCAATATCGGCTCAGACACCGGCGGATCGACCACGCACTCCCGCTCTCAGAGCCAGAACCGCAAAGACGGCACCGTAAGTGGTACCGCCAGCCCTCGGACATCCACACAAACGAGCCGACAAAGAACCTCACGACGTCGCGAGCCTACACCCCCGCCAGAGCTGGACCTCCCCGCGGTCCACCGACTCTGTACTACGACCGACGCCGCCCTGGAAGGGCTTACCGACGGTGAACTACAAGGCCACGTCAAAGAGCTCGAGGACGTGACCCTACGCGCCAGTTCCGTCCTCGAATACTGGCTCAAGCGACTTGACAGTCTAGTGAGTGAAAAGGAGGCATTTGAGGGGGTGATTGAGAACCTCGTCAATCATGCCCGCCGCGTGAGAAAATAATGTACATCCCTAATGCATTTCATTTGTCTTTTCATTTGCTTTTTTTGATCCACCAATTCCCCCTCTCGATCTATTTTGGTTTCTTGCTGGATCTGCGATCCTCCCCCCCCTTTTTTTTCTAATATCCATTTGCTTTTTTTCTCTATCCCTGTTTTCAAGCGAGGTCTGGACCTCGCTGTCATGCATGTGTTTTGCTTTTTTTTTCTTTTCCCCCTGCATCCTAGATCCATGACCTCCCTCCACATTTGGAATGAAAAGCCATAATTATTTGCTTAGATAGACTTAGCTAAAATGTTGTATGATACAAACCGAATTATTATTTTGCTTGACTTGTTTAATTTATTGAGTAAATGATTTGCTGTGTGTAGGTTCTGTCTTTTCCTTGATGTTGTAATACGCAAATACATTTTATTTTCCGAAAGATATATTCTCAACGACGCCGAGCACGACTGCGCTGGAAGAGTCTGGTACTAGAAATGGATGAGTTCCAAGAGTAGTGATACTATATAAGTTTCTAGGAAACAATGGAAACAATGGAAACAAGTATCATATCATCTAGTTTCCTACACATGTCTAAACCCCTCAGACTAAAACGTAGGATTCTAACCCTAACCTTAGATAATCCATCCTCACTCCCATGACAACAACCAACCCCAAGAGTAAGAATACTCCAGCCCATCAAAGATCCAAACAGCAGCAGCAACAACAACCACACCTCTACAATCCCATAGAAGACAAGATCGCAGTTAGCACGTACTCACCACAAACAAACGCCTTCTCCCTCACCAACTTCTCCAACCCCGCCAACTCCGTCACCTGGTACTCCGTATATCCATACCTTCTTAAACAAGCCGGCATTCTGCACAGGATTTCTTTACAAACACCTTTAGAATCCATCTTGTGCGAGAACATTATTTGGTATTTGAATAGTATTCTGAGTAGTACCTGTGTAATCATAAGACATCAACCCTGATATGTCTATGGATGTAGCCTCGTGGCCACGTATCCCAAGGATTAGCGTAGCCAAGTTTTGAATCTCTGTTCACGTTCAGATCTGTGTTCTGTGCGTCATGATCGTGTCCGCAAATCGACAACCAGGTCTGGAGGCGCAGCTCGGTGTAACCAACATCTGCGGATGTCGCTATCCTATCCACAAGTTGCCCTCAGACCATCAGCCATAAATCCCGGGTGTCGTAATACATTAGTATGCTTGGGTATCCACGCTGGAAAGTTAACAGTGTTTCAATTTTGAGTGGAAGAATGAAAGAAATTCAATTTGTGCCACAAATAAAAGGCTGGTACCTGTACATTCCTACTCTTTCATCCGAGAATGAGACAGAAAAATCCACCAGCAAGAAATCAACAATGACAAGAGCAATCCGTGCAGATGGGGGTATCTCGTAAATAAGGAGTCGAAAGCGCCTGGGCTGATGAGAAACAGGAAGAAGCGGCTGAAAAGGACATGATGGGAAAGGGGAAAGACCAAGAATGAACACGTATGCAAATAGCAAGAAAAATAGACAAAAACAAGACGAGTTATCCACCGAGCTACCATGATGCAAATTATTTGCTCGCATAATATCAGGTTACACACCAAACGCCTAAATTGATGTTACTCCCTTTTATTTGGGGTTCTGTAGACCAAATTGGGCCGTCATCATTGTCATCGACCGGGAAATGCTAGTCCAAGGCGATGACTTCAGAGGGTTGCTGATGAGTCGGCTGGGCACTGGCGTCGCCATTCGTAATGGAGGACGGTCTCCGCTCGAGCCTGGGTCTCTGCGAAACCGGAGAATCCGGGGCATTGATGCCGGTGAGCTTTCGCTTCGAGGCGGTGCGGTCAGAAGCTTCCGTTTCGGCCCTGAGCTGCCACGAGCCGTCGGCTTTGACCTGGATGGCGCGAGCGGTTTCAAGCCGATTGGTGCGAGCCAACTCCTCGCGCACTTCGACTAGGAAGCCGTCGACGAGGAGACTCTGCGGCCGGGCGTCCTGGTAGCAGATGGGACACTTCCAGTCTTCCTTCATCGGTGCGTTCCCCGATTTGGACACTCGAGTCAAGATCCAGGTGTCGTGGTCAAAACATTCCCGGTGTCCACAGTAGCGTCCGCGCACCGGGGTGCTGAAAACCTTGGCCATGAAAGGATCCACGAGGTCGACCGTGAGATTGTCGCTGACGATGCTCACCTCGTCATCCTGCTGACCGAGGGAGGAAAGGCGGGTTCGGATCTGCTCGCGAGACTCCGTAGCGGGCAGCGGCCTCGCAAGCTCTTTGGCCCGGGAGAAGCGGACGATGTCCAACACCTCAACGCCCATGGCGTATGTCAGATCCTGGGACTCGGGCGCGTTGCGAATAAAGTGTAAGGTCACGGTGTTGACACCCTCGCGGAGGTAGTGGCTGATGTCCAAGGGGAGATCTTTGCCGTTATGGACCCGTCGCCTCACGAAAGCCTCCACGTCGTTGATGAACACGTAAATCACGCTAGGCCAGATCGACTCGGCGGTACACCAGGCCTGTTCGCTCACCCCGGAGGCTGACGGACTCACTCGGATGCAGCGTAGCCGGTGGATCTGGGAGCCGTCCTTGTAAATACGCACCGCGCGCTGTCCTAACGAAGGTATCTGAGAGGTCGGAACTCGATCAAGATCGGATTGTGATAGTTGAAATTGCCATGTGAACGCGCACGTCTCGACTCCAAGTGGCACGGGTTCCACGGCGAAACCACTAATGTATTGAAACAAGCCCGCCCCGGGCTCATTTTCCGGGGCCTGTACCTCATTCACTGGGCCTCGGAGGTGGGCCTGGTGAAGCGCATCACGAAGTGGATGAGGTCGCGAGGTGGTCGACGGTTTGTGTCCGGGCGGGGGAAGCAATGGTAGGGTCAGAGAAGCGGGGCCAGGAGGATGAGCAGGATGGGCATGATGGGCATGATGGGCAGGGTGAGCAGGGTGAGCAGGGTGAGCAGGGTTAGTAGGAAGAGGCGTTTGGTTGGCAAGAGCCCGGGGGCTCTGTTGCGGCCATACGCCTCTTTGCATCTGCGGTTGGCCGGGAATGGGGAATGGACGCTGCAACGGAGATGGATTCTGGCGCGGAGAGAAAGATTGAACCAACTGGGACGGGAACACCATTTGGAATGGGGGGGTTATTTGCGGTGAATTGCCATCGGTCCTGGGCCCCGAAGTCGACATGGAAGGTGGGTGCTGGGCGCCGCTTGCTCTGCGAGGGCGTCCGCGCGGACGCCCTCGCGGGCGGGGGACTTGAACAGTCATCGGATACACATTCGGGGATCCTGTGGCCATCTGAGGCGTCGCAGTCATCGGTTCGCCTGGCCTAGACACTTCGGCTCCGCCCTGGCTGTCAGGCAGAGGGAATGCGGCGAAAGACGGAGATGTCTGAGACGAGCTCGGCCGTCTGGTATCCACGCCTGGCCGGTTCGGGGGCAACTGCGGAACAGGCATCTGCGGGGATTGAGAGGGTTGCGGGCTTGGGATGCCGGTCGGTCGCATCATGGTAGACGCCGTCATGCCAGTGGTGGTTCTTAAAGCGGCTGGATTGGGCGATTGCGCGCTTTGCTGACCCGGTCGCTGCTGCTGCGCTTGCGGCCGCGGAACCGCAGATCTACCCGGGACAGGGATTGACCGATACATTTGAATGACATCCGTATTTTCCTGCCGGACTTGAGTCTTTGACATGCGCTCTGCCGACATGCAGCGCCGCAGGTAGTTCTGCAGATCGTGTTTCCAGACCTTCTCCAACGCCGATTCGTCACTGGGTCCCGGCAGCTGTCGACAGGTTGACAGGAAGATGGTGTACGCCAGAGATTTCGAAGTGATGCGAAAGCCTTCCATAAGCTCCGTCACGAACGGAGGGAATTCTCGGGCGAAGACATGTTCGATGTAGGGTTTCCACTGTTCCGAGAATCTCCCGAGACACAGCGCAGCCTCTTGCACAGCCTTTTGGTAGACGGGCGTCTGCAGCAGGACTGCGATCTGACCCGGAAAATGGGCACACCAGCGCAAGAACTCGCCCGACACCTTGTTGTTCTCCACCATTACTCTCTCAATGACCCCCAGACCCCGCGCCTGCTGCTCCGTGAAGCCCGGCAACTTGAAGAAATCGGACGGGGAAAAGCTGTAGAGACAATATACCTGGTGGATGACAAGGTACAAGCAGTCTCGATTGACACACGCATTGTGCAGGAGCTGTAAGCGCGCGAATTCAAACGTTTCGGCGGTGTATCCGATTCGTCCCAAGTAGGCCGTGAAATTGTTCAAGTTGCCGATCGAGTGCTGGAAGAACGCGTCGTCAACGTTGGGGACAAAAGTCGACGTGTTCTGCGCATTCGACTGGCGTTGTTGTTGCTGCTGCTGCTGCTGCTGTGGGTGGTATAGTTGTAGTTGTTGTTGGCGTGACTGACGCGCAGCAACCGCCGGGACGTCCGGGTGGGAATGGGTTGTTTGCACGCTCTGGGTTCCTCTCGACGCATTTTGCATCTCCGTATTATTCAACGGCGCCTGAGAAGAATCGCCTGCACCTCCTCTGTTCGATCTTGTCGGTGGTGGAGTCGGGACTCCGGTGTTCACCTGGAGGGTCGGTCTCGCCGGATGAGACGGGGACGGGAAAGTTGCCACGGCGGGCGGCGGACCATCCCGACCCATCGCACTCGTGGGACTGTCATGGGGTCGATCGGACGATACCTGCAAGTTTGACAGAGACAGCGGAAAAGTCGGCGAACGTTGAGATGGCACGATGGGGGGCCGCGGAAGATTGGTCGACACGGTCACGGGCGGCGGCGGCGGATCGGGAGCGGGAGCAGGAGGTTGCGGATGACTGGAGGGACGCGACGGCGGAGAAGGACCGGTGGTGGCCGGGGACATCAAAGCCGGCTGAGGCTGAGGATCGGACAGCACCTGAGGTTGAGGCTGAGGTTGAGATTGGGATTGGGATTGTGGATGCGGTTGTGGGGGAGGCTGGGGAGGGGAGCGGACGGGATCATTCTGCCGGCTCCAGCACGTTGGCGTCGATGTTGAAGGCACGCGGGGAGGATTTCGCATGTCTGGACGCACCAGATCCGCTGGAGTGGCCGTGGGCGTCACAGCAGCACCGCGAGCAGGCGTTGAATGGGGGACAGCGGAGGCCGAAGGAATGGCGGAGGAACGCGAGAGCGCAGGATTGTCCATCCACGATCTCCGCACGCCGCCGAGAAAAAGGCTGGCGGTGGTATTTGACGATTGCAGATGGCCATGGGGAGCTGTAGGGGCGTGGGGAGTCATGGCGAACACATTCTCCAGGGAAATAAGGGGGTGAATGCAATCGGTGAGTTTGTACAGAGTCCCGGAATGCGTTCGCGAGGGAAAATAAAATCAAATCGTCAACTCAAACCAGAAGAAACAAAGAGCGAAAAAGTCCCCAAAGTGGAGACCGCGCAGAGCAACAAAGAGACCGTTTGTTCCTGATTCCTGATGATTTGCTCGATTGGACGAGCGCGCATCGATTTAATTTCCTGTTAATTGTTCGTTTTCCTTTTTTCTTTTCTTTTCTTTTTTTTTTAACGCCTCCTCTCTCTCACTCTCGCTTTCGCTTGGCTTGTCGACCCGTCCAGAAGTCCCAGCGCCAATCTGGATCCATGCATTCGTCCGTTTGCTTCGTTCGATTGAGGCAGAGGCAGGTGTCTGGCGAGCACGATGATCGATTTAAATACTGCAGGACCGTCCGAAAGGGATGACGATGCGATTACGGCGCTTGATGGTGCCATAGCTGGACCATCTTCACTGGCGCTCTTCCCTGGCCATGCTGCATTCACCAGACGGTCCTTGCTGAATGCTCTCCCCTTTGACGACTCCGGAGTAGATGGCAATGATAGAAGCTAAAAGGATCATTAGGCTGATGACTGGATCCGTTCCGCCCCGTTAGATCCTAGTCGCAAGGCATATTTATAAGCAACTGAATTGTTCTTCCCTATGGGATTGTCATATTCTGATTCTGATTACGATAATCTGATCCCCTTGTTTATCGGTCATTCCGGAGTTTGGATGGATGTCACTTGTAGAAGTATTCCATCCCATCCCGTCCAGCCAGATCCTTCGGCATCGATCCAGATTCTAGAGTCCAGACAGGCAGAGGAAAATAACTCAGAGAAAGAAAAAAAGAAAAAAAAAAAAAAAAAGACACGTCCACCGACGGAGGTCCACCGCAAACGACCAGTCTAGTTTCTCGAAGCCGGATCAGTCGCCGGAATGTTGATCGGCGGACAGGCAGGGATGTCGGTATCCCTAGATACTACGGAGTGCTCTGTGGTTAATATCGACTCGATGGGATAGATCCATCTATCCACGGAGGATCAGAAAATAAAACCGACGACGAAGATATCCCGACCAAAGCTCTCAACCGTCCACACACGCGATCGCCCCAACGGGCTTAGGCAGGCGCCGCTGATGGGACGGAGACCGATTCCTTAATGAACTGGCAATGGACTGTTGGCTCCAGAGAACGCATCCATTCGGAGTACCTGACCGACGGGCGACCCTGAGGCGCCGTATAAGAATTGGGTCATCATCCGGTCATTCTGGTGACGGATTCTTATTTTATCCTTCTCGATTTCCATCTCGACGCTCTTCCTCCTCTCTTCCTCTCCAACCGCCCCGTAAGCGCTGGCCTCCGCAGACGATCGACACGGCGGTTGTGCATGCGACGTTTTAGTTGCTCGAGTTATTTTTATTTGGATAGCGGAAGATCCTCTGCATATTTCATCTTGCACCGCTTCGATCCCCTTCTTATATCATCGTTCGTTTCTCTGGATCATCCCGAACTTTCCTTCTTGGCCCCGCCAATTTTCCTCTCTCTCTCTTTTTTTTTTTTTTCTTTTCCCCCTCTCGGTCTCTCTTGCTCTCTCGCTTTCCTTCTCGCTTTTCTCTTTTCTCTCTCTCGATTTCCTTCCTCCCTTCGTCTTTTTCATCGACTTATTCCTTCCATCCGAACTGCTCCTCTCCACCTGTCCGCACGCCATTCCCTCCCCTGGACTCAACACTCCGTCCGCCGTCCTCAATCCTCTCATCCACCAAAGCCGAGGGCTGCGGCCCCGATGTTCTGCGCAATTGCCCCGTCATCACCGCGCCTTCTGACAGTCCCCACTTTGCATCTTTAATCGTTGTCAATAATAAAATGGCTTTGACTTCGCCGCCCCGCGGCGTCAATCCCGGTGATCTTCTCCTCGTCGTTCGTAAGTCGCCCATCCCAGCGGTCGCAACCACTGGCCAAGTTGTTCTTGCCTCGATTTTCTCTCCGCCGGGCTTTCCACTGACTGTCTAGATGATTTCGATGCGCGGGGCTCGGATGAACTCACCTTGCGACGTGGTGAGAAAATCGAGCTGGTGGAATTGGACGATGGATTCGGAGATGGATGGTATCTAGGGAAAGAATTGAAAGATGGCACCGTCGGACTCTTTCCGGGAGGTACGAACTCTCGGGTTGCCCCTTGGAGAAGGTCGAACGCCGCTAAAACTGAAGCTCCCTTCCCCTCAACTAGTCTATACCACGACGGCCCCCAAGATTCCCACTCGTCCGCAGAAAGACACGCCGGAGACCGACGCCGCCCGGTTGGAAAGCGAAAAAGAGACGTCGGATTATCTGACCCCGAACGCGACCGATCCATTGAGCTCCCCCAAGAGCGGCGAGTCCACCCCTCACGTTTCTCGACACGCCAGCCTGTCCGACATGCGGTCGTCCGACCAGGAGAGCGAGTCGCCCGCCCCTAGCTCGAACCCCTCACCGTCTCAACCGCAGCGGTCTAGCTCCTCCCCACTCCCTTCGTCCAAGCTCGCCCTGGACCTTCACCACACCCTCCGGCAATCCATTGATGGCCACCTCAACGGCCAGACCAAAGACAGCCCCGTCATGAATGAGACGCTCAGCGTGATCGATGAGCACATCACCGATCTGAGCACCCCCCGCCACAGCATGGCGATCACGCAAGAGCCGAAGTCGATCAACGATTCGTCCAGCGAGTATAGCAGCACCTTGGACCATCGCATGTCCTACATCAACGGGCAAGAGACGGATGAAGAGGAGGAAGGCCACCCCACGGAGGCCGAGGTGCGCCACTGGAGCCAGGCCTACACGGCCAAACACCTGCGCGATCTAGGGGTCGACGGCAAGCATTGTGATATTTTCGAGGAGCAGGAGATCACCGGTGACGTGCTCCTGGATATGAATCAGGATTTCCTCTTCATGAAGGAGTTCGATTTCGGCGTCATGGGCCGGCGACTGAAGACGTGGCACAAGATCAAAGCCTTCCAGGAGGAGGTCAAGGGAACGAGCGTGACTCGACCCCGAAAGACGTCTCGCGGATCCGCCTCCGGCTTCGCTACCCCCGAGGAGCGAACCCTGAGCCGGGCAGGCCACCCGGCCCCCTTCCTTCCCCGGATCCCCAACTTGCGAGCCTCGTCAGGGTCCGCGCAACACCCGCGACTCGTCAGCAGCAGCAACATGCCCAGCAACGCTAGCTCCCCCTTGACGCCGCAAACCCCCGGCTCCTGGATGGACCATTCTCGGCGGCCCTCGGCGGCGTCGATCCGCGAAATCAACCACTCGCGTCGACATTCCTCGATCGACGCCACGAATCGACTGTCGGGTGCCGGCGACTCTCCGCCTCAGCCCAGCCATCAGGGCAAGGGCTCCTTTGACCGCGCCTGGACTATGTCCGGCGGTTCTCAGCGACGTCCCGGAACGGCCTTGGCCGCGACGAACGATCCCATTCTCCCGCAGCACGTGTTCCGCGGCGCAGAATCGAACGGCTCGGACTCGGCCGTGGCCGTATCGGACGACCTGGATCGAGGCTATTTCTCCGGGCCCGAGGGGGATCCGCGGAAGACCAAACGGCTTCAGAAGCGCAACTCCATTCGGACTGGAAGCTTCAATTCCGGGCCCACCAGCCTGGCCGATCTGAACGTCAAGAAGCGTCACTCGCGCATTGGCAGCGCCGATTCCATTCGGGATGCCAACCCGCGAGCGTCCGTCGCCCCCAAGCCGGCAGCCACCACGCCCCCGAAGAGCCGGATCAGGAGCTTGAGCACTCGCCTCTCGGAGCGTCCAAGCCAGCAAGCATCCCAGTCGGCCGGGGAAGAGAAGTCAACGGGGTCCGGCTTCTTTGCCTCGTTCGCCCCGCTCGTCAGCAGGCACGATTCCGACCCGGTTCCTCGGTCGACCCCCGTGCCGCTTCAGCAGCAGCTCAAGAACGCGGGGCGCAAGTTCCCCCGGGCCGTTGGTCTACGTGCGATGTCGGACGTTGTTGGCAAAGGTATCGACACGTCGGTTCCTCCTGCCTCGCCCGTCCGCGACGCCGATCCGTCCTCCGCGCGCACGGGGTCCACCACGCCGTCGACTTCCAAGAGCTCGGAGCGCCATAGCACCGACGGGTCGAACAAGGCCGCCGAGGGAGGTATTTCGCTGCCGCGCACGCGGACTGTGAAGTCCGGTGTGAAATCAAAGAAGGATACGAGTGCGTACACGCGGGGTCTGGAGAAGAAAACCCCGCAGGAGCAGATGCAGGGGTGTGAGTTCTCCGGTTGGATGAAGAAGCGTTCGTCCAACCTCATGACCACGTGGAAACCACGTCTCTTTGTCCTGCGCGGCCGCCGATTGTCCTATTACTACTCGGAGAATGACACCGAGGAACGTGGCCTGATCGATATCACCGCCCACCGCGTGCTTCGTGCGGACAACGACCCGATCGTCGCGCTGCATGCGACCATCACCGGGGCTACGGCTTCGCCCACCTCGCCGGCGAATTCGACGGCCGGCGACCATGCATCATCCGACAAAGCATCCGGGTCCGAGTCTTCCTTGCGTGGTCCTAAGAACGGCGGGGAAGGGTCGTTCTTTTTCAAACTGGTTCCCCCCAAAACGGGCACCTCTCGGACGGTTCAATTCACCAAGCCCGCGATCCATTACTTCCAGGTGGACAGCGCCAAAGAAGGCCGCTTGTGGATGGCTGCATTGATGAAGGCAACCATCGAGCGGGACATGGAGATCCCGGTCGAAACCACCAATAAGCAACGCACCATCAGTCTCAAGGAAGCCCGGTTGATGAACCAACGACCCCCCGAGCTCATGCCCCCGGGCCAGGCCGGGGAAGAGAAAGACGGGCCACCAACTCCGGCCGAGGAAGGGGGCGAGACTGTCGTGAACGGACTGGGCCTTGACGAAGCCTCTCAGCCGAATGGCGACGATGCGGAGGAGAAGAGATCTTCAAACCCTCTGGGTGGCCTTGATACCGGACCGTCTTCGCTGCTTCCCGAATCTGTTGCCAAACCCGAGTAAATTCGCCTGTTGAATGAGTAACTTTGACTTTGACTCCACCTTTCTCTTGTTGCCCTCCCTCTATTCCTTTTGGCCGCTGCTCCCCCTTGTTCGGCGTTTTATGTGATATACCCCCCTGCTCGGATTTGTTAGCTTTTGCCTTTTGCTTTTTGTTTTATACTACGTCCATATGATCTGTGCGGCATGAGGAATTCAGGAGGGTGGGATTAGAGAGTGAAGAGATGGGAAGGCTATGGATGGATTGAAGCGGATGTTGCAAGCATGAGCGGCAGCTAAACTCGCATGATTTCAGTTGCCTTTTGGAATAGTAAGAATAGCTTAATAATGAGAGTGCCAATTTGCAACACTGAGTTGACGTGACTTTATTTGTGAATCCATTCGTGAACACCAACCCGCATGGAGTAGATCGCCGTCCCGTGACTGCGGATAACATCAACTTTTTTCTTTCTCCTTTTCCCGTCGCTGACCGTCATCGCTCACCCCTGCAAGATGGGAGTCAATTCCCACTCCCAATAGTACCCCACCTTATTGAAATCAAGGCACAAACTCAATGCTGTCTTCCTCCGTCCGACCTCCATGTTCCTTCGCCGGTTTCTTTGCCGCGTGCTCTCCGGCCTCCTCCCGCTGGCGATAGCAGCCACCGTCTATCTCTACCTCTATCCGATTTTCCAGGGCTGCGCATTCCCTCTTCCTCAGCATGACAGTTCCGAAATCCTACCGAGCGGATTCCTTTCGACCCTTCGACAACATTTCTCCCCACAATCCGAGTTCGAGTCCGTGAACCCGCCGGCAATCTTCCGACTACTCGTTCTAGCCGACCCCCAGCTCGAAGGAGACAGCTCTCTCCCCAAGCCCGAGAATAAGCTTCTCGCACGTATCAAAGCCCACCGGTCTGCCGTGAAATCTGCTATCAAGCGTGCGCCGTCGCCTTCGCCTCTACATCCTGACGTTTTCCGCGCCGTTCTCGCCGCGTTACGCTCCGTGGTCATCGACGACATCCCTCGCACCTTGGGAGCCGCGCGCAAACGTCTCGACCTACTCGGCAATGACTACTATCTGGCTCATATATACCGTACCCTGCATTGGTGGACTCGTCCGACGCATGTCACCGTGCTGGGCGATCTCATCGGGAGCCAGTGGGTGACGGACGAGGAGTTCGACCGCCGCGGTGATCGATACTGGCACCGGGTGTTCAAAGGGGGTGAGCGAGTGAGCGATGCGCTCACGGGCGCCGGTACAAATGGGGATCACCACGCTGCAGGCGCAGGCGAGAGCGACGGAGTGGTCGACTACTCGGCGGAGACGCTGCTGAATGCCACCGACTCGACTTGGACGCAGCGGATCATCAACATCGCAGGGAACCACGACATCGGATATTCCGGGGATGCCAGCGAGGCTCGAATCGAGCGGTTCGAGCGCGTGTTTGGCCTTGCCAACTGGGACGTCCGATTTCGCCATCCGGCGCTGGCGCTGCAGGCGGAAGACGAGAGCCATGACGACCCGCCCTCGACCGCTCCTTTCACACCGACTCTACACCTGATCAATCTGAACACGTTGACGCTCGACACACCGGCGTTTTCCACAGACGTGCAGACCCGCAGCTACGAATACATCAATGATCTCATCACGCACCGCACGCATCCCGTGGACGACCGCGCGACCTTCACCCTGCTGCTCACCCACCTGCCGTTGCATAAGCGCGAAGGCGTCTGCACCGACGGACCGCATTTCACGTTCCACGAATCGGACGACGAGAACGGCCCCGACGACGTGCCTCGCTTCCTCGAGGGCGGGCTGCGCGAGCAGAACCATCTCAGCGAGCACGTCAGCGCCAACGGCGTCCTGCAGGGCATCTTCGGTATGACGGGAGACGAAGGCGCCGCGGGAAGTGGATGGGGTCGGAACGGTCTGATCCTGACGGGCCACGATCACACGGGCTGCGACGTGGTGCACTACGTCGATCGAACGACGGAGGATCCTACCGACCAGGATACCGCCGAAGACGGCAGCCAGGAACAGACCCCGGCCTGGAAATGGAACGCCCGACGATACCACACTCCGAAGCATCGCAATGCCTCGGTCCCCGACTCCCCGTCCATTCGAGAAGTCACGCTCCGTTCCATGATGGGCGAATACGGCGGCAACGCGGGACTCCTTTCCGTCTGGTTCGACGCCGACCCTGCCGTCAACGAATGGAAGTACGAAATCACCATGTGCATGGCCGGCGTGCAGCACATCTGGTGGGCGGTGCATGTGATCGACCTGGTGGCTGTGATTCTGCTGATCGTCTATCTGGCGACGGGATCCGGACCGGAAACGAAAAAGATCCAAACGCCGGCGCATGTTCCCGACAAGAAGGAAATTAAAAAGGAGGAAGGACAGGAGAAAACGAAATAATGATTATGATCTGGGCTTCTGATTCCGGTTTCTGACCTGTCCTTTGAGCGACTTGGTGGAAAGTCTCTTAGTGTTTGGAGGGAGACTCATATATACTTAACTCATCGATGTTCATAATCACCTAGATTTGTATAAATAGACAGACAAATTGATACACCAAAAACTACGTCATAGTTTTACTACGGGGCCAGAAAGTCAAATCGATCGATCGATGCCAGATCCATAGATAAATTCTCCAGCATGTGAACCATTACTCGTTCCATACTCCAAGGTCGATCACCAGAAGGCAAAGAACAGACAGACAGCCCATCGACAAAAGAACGAAACATAGGAGGAACCCACGAACCGGCATGAAAGCCAAAGTTGGGAACAAGAGGAAAAGGTCAAAAAAATTATGGGCACCGAAACACCCCGGTCGTTTCGTTTTATCCTAAGGCATCGTTTCGCACTATCGTAGGCTGGTCTTCTGTGGGGCATAAGACATGGCAAGGAATGCAGCGGAGAATGGTATGAAAGTTTGAAGGATTTGGTTTCATTTCATTCCCCAGAGCAGCAGCTGGTATCGTTCTAAAATTTTCATTTTTTAAACAACAAAAAAAAGGTTCTCCCTAAGACGGCATTTTCATTTTCCTCTTGTTTACATAACGACACCGGAGTTGGAAGCGATACGCTGGTAGAGAGATCGTTAGCGATTGGTCTCGTAGGTAGATAAGTTGGGAGGAAGGGAAGAGGGATTCTTACAGGCCAGAGCTCAGCAGCCTCCTTTCCAACGGGGCCAGTGATGGCGGAACCCTTCATTTCACCCTTGGCGTTGACGATCTATTGTGCGAATGTATCAGCAATTGTCGGGTTCTTCTTCGTCTCCGCACTGCAGAGCAGAGGGGTGAAGGGGAAAACTTACAACACCAGCGTTGTCCTCGAAGTAGAGGTAGATACCGTCGGGACGTCTCCAGGGCTTGCTCTGACGGACAACAACGGCAGGCATGACCTTCTTCCGGAGCTCGGGCTTACCCTTCTTGACGGTAGCCATGACCATGTCACCGACACCCGCGGCGGGGAGACGGTTGAGACGGGCACCGATACCCTTCACCGAGATGATGTAAAGGTTACGGGCACCGGAGTTGTCGCAGCAGTTGAGCACGGCGCCGCTGTGAAGCTGTTAGTTGAACTGCACGAAAGGCTGGATGTGTGTATTGATGCGCCAGTGTTCGGGTGTAATCGCGAGCGGGATTTGATTTTTGATTTTGTAAAAATGGGTGTTCTTGTCGATATTCGTGTAGTTGCTCGGCGATTGAGAGGGTAAAAAAATATCGAATGGATAATCCGATGCCATAAAGAAATAAAATCAAACGTACCAAGGCAGACCGAGCGTCATCTTCAGCTTGTTGCCGGCATTTCCACCACGACTGTTGCGAGAAAAATCAACGGTTAGCCTTGCATGCGAATTTTCTTGCGTTTGCCCGAGTGTCGTATATGCAGCCTTGGAATTGTCATGTCGAGTTGAATCGATTCGAGTTCTCGCCTCCACCTCTTCTGTTGCGGCGTAAAAAGTTTTCCACCTCTTCAATCATCCGTCCAGTCCCTCTGTCAATTCCCCCGTGTTCTCCGGTCTCCCCTCTTTGTCTTCTCCCTGATGTATTCCCGTCGATCTTCGACTTGACGCATGCACATCTTGAATCCGATTCACATCGACCATGACATATCCCAGGCGCAAACGGGACCGGGTCTCGAGGCAGATCGAGTACAACTCACCCTCTCTTAGACATCTTGGCTAGGTATCACGTTAAGGGTGTCGGATACTGGGATTTGGCGAAGGGGGGCGAACGAAGGTCGAGAGGGATCCGGGCGGACGTCGAGGGTTTGCTCGGGTTTCGAATTGCTTCTCGCTTAGTGTGCGTCGTGGGTAAAATCTTGGCGGTGACGTCTGATTGGTCGTCACCGACGGGTGGGATTTGCCCTAGGGCTAGCACTCTTTGGGCGGCTGAGTCAGCCCTCTTATCTTATCGCGGCTTCCGATAAGGTCCTGCGTCGCCGATAAGACGTCAGTCGCATTGAATCTTCCATTCATTATCATGATATCTAGTTCAAGCGCCGGGCGGGGTGGTCTACCGCAGCTCTGACTTCTGAGTAGGTCACTGTACATACATATTCCGAAGCTTTGACAGGGATCAATTAATGCACAAGGTATGTGAGGTTATAAAAGAAAATGAAATAAGAAGAGACAGTAAAAAATGAAACCCCTACTGGAAACGACAAACTACTAAACAGAGCCAAGTCTTAACCAAAAATAGAAAGAAAACACCATATTGCCAACCCCTTGCGCCAAGGAACCTGAAGTATAAACGCCTCTGCAAGATGCCGAGACTTATTCCTCGCTCTTTGTAGGCTCTTCTGGTTGTGGTTCCGTGGCAGTGTCTTTGCTGGCCTCCTTGGATGCCTCCGGTTCCGCTTGGTCAGCAGCCGGTTCTTCCTTAGGAGCCTCAGGTGTTTTCTCTTTCGTTTCCGCGGGTTCTGAGGTCTCGGTCTCCTTCACCGAGGGCGTTGGCTCCGGTTGCTCGGCGCTCTCCTTCGCAGGAGATCCAGCCTTTCCCGGTGATGACGGCTCCGTAGCAGGCTTTTCAGGGGCGGGCGTCTCCTCGGCGGGCTTCTTTTCCTCGTCTTGACCTTCGGTTGGGGCAGTGGCTGCGGCCGCTTGCTCTGTCTTCTCGGGTTCTGGAGCGGCCTCGCTTACATCTTCCATGGCAGTATCTTCATCTTGTGCCTTGGGGGTGGGCTGGCGAGAGATGGGAGCGGATGCGGCGGTTTGATCCCGATCATCAAGGGCCATGTCGGTTTTCTCAGCAGTAGACCCCTCCTCGGCCCTCGATGGCGGCTCGGCAGCGGCGGACGGAGAGCCGGCGATTTCCGTCTCGAGTTCTGGTGCATCACCCATCTTCGCATCGGCAGTAGTATCCATATCGTCGTCTGGAATGGAAGATGCGTCCTGGGGGGTTGCCATTCCACTTTCCGGTCCAGAATCGGCAGGGTCGAGGTGCCTGTAATTTACCTGGTTTCTCCGTTTCAACGCATTGGGCTGCCGACGGATACCATGAGCTGCATTCTCCTCCTCGTCCTCGCTCTCGCTGAGTTCGCCATCCTTTTGGACGTATTGGTCAAAGCGTCGTTTCGTGTATCGCTTATCCTTGTTTTCGTCTTCATCTAAGTCGTCAAGGACATCATCCGCCTCGTCGTCCATACCTTCCACCAGAGGATCCCGAGGTACATCGGTCATTTGCACAGAAGGCGCGAAAGCGCATCGCTTCAGATTCTCGACGACTTGAGCGCGGATCTTATCGAGGTATTCCCTGGTGTTTGCATTGTCCATGTTCGACGGACGCACGTCCAATTCGTAATCGGGGGCAAAGTACTAGGTTATGTCAGCCAATTGAAATGACACCTAACTGTCTCTGGCGCGGAAGAATAGCTACTTACCTCATAGTAATCGTTGTAGGGAAGCTCGGCGCCCAGGGAATCTCCCACAAGGATACCGGTCTCGAAAGCCCAGGTCCGTGCCACGTTTCGCATCGTGTAACCACCACCTCCAAGAATCAAGGTCGGCAAGTTGAAACTCTTAATGAAGTTGACACAGTTGGCATGGCCTCGCATACTCAGATTGAAACATCCCAGGCGGTCTCCAGAAAGACTGTCGCCACCACACTGCAGAACCACAGCCTCTGGGCGGTACCATTCCATGACGCTTCGGATCACAGGTTCAAAGATGCTCTTGTACGAGACATCGTCAATGCCATCGCGCAGCGGGAAGTTCACGGCGTAATTTTTACCGTGTCCAACTCCGGTATCGCGAAGTTCACCGGTTCCAGGGAAGTATTCTCCGTATTTATGAAAAGAGACGGTCATGACACGGTCCGTGGTATAAAAGGCTTCTTCCACACCATCACCATGGTGGACATCGATGTCGACATACAAAACTCGTTGTTTGAAACGCAACAGTTCGAGGATACCCAAGACGATATCTGGAATGAGGGAATATGGTCAGCAAATACCCAAAACATCAATTCTAATCATAGGCAGGAGATCAATACCATTCACGTAGCAGAATCCACTAGCCTCGCTCTTTTTGGCGTGGTGGAGACCACCGGCCCAGTTAACGGCGATGTCGCATTTGTTGCGATTAAGCCGAGCCGCGCCTTCCATACTGCCACCCGCACTGATACCACAGAATTCAAAGAGACCATCGAAGACGGGACAGTCGTCACCGACATTATACTTGCTTTGCTCTTTCGCGAAAGAGTCCATGTTATCTGGCGTCACCTTCGAAAGGAATTCGATGTAGTCGTCCGTGTGGAATTGGGTCATCTCGTACTTCGAGGCGGGTTTCGCACGCTGCAGGGATTGCTCATCAGTATTGCAAGGTTCTGAAGACCAACGCGATTTTAGGGTCACCATCACTCACGTAAATCTCCATTTTCTTGTAGAGGCCATAGTTCATCACCAAGCTGTGCGTCAACCTTATGCGATGAGGCTTCATAGGGTGCCCGGAGACGTAGGCATAGTTGCCCACATCAGAATCGTAGAAGTAAGCGACTTTTTTGCCACGGTCCCCATTCGTACTGATTGGGTCGAGAGGGGGTAAAGAAGCCATTTTGGAGAGCAGCGTGTAAGAAAACACCAGGTGGCTTCACTCCAAATCAGTCTTGATGCTGGCAATTAAATGGCACGGTGTTTTGTCGGCACTAGAGAGTGGATTTGTCAAGATCACAAAGAAACAAAGAATCGAAGGAGGCGTCCCCAGCTCCAGGCAAATAATTCACTGGTCTCAGGGTGTCCACACGCCACGAACGGTATAGAAATCCAATCCTATATCAAAGGCGAATGGACCGCATTCCGGGAGAGGAGGACGAGGATAAATGCAAGAGATGGGAATGGAAGCGAAGGGGAAGGCCGAGAGAAAGGCGGGCGGAGAGACCCAGAGCTGCTCCCACCGCCTTCGTCAGGTGCCTTGAGAGCTCGATGGCGGCGTCTTCGCTTCCACCTATCGTTTGTCTCGTCATCGTCTTCCTTCCACTCAATCTCGAGCATCTCCCTTGGATCACATTCATCTGCGTCTTCTCGATCCTCTTTACTCGAATCCTCTGAACAAAGAATTCTCCCTTCGGGTTCCGCTCACCTCTTTCATCGTTTTGGAGCTTCCGTGTTGGAAGTCATCCTTGGCCTGTTTCGCATCTTCTCTTTCACTTCATCCATATCCCGTCATCAACCATGGATCGACTTAATCGCATGCTGCAGGCTGCCCAGGGTATGGGTATGGGAAGTGCAGCTCCCGGTGGTGTGAGTTCCCTCGTTCCCTTACATCTCGCTACACACCCTATCACTATCTTTCCTGCCAAAAGGCCGGGATGATCCGTCGGGGATGGTTTCTTACGATACTCCCTTCGAATAAACCTACGAGTCATGATGCTGATGATCGGAAATTCCAGGATACCCCCAACCTGATCGATAACTCCGAGACTGTTCACATCTCCTCGTTAGCTCTTCTGAAGATGTTGCGACATGGTCGGGCCGGTGTACCCATGGAAGTCATGGGTTTGATGCTGGGAGAGTTTGTGGATGAATATACAGTCAGAGTTACCGATGTCTTTGCGATGCCTCAGAGTGGTACCGGTGTCAGTGTCGAGGCTGTGGATCCCGTCTTCCAGACTAAGATGATGGACATGCTCCGGCAAACGGGACGGTAAGCTTGGGCATTACCAATCCTGCCTGATTGCGTGACTAACTGGTTTACTCATATAGACCGGAAACCGTCGTTGGATGGTATCACTCTCACCCCGGTTTTGGCTGCTGGCTTTCGTCCGTCGATATCAACACTCAGCAGTCCTTCGAGCAGCTGACGCCCCGTGCCGTCGCCGTCGTCGTCGATCCCATCCAATCCGTCAAGGGTAAGGTCGTTATCGATGCCTTCCGTCTTATCCAACCCCAGACCGTCGTCATGGGCCAGGAGCCCCGGCAAACGACTTCGAACTTGGGTCACCTGAACAAGCCCTCGATTCAGGCCCTTATCCACGGATTGAACAGACACTACTACAGCATCGCCATCAACTACCGCAAGACCGGACTGGAGGAGAACATGTTGATGAACCTGCACAAGCACGTCTGGACCGAAGCCTTGCAGATGAAAGATTTCCACGAGGAAGGCCAGCACAACGTCGACCGAATGAAGCAGCTCGTCACCCTTGCCGAGGGCTACGAGAAGAGGGTTAAGGAAGAGACAGAACTCAGCAAGGATCAGCTCAAGACGAGATACGTCGGAAAGGTTGACCCGAAGAAACGTACGTGTTCGCCGTTTGCGCCTGCAATCTATAGATTGCTTTATTTACTGACTTTCCCCTGCAGATATCGAAGATGTCAGCCAGGAACTGATCGAGGACAACATCGTTGCGGTTTCGCGACAGATGATTGACAAGGACGCTTCGGTAGCCCGTCAATCGAACGGAAAGGACTCCCAAAACGGCACTGGCATGGAGGTGGACGAGGACCTATAAATGACTCGAGCATGATGAAGAGGAAACGATTTGTATACGTGTTTCTTAATATCAATAAGGATGGTTGAGAATCTTGTTCGCTAGTAGTAAGGAGCATTAGAATGGAGATATCTCCGTAAATGAATGATTCAATGTACCATTTCTTGTCCGTTAATCTGGAGCTTTGTAGACATGTTACTCAATATATTTTACTGGACACTCTGTTCCAGTCTTACTGTTAGTTTCTAGTAGATAAATTAGACCATTGGTGCGATACGTTCCGATCTTAAATGCGGGTTCCAGATATATATCTCCCTGCGGCATCACCACAAGAATAAACCAACCTGAGAAGATAGTAGATCTATTTACATATTCGATATGATTTGAAAAATGCGATAGCAGTAAAATAAGAAAATACTGCTGTAAAATTTGACTGACTCTAGTATAAACCTCTAATATCTAAACAAGCACTTTATACAATAAAAATCACAAATCATAGAGAAATCATGATCATGTCTTCATGGAAATGCACAGATTGATGTCATGAATTCAAAATCCGAAGTCTTCGCTGCGTGACAGGATCGTTCCGACTACTTTCATCCAGATTGAGCTCGTAGATAAGGTTCCTCTTGGGTGTTTCCTCGCCATCAAAATCAGTCCACCCTCTCACGGGACCCCAGACGATTTGCTTTGACGCCGATCTTGTTTCCTGGAGCAATCGCCTCATTAATGCCCCGCTCTTGCGGACCGATGGATATGCATCGAACTCGACATGAACCACATTGGGTAGTCTTTTGAGAGACTGCTGCACGATTTCCCCGGCGAAATCGGTGTAAAAACCCTCGGAGATTCGGAAGCCCTCAAACACCGGATGCGACGGGTCGCACTCTATAAAAATTTTGAACGTTCGGACGCGAGTCATCTCCTCCAGGCCCAATTCTCGGTTAACCGTCCAGCTGTCAGGCGGCGCGGTCCAACTAGAGCCCAGGATCAATTCGAGGGTTGCAATGGACGGCAGGTATCGAGACGAAATGGACCTGATTGTTGGTAACCGACAATAGTCTTGAATGTGGAACAGCCGGAAAATTTGACTGGAATAAAAGAAATCGGTAGCTTCATTGTGCATACGGCGCGATACCAGGTACAGATTGATACGGTGGGACATTTGCGAACGAGGAGGGTTTTTCGACGAGGCGCCTACACTGCCATTTGCTCGCAGTGCCTTCTTTCTGCGACGAGGTGTAAAGAGGACGAACGAGTAGATCCGCAGTCGAATCTCTGAAGGAAGGTCGAAGAATCGAAACGGACCCGGCAAGCTTGGGGCTGCCAGCTTTTCCTGAACATCTTCATGATCGTCTTGATCCAGGTGCACCTTCTCCAAGGCAGCTGAAAGACCGGCGGATGCCATGTTGGGCTCCATGTGGGAATAAGTCTAGAGCAGAAAAGAGAAAAGAAAAAGAAAAAAGAAATACGACAAAATTCTATCCGAAAGATCTTGCAAAAACGAAAGTCCTTGCTTTCATCTCATTGTTGTATTTAACTGAACTCAGTGAATTAACATGCTGATACAAGTGCGCAATCAGGCAGTGACATCAAACCACCATTTAGCGAAGGTAAGAATTTGTATCCCATCAACGGGGCTGCAGCTGCACAGAAGTTCTTCGCCGCGGCTCTTGGGGATGGGATATTGGTCTCCCCAGTTAATACAACCCAACAAGCATCGAAGTATCTTGCTGGGTCAAATTTACCGTCTGGGTGAATCAACTTTCAAAACTGGAGAAAAAAAAGAAGAAAGGAAAGGAAGAAAACGGCGGAAGGCGAAAGATTTTAAAGGCGGGCCGAGAATGACGCGGTGGGCGCTTCCGGTCGGCCGTAGCGCAGCAACCGCAACTTTTCCGCTCGACGCCATCATTACTTCCTCGGACTTCGACAGTCAGTCACGAACTCCAGGACCCTCCCAACACCGTGTCTCTGTCCGTTGCCTTGTCCTGCCAAAGGCCAACTGCCCGATCTCTTCTCCCCCGTTGCGCAGAGCATGAGCGCGCAGCTTTTTTAATCTATACTTCTTCCGTCATAATTTAATGCCCTTTCTTTTTCATCATGCTTAGCCGTGCTGTATTACCTCTAACGAGGCCCAATGTCCTCGCCTCCACTCTCCGTGTTCCGGCACTTCCTGTCACCCACTCGCGATTCTATGCGAAGGTTGGCAAGCCCAAGGCTCCGTATAACATTCCCGAGTCCGTGAAGCCTTCCCAGCCCGAACAGCCGACAAACTCTTCGCAACAAGAACCTTCGCCGGAGCAGGCTCAACCCGATGCCAACACGGAATCCCAGAGCTCGAAACATGTAAGCCATCTTCTATCTCCCTGGACTTAGCACTGGGGAATCTTCTCTTCTAGGGCTTCGCTGACTGCTGTTCGAATCAATCTAGGTCGAATCCGAGCCAACGCCTGCCCAAAAGCAAGCACCCCAGAAACCGCTCCCCGATCTCACGCAGGGAATTCCCTCCACCCTCGCTGCAGAACTCGAAGCTCGCTCCAAGAACCGTAACCAGTCTCCCTTGAATCTCACCGAGGCCGAGGACCCCTCGCGCTCCGAAGAATACACAGACGATGGACGGGATGGCGACATTCCCAAGAGCGGCTACGAGTCTTCTCTCGACCGCCGAAGGGCTCGTATGGCCAACCTGATGTATGTCCTCTTCCTGCTTGCAGGTGCTGGAGGAGGTGCCTATCTGGGACGGAACTGGGATACCGAAGAAGAGGAGAAGGCTCACCCGGACGTCCCTTCGGGCTGGGGCTTTGGACTCTGGTACAACCGCATCAAGGCCCGCTACAGCGACATCACAAGCTACTACAAGGACCCTGCGTTCCCTTCGCTCCTTCCCGACGAGGATCCCATGATGCGCCAGCCCTACACCTTGGTTCTGAGTCTGGAAGACTTGCTTGTGCACAGTGAATGGAGCCGCGAGCATGGATGGCGTGTTGCCAAGCGACCTGGTGTCGACTACTTCCTTCGCTACCTCAACCAGTACTATGAACTCGTCCTCTTCACTAGTGTGCCGAGCATGATGGCAGACCAGGTGCTTCGCAAACTTGATCCCTACCGCATCATCCGTTGGCCTCTGTTCCGTGAAGCTACCCGGTACAAGGATGGCGAGTACATCAAGGTATGTGATATCCGAAACTCAAACATCCAAGTGGCTAACAAAAATGGAATAGGATCTTTCCTACCTGAACCGTGATCTGTCCAAGGTGATCCTGATCGACACCAAGGAGGAGCACGCTCGTTTGCAGCCCGAGAACGCCATCGTTCTCGACAAGTGGCATGGTGACCCCAAGGATAAGACCTTGGTTGCTCTGATCCCGTTCCTCGAGTACCTTGCCGGTATGGGCGTCGATGATGTTCGTCCTGTCATGAAGTCCTTCGATGGCACCTCCATCCCCATCGAGTTCGCCAAGCGTGAGAAGGCCATGCGTGAGCGATTCGAGAAGGAACTCGCCGAAGAGCAGAAGAAGAAGCCCAAGGTCGGAATGGGTAACCTGGCTTCTGCCCTCGGACTCAAGTCCACCCGTACCCTTGACGGCGAGCAGTCTCCCTCCGAGGGTCTGGCCCAGGGTAAGATGCTTTGGGACCAGATCCGTGAGCGGGGACAGAAGAACTACCAGATGATCGAGGCCGAGATCCGCATGAACGGCGAGAAGTGGCTGGCTGAGATGGCTGCCGAAGAAGAGAAGGCCCGACAGGAGCAGATGGACGCAATGAAGGGCTCCTTCACCGGCATGTTCGGTGCTGGTAAGAAGGAGTAAATTCGTTCTTGATCCGTTTACGACGCTTTATAGAAACCCTCTCCTCCTTGTCTCCTTTTCATCATCATGCGCGTCCGCGGTTCTCATTTTCTTTTTCAGTGGTGGGGTTACGATTAGAAGGATTGTTTGGCTCCTGAGCGTCATGGGTGACTGTAAAATAGCATTTATTGGTTCTTCGTTGGTTCTGTACAAATTGAAATATAGTTTAATGTCTTCGAACGGGTCGGTTGGAATGAAGGTCGTAGGCGTGGGTCGTTATGTTGCTCTGAATGTTGCTCTGAATGTTGCTCTGAATGTTGCTGAATCTTGTTCTGAATTTTGCTCTGATAAAACAATGAACCGAATGTTGAATTGAAGCAGCAGTACTATTTACAGAGGGTATAAGGTCCAACAAATCCTCCCTTCTCTTAGCTCTAAACTGCCCATCGTTCCCTACATAAAAATCCCATATTATGGATCACGTTAAGTTTACATCTTGAAAGACCGAAACATCCCAAATCCCCGTCATATCGAACGGGAAGCCATCCATGGTGCCGAACGTCCCAGAGATAGACATCATGTCGTCAACTATATCGTTATTCGTCTGCGTCTCGGGCAGCGATATCGCCGCCGGATTGACCAGTCGGTTATCGGCCTGTCCGATGCCGCTGAAGCTCGGGTCCGCGTTGTTGCTGTTCCCGGGGAGTCGGTTGAGGATGTGCTCGCAGTGGTCGAGGCACATGTCGGCTACGTCCCAGTCTTCTTCCTCCCGGACGCGGCGTAGGATGGTCCGCAGGGTTTCGACGTTTGCGAGACAGGACCGGGCGACTTCGCCGTCGGTGGTCTCGAGGGCGCAGCGGACAAGAAGGGTTGCTGTGGATGTGAGGTGGAAGGCGCTGTCTGTTTGTAGGGTTAATTACTGAGGTATAATGGGAGGTGTAAGGGAATAGAACGTACAAGGAAGCCAGAATTCTTTGTAGTTCTCCGTTCGGAGAGATGATATGAATTGGACGATTTCTTCGGCGGACCTGCGACATTCGGTTTGGAAGTAGCGACGAGCTTCGGGGTTTTCGGTTTCTGCGTTGTTGACCTCCTGCTCATGCGTTAGATTTGAGGTGTAATATGCACAGAGTGAGAAAGGGAGCTTACGGTGAGCTCGACCCGACTGACGAGCATTTTGACAGCCAAAAAGCCCAGCTGCAAGCTACTCGTGCCGGATATGCGATCCTCTGACGGGTTCACGGGAATTCTCAACCAGTCGGGTAGAGAGTCTTCCCACATGTCGAGATCCGTTCGAATTTGGCGGATCTTCTTGTTTGTTTCGCGGGGCTGGCGCTGTTGAAGGCCATAGACAAGGGGTAACAGCTCCCCGAGGATTTCTGTCAATCGACAGAGTGCAATGTGACAGTGGGCGGCCCTCACACGCTCGGTGGTACGCCCAGCTTGAGGCAACAAGCCATCGATGGTGGGCAAAGGAACATCGTATTGATTCTTGGCAATTTGAGGAGGCACGCCATGTCCAAAGCTTCCCCTGATGGATGTATTAGCACCGGTGGAAGGAGTATGTGACAGCGGTTAGTCTTACCAGCGGTCATGAATGACAACACCCCACCATAGGCGAATGCGATTGTTCTTTTCCCGCTCGGACATCTTCCACAGACACGGATCGCGGTTCAGCCCAAGACAGTGCGCTAGCGAGATCATCCGTCCGCAACTAATGGCATTGCCGGTCATCGAGAAGATCGGTCGCCCAGTCAAGTCGATCAGCGCTGCACTGATCGTAGATAGCCCGGGGGCCGAGAATTCCTCGTGGAGGGCAGCCACGGTCATGTTGACTGCGTATCGAACATCCGGTTTGGGGTGACAGGCGAGCTTCGCAGTATGCTTCCAGTAGACCAGTGACATGGAATAAACCTGACAGAGAAGAGAAGCCGGTGGCTCACTTGGCGAATCTGAGTTGTAGGCCTCCCAGAAGCTTTCGCCGTCAAAGATAGGAAATGCTACATTAAATCGGTCTAAAAACCTGTATGGTTATGTTAGTGCGGCGAAGCGTTGATAGAAACCATGGGAGGCGTACAGGCGGACTAGATCATGCCTAAAAGGCCCAAGAATCTGTTCAAGAATCTCCTTTTGGTTTTCCCCCGGCGGGATTCCCCGTCGCATACCCTTTCTCCGTCTGGAGATGGTGGTGTAAAGAATTGGTTTCCTCGGATCATTAGAATAGACATTATACGGATGATTTTTGGGTGTCTCTGATTGGTTCGACGTTTCCGGGGGCATAAACTTCTCGATAACCTGGGCGTCATCGGCCACGACCGGACCGACAATCTGAACAGATTCGTTATGCGGGTCTTCGTCCCCCTGCCGCCTAGACTCGCTCCCCCGGCTATCCACTGCCGAAGAGGCCCTGGGCCGAGTAACGGTGTCATCCAGAGGGCGAACAGGGTGCGGGGGAGAGTCACTTTCAGAAATGCGCTTGCGCTTCTGACCGGGAGCCAGGCCTTCCGTGACGGGATCAACTATCCATCCCTTCGACGGCGAGCCATTGGGGATCGGAGGGTCCTGGCTGGGTTCCTCCTGGTAATGACAATCGGCACCTTGGACCCGACACAAGAGGCATGATTGACCCGGAATGTCAACCGTGCATCGGGACTTGCGCTTTCTACATAAGTCACAAGCCCGGACCTTGTGCGATCTGTAAGGCCGCGCTCCTGCGTTAAACCCGGGCGAGCCATGTTTCTGGGATGAAGAGCCATTCTGGACCGTCGCAGGTGGCATGGTGAGCCTCCGTCCCCTCGGTGCTGGTTATCGTGATCCCAGGGCCGTCTTCATGAGCTTCACGCGGGCCAATTCAAAGAGGATTCGCGCGTACGCGTGTGTCAGTTGGGATTTATCCGAGACCAACGGAGACTGAAGGGAGAGTGGAGAGAGTTGATAAGGACCGAGCTTCGGCATCAATCAATGAGGATTGATCGATAGGTCAGACTAGCGCAGCGACCAACGCGGGCAGCATTGAACCAGGGACCGATCAGTTGCGCAATCGCGCCAACACGCGCATAGCCGGACACCGCTGTAGACCTGCGGCAAATTGACCTGCAAGTCTCGATCTGCGGAGAAGAACGAGGCGAAACTGGTGAATTTGCAAGTCTCGGAGGGCCTCCCGGTGGCTGACTCAGGAACGTGGGGGAGCTGAGTCAGCCCACGGACCAACCACGTGCGGCTCTCACGAGACCCGCCCGTGACCAGGGCCTGCTGCTTCAGGCCTAGCGCCGCCCGCCCTCAGGCTCGCAGGCTCGCAGGCTAACCCGCCGTCGGCCGTTCTTGGCGTCTTCCTTCGTCCTCGTCGGCGGTCGCTGAGGAGGGATCTTGCAACTGGTCGTGCTGGTCGAGATAAGCCTTTCTCTCCTGCTGCCTTCCCCGGCTTCCCACCCCCTGACTTTCGTGGTTCCTCGATCCCCCGAGACTTGACCCCTCGATGGTTTCAGTCGGCGGTTCCATGCGCCCACTCCAGTCAAGATCACCGTCGCACCGGAAGTAACCAGACACAGCCACCGACGCCGCTAGTTGGCGCTTCCGTTCTTCCACAGGCAACCAGGAAATCCTGCAAACTCTTGCTCCTGAGTTCTCCTGGAAAAAATGCTGAATGTGCGCCATTGAACCTGGGCATGTGTTGGTTCAAACCAATGTAGACTCCCATGTGCTGATCATTGACCATGGAGGAGGATGTTCGGTTGCCCTGCGCGGAGCAGCTTGACGGCTGTCGGATCGACCAAGAACAGCCTGACAGGGCTGTTTCTGACCCGCAACAGACTGGCTCGCGTGAGAGAGGTCAGGGACGGGCAAATGAGCAGAGCTCACCCCCCTTCTACCGGTTGCCTCGCACTGTGATTGAGTAGTAAGTCCTATCGATCTCTCTTCTTTCTCTATTTTTCTTTCTTTTCCCCTGTCCTCTTTGGTCTGTATAGTTCCAGCGGCATTAGCGCTGCGGGTACGCGATGGCGTAGGTGATTTAATTAACGGGGCCCTCTAGCATCCTCTACCGCGTTGACGCGAATACCTTTGCATCCCTAGCCCTCTTGAACCGAAAATGGCGACGAATTTCCGACTCGTCTCAACTCTATGCCTATCATCTGGCGCGCTGCCCGTCATTCGCCCTAACGCAGAAGGCCACCGCGGACACGACCCGCCCAGACGGCCTTGCAAACCTCAAACGCAGTTTCCTGGCGGAGATTCGGCGCAATGCCTTTGATGTCTTCCTGAGACCTCGAAAAACACTGATCAAACTCATTTCGACGTCTATGAGCTCCTCGACGCCTTTTCCACAAGGTGAAGCGTTTCGTTTTACTTTCTCGCCCAATGCCCAGCTAGTCCTCTGCATCAGCTCCTCGAGAATCGTGGTCATCGACGTGGCGACTGGCCCGGCTGTTGTGAGGCATGAGCTGAAGACTTGGAGACGTCCATTAAATGCGGCTATCTCGGACGATGGCACTCTTCTTGCCGTGGTTTCTTCCAGCCACCAGGTCCACGTTTATACTCTTTCCGACGTCGAGGCAAAACACATTCAAGAACTCCAGTTGAATGACGTCCCGCGAACCTTGGCACTTTGTCCAATGGGTGGCGTTCTTGCTATAGCGTACGATGATCGGATCGAAGTGTACGCAATTGGAGAGGGGGCTCTAGCAACAGAACGACGTGCTGTACGCTGCAATGGGGTTGATTCACTGTCGTTCTCGTCTGATGGAATCATGTTACTGGGCTCTTCCAGCGATGATCAGAATAGCGAGCTCGTCACCATCACAGTACCATTCTATACGGAGCCGGACTCCGACTCTGCACGAGACGCCCAAATTCGAATGTGGACAACCCAAATACTTTTCCCTGACGTCATCCAGGGTTATAGTCATGCATGTCTTCTCCCAATGCATACCGAGGGCGAGGGTAACTGGGTTCTTGGATTTGACAAGGAGATTGGCGCTTTTCGAGGAATCGGGGCCAACAATGCAAATTCTGGCACGACGTTTTTTGTGAGTCCCATGTCTGCATGTGGATCGCAAGAATCTCCGCCCGCTATGTTGCCAACAGTCGACTGCCAGGGTGAACTTGCTGCCTTGGGGTTTCAGGAAGCCGGGCTGTGGGTGTACGGGTTGCCCGATCGACTGGACATTGCTCTCGCCGCATCCTCTGCTGCAGGGCGACCTGCAGTGAATGATAACGAGGATCCCCGAGAGGTAGAAGCTCTGGCTTTTCCAGGACAGGATAGCTCGACACGGCTACAGCAGTCCATCCTGCGACCGAAGATGCTAATCACTGGGCATAAGGTGAGCGAGGTGCCTGGAATCACTGCAGCCCGCTGGGTACAACGTTTCGGTGCCGCGACAGACCATCGCAGGTTAGTGGCGGTGGCCCCAGGAGGCGTTAATCCTCCGAGCTTTGGTGAGGAAGATGTTCCGGTAGATGGAGGACGGGTGCTTCTTTTCGACTTTGCGCGGTCCGCCAAAGACGGAGATGTGACCGAAATCAGTATTGAGATTGGAGAGGCCGAGCCTAAGATGCTTAATGAGCCAAACGCCAGCATGGATACTGCTGTTGAACTGGAGCGAAGAAGGACACGTTTGCAGCGTGGGAATCCTCTTCGTGCACGGCATGCTAATCGCGAGTCCTATCCTGCTGCCTCCTCAACGCATCATATTTCCCCATTGAATCTGCGTCGGAATAGTTCCTACTTGTCTGGCTCGTCGAATGATGGCGAATTTCCCCCGATTCCAGATAGTCCCTACGACAATACTCAACCTCGGTCTCACGACACGTTGCGTCGTGCCGCTACCGCTGCGGCCTTCAACCAGGGACGTTACAACCCGAGGTATCGAGACGACGGGCGTCGAATATACGACGATAGACGGGTTCCCCCACTCTTTCAGGTCCCTCATGAAAGCGATGCGGACAATTGGGTCCCTCCCCCGCCTCCATACTCCCGTGAACCTGATGGGCCGCTACCGGAGTATCTCAGGAGGTCCCTTCTTCCCACAAGAGCTAGTGCCTCGTCGCCTCAAATTCACAGATCTCAAACAACGCGCTTGAGTAGCCCGACAGAGGACAGTTCGGCTCCCTCGTCCCTACAAAGGTTAAACACTATCACTGGGTCCAGATTCACCTCGCGCATGAGAAGAAACACGCGCGATTCCGACGATCAAAGTCGGCGGCATAGCAGTTTCATCCGCCGTCGAACCAACTCGGGAAGCCGTTTTACGCAGAATGTCGACGAGCCCGATGTGCCCTCAGTGCCTCCCTTACAAGAGCCGAGCAATTCCCCGCAGCGACCGCAAACTGCCGGTCAGATGTCATCCCTGCAGAATGGCAACAATACTCAGATCGCTTCCACGACTGAGATCTCTCAAGAGCCAACGCAGGCTACTCCAATTCAAGAAGCTCAGCGCGAATCGGGTGCCGGACACTCTGCCGAAGAAGATCAGGAAGACTCCGTGCCTGCTCTTCCCACGATGGCACCTAATCTGAACTATCCATTTTCACTTTCATCGCCCAATCTCCAGGCCTTCGAGCCCCAATATGAATCTCCGGAAGTCATGAGGAACTCGTGGATACGCCCTGGGCAACGCAGATCGATAGACCGACGGTCGCAGTCCCAGGATCTTCGGATGCCAGCGCCGAACATCGTACCCTTGAATCGTCGAGCGTCCACCGACCCAACTCTTTCCTTGAGCTCCCAGCCGTCTAACGATCTCTGGAGAAGACGGATCGAGGAGTGGAACGAGCGAACCATCCACGAGAGAAGCAAGAAGCGGAACAAATGCGTCGTGATGTAGGCGGATAGAGTCGGCCGGTTTATAGTTATAGCGAGGACATGGTTCTCTTGTATTCGTTCATTCTTTCTGCCTTTGAACTTTGCTTTTGTTGCATATACCCAAGTGACGTAAGCGGACGTGGATCGCATAGTCGCATTAGATCGGAATGAATTCACTCGGATTGAATGCCACCTTGAATACCGAAGCTTAAGCTGTAGCACCGTCGTCAGCCCTAGACCTCTAGCGGCAAGTCCACGCAGGATGAGTCAGATGCGATGACGGAATGCCCCCATTGGCTTTCTATGGCATGAGGTGCTTCATCAACAAACATCTACCTATCTATATAAACCCTGCATCACCACCCTTTACCCTCAACCCATCCTACCCTCCTACAGTCCAACAGCCCACTCAAACACTCAACATGCAAGCCATCCGTCTCCACCCCTCCCCAGACCCCTCCAATCCCTACTCCCCCGCCAACCCAGCTCCCCCGTCAGCCCTAACCCTCGACGCCAACATCCCCATCCCCCAACCCTCCAACCCCGACGAAGTCCTCGTCCGCGTCAAAACCACCACCGCCGTCCGCGACGCCCTCACCTGGCCCGAGACCTACGCCCACGAATACGCCATCCCGGGCCACGACCTCGCCGGCACCGTCGCGGCCGTCTTCTCCGACTCGCCCGCCTCCCCATTCCACTCCGGCGATGAGGTCTTCGGCATGGCGCACGCCGATCGCGGCTCCGCCTGGGCCGAGTACGTTCTCGTCAAGACAGGCGAGATCGCACATAAGCCCTCCTCGCTGTCGTGGGAAGAGGCGGCCGCTGTGCCGCTGAGCGCGCAAACGGCCTACGAGGCGCTCTTGCACGCGGGAATCTCCCTATCAGCCCCCACGCGGCCGTCGGAGACAAAGCCGACTTCGATTCTGATCACCGGCGCTGCAGGTGGCGTGGGCGTCTACCTCGTGCAGCTGGCGCGTCGGGCCGGGCTCCGGGTCGTGGCGGCGAGCAGCTCGAATGCGCGCAACGGGTCGTTCCTGCGGGATCTGGGCGCCGACGAGACGGTCGAGTATGTGGATCTCCACGACCGGCGTGAGACGTACAATGTCATCGTCGATACGGTCGGCGGGGAGGTGCTGGAGGGGTGCTGGGGCCTGGTGAGCGCGGGCTCCGGGAGTCTGATTTCGGTCGACTCGGCGAGTTACGACTTCGGAAGGGAGCATGAAAAGAAGGGGATTCGGAGGGAGGGCGTCAAGGCTTTGTTTTTCATCGTGCAGGGGAGTAGCGAGGCGTTGAAGGAGCTGGGTCGCGTTGCGGATGAGGGCCGGTTGAAGGTGTTTGTGCTGGATCGGTATCCTCTGTCGAGGGCGGCTGAGGCGTATGAGAGGGCGAGTGGACGGGGAGGGACAGGGCGAGGGAAGGTTGTTATTACGGTTTGATGTTGATGACTTTTTTTCTCGGTTTTTGAAAAGTTCTGTTCTGTTCTACTTGATTTTCTTTTGGATATGGAAATGTAATATCGATACTTCACCTTAAATTGAACAATCAATTAAGCAATTTAATTAGTTCCATTCACTAGCTACCTATTACCATACAAGACCATTAAAATTCCTATTTATTATCGCCGTTCCCACTCCCCAAAGCCTTTTCCGCCTGCTCCTTCGCCTTATCAGCTGCCGACGAGGCCTGGTCTTTGCCCTTGTTGTAGTAGTCGTTGGCCTGGTCCTTGGCGTTGTCGATAGCCTGGTCTGTAGAATCGATGAATTAGCCACTTCCACTGTTATATGGACATGAAATGCTAGTGTAGGATAAAGAAGATATGATATGATAGGTAGGGCTAACTAGAACTTACCACCGCCGAGCTTCTCCTTCGCCGAGTCCAGGGTCGACTGGAGGCTTGTCTTGAGTTTGTCCATTCTATGTTCACTGTTAGCTTTAAGGCCTAGTTGTGAACAGGACAAGGGAAAGCGAACCTGGGAGGTATGTATGTATGAGTGCAGATAGTATAAATTTAGGAGCGAGGGATCGTAGATGGAGAGAAGTATTAGCCGGAAACGAATGACTTTATAAGGTCGACATGGAATTCATTACGTCTATGAGTCGGCGCCCGTCCTGCCAGAATGATACATTGAGTGAGTCTGGACCGGAGGGAAGGATTGCGTGCTGGACAAATGAGAACCCCCGGGGAGGTGGATCGTTGATGTAACCTCGATAGAGTGGATTTCCGAATGCGGGTGGAATATGCTGGTGGGTACGTCTGCTGGTTCTGACGGGTAGAATGGAAGGAATGAGATAGAAGCATGGAAATGGGGAGAGGAATGTGGGTTTATTTGTCATGGACTGATGTATAAGGATGGAGGTGAACTTGGTGGATTCATAGATGCTGCTATGGTTCCAGACTAGGGCATAATGACTTTTGTCTAAGAAGTGAAAGAATAGGAATTCAAGGATCTGCTGCTCTGTCTATTTTATTCGTGTAGTAAAAGTTATTTATTTTAGGTCTAGACTTATGCTTAATATTTTACTCTGGCATGAATATCTATACATGTTGTGTTTAAAATCTATACCAGCCCTGTGAAACAATCCCCCACCCCCCACCATGACTGGTTCGATTGAGAATCTGTTAGGTAAAATCAGGGTATAGTTTCAGCATAGTACCACTAACATGCTGATGTTCTCAGTATACATTGTGCGAGATACGGAGGGGGATGAAGTGTGGAAGGGCTAATAGAAATAAACTTGGTAGATTCATGAACAGATTAGGGTATAGTGACAATATCAAAAGGGTATAAGAGAAATTAGCAACCTCCACCTCCACCACATCCTCCGCCTCCGCCTCCTCCTCCGCCGCCTCCACAACCTCCGCTGCCGCAGCCACCGGAACTGCAACCTGCTCCCGAACCGCAGCTTCCCGCCGCGACTCCGCCGCCGCACGTTCCGGTCGCGCAGTTCCCGTACGCTCCCGGCACGGTGCTCATGCAGCTGGGGTCCCCGACGTAGGCCTCCGAATGTACGCTGGGATCGCATTCGTACGGCGCATAGTATGGAACCATGACAGGGAAGCCCCATACATAGGGGACGTACGCGAGGCTATCGTCCGAGGCCCGCTTCTCGCGCTTCTTGCCCTCCTTGGACTCTCGCTTCTCGGCCCGCCGACGGGCCTTCTCGTAGTTACTGCGGAGCTTCAGGTACTTGACTTGTCGGGAATCGACGGCGTTGAGCAATGTCGTGGGTCGGACGGCATTGTGCGTCGAGATATGCGGGTTCTTATCCGGGTGCGACGAGATGTCGGGTCGGTCGTGAAGTTGGGCAGCCGCCTCGCGGGCCCTGGACGTGGCGGACGTGACGAAGAGCCCGTCGCGCATGTCTGGAGCGCGAACGGCCTCGCAGTACCAGCAGGTGCACTCGCTGTAGATTTCCCCACCGGTGAGCTTCTTATATGTTTTGCTGGTCCATTCGAAGCCATCCGAGAGCTTCTCTTCGTCGACCTTGTCATCGTGGTCGATAAACACGGGGTAACGGCGCTGGTCGTTGGTGGTGAGGAGCGAATATGTGTAATATCTCGACGGAGAAAGTTGGTGCGTGTGCCAGGCGAGATCGACGTCGAGGGTGGGAACGGCCATGTGTTTTGGGTTGGCTGCCATGATGCGGAAAAACACGCTATATTTCTTGATCAGCCGGCCCATGGTGGCCTTGACTGTCGGCGAGTGAAGCCAGTCGATGCCATCCATTTTCTGAACAAAAGTGCCTTGTCGAATGACAGCCCCGACTAGGTCGAGGGCGAAGGGACCGTGGTTATCCCAGTAGCAGGACATCATTCGGCGGAAGGCCATCTTCTCGATCGGCAGCAGGAGCCGATGGCTGTTGACATTCCGCATGATATCTTTGTTGTTCAGCATGGATACGAGCTTGTCCCGCAAGGATCTCAGAGAATCGCACTGCATCTGATTGGCATTTAGGTACCACTGCAATTCGCGGCTGGCCGCTTTGACCAGGCGGTTGGGAAAGCACCACTGGGTTTGGCGCCTGCTTGTCTTATATTTGATGGCCTCGGGGTGACCGCGATTGTTGAACAGCGTGCCGGGCATAGGCAAATCCTCAGTAGCCAGGTTGTTCACATCTTCTCTGAATTTTTCAATCCTGAGTTTTTCATGGTCAATTGTCAAGGTGCATTTCGGGCATGTCGTCTTAAAGCCCTTGTCCGCAAACCCCTTCCAGTCTTCAAAAATCTTGCCAAGTGGCCCAGTAACCACCCCGTCAGTCCACAGAACCGACACGCGGCTTGTGCAGCCGGGACACCTCACCAGCGTCTTCGATGAGTTTTGTAGATTGTCCCACGCAAAGCCTGTCTTCGCTGTAAATGTGGCCTTTGCTTTGATGCCTGGATCGTATTCAAAGTTCTTGTTCCCGATACAGGCATTTATGGCTTCCCAGGGAAAACCGGTCGCCCAGAGGCTCATTTTCCCAGCCCGAATGCAATCCTCGAGAAAGGCTCTGGGGTTCAGCATGTGGGCATGCCAGACCATTAATACGTCTGTGCGCAAGTTGCCTGTCAGCAACTTGAAATGGAAGCAGTCTATCGAGCACTGAAACCCAGAGATACGTAGTACTCACCAAGAGGAGGTAGTGTTTCCGGGGACCACACGAGCCGCTTATGGTTCTCAGTAATGGCGTTATAGCTCTTGCTTTCAAAGTCCTTGACTTGGATTGGTGGGTCTGTGAAAGGAATGCATGTTTCCCACCAGACTGTATAGCGCTCGACGGCTCGGGCTGTATACACCGCCCATCGTTTCTCTTTCACCCGGGCTCGCGCCTCGTCGATCAGTTGTTCGAAAACACTAGGACTAGGATCATGGATACAGAATAAGCCCCTGAGGCCAGCGGTCGAGTCACGCAAGTCGGCAAGGGCAGCCAAAAACTTCAGATGAGCAACGCATTCGTCCTGAGTGACCGTAGTATACGAGGCTGGCCCAGCGTTCGACGCGAGATTTAAAGGCGGAATGTCCACCTCAGGTTGCTGATCGATCTGATCGTAGGGCGGGGGATTATCGTCGACAGATTTTTCCATGTTTTTAATGGGATGTGGGAGTTTGAATGTTCATGTGGATGCGATAGATCAGGGTCCTTACGGATAACTCTACGGCGTCGGGATAATATACCCGTCTTATACCCCGTCCAGGTAAAACGAATGTCAGATGTCAGCAACGCGTCACGGATACGAGGCAGACTCTCAAATCGTATTCCACGGAATGAGCAAATCAAATCCTTGGAGGCTTGTTGGCTAGCCTGCAGTGAAGAGCACAAGACACGGCTTCATTCGATGAGAACATTGCGGCAGTGACCCGCAGGTGATTAAGCTTCCCTGTTGCCCGACAAGCATTGGCCCCTCTCTCTTGTCCGAGACGAGAAATTGGTTCAGGGCAAGGCTGGACATGAATCGAACGGGGCAACAAACACAGCCCGGATGAACCCACGACGGCATCCCATCGACGTCACGCCGGAAGCGATCGTGGGCCAATCAGGCAATGATCGCTGGCCATGGTCTCACTTGCGATGCTCATTGGTATGGTTTTGGGTCCCGGTGGTTTTCTGGAAGGATTTGGGGCAGTCTCATATGCCGATTCATACCGGAGAGGGATAAAAGACAGGCCGAGTGGTGATGACCGCGCCTTGCGAGAATAAAGGAGGTGAAAAAGAAGACGATGACAGAAGGGAAGAGAGCTTAGTCAGACTGTGTGCCTCAGGCCGCAGTCCCACGGCTCACGTGGATTGCAGTTCCACGTGACAGCGAGATCGGATTTCTCGCTTCCCCCACTCGTTACTCATCGAGGGGCCTGAAGTCGTTCGCTGCACCTGCCCCAAAGCTTGTTTTGTTCTTCGATCGGTCAGAAAGACGCCGACTACGGATTCTGCGGTATTTTCTATGCCAGGCACCTGGTCCCATTCCCTTTCTGGTGGATCTGCGTGGTGGTGAGCCACTGGCGAACAATTTTTTTTCGATAATCTATTCTTAGTTCCGCACATCGATCGGGCATCTTTGCTGGTCGGCAGCTTAACCAGCCTGGCGTCGTTCGGAGGATCATCCAGCGGAATCGGAGGCGGGGGTCTGCAGGGGGACAATCTGGAACTAAGCCCAGAGAATAATGCTTCTGCTGCCACCAGTCCCGTGATGGGAGGTGCTGGCCATCCTTCGGTCTCAGCGACTGGCGGTCCCGACCTGGGACCGTCCAGGAAGCGCAATGTCACCGTCGCCGGTTTAGATAGTTCCCCCGGCAGTGTCGACGTCGATGACATTGATGACGATAATCGCGAGGAGAAGAAAAGACTGCCTGTAAAGCGCGCTTGCAATGAATGCCGGCAGCAGAAGGTAAGCCTAGCCTGCTCTCTCCTCATTCCTCCCCGCCGTTTCTCGGCCCTGATGATCCCTGTCTAATCTATATGCCCTGGCTGCTGCAGCTTCGTTGTGATGTGAGCCAAGATCCGTGGATGGACTGCTCCCGATGTCGCCGCCTGAAGCTTGACTGTAAAATCGAATCCAACTTCAAACGGGTTGGAAAGCGGAGTCGAAATGCAGAGATGGAACGAGAGATCATCGCGTTGAGAAAGCAGATTGCCCATGCTCAGGCGAATGCTACCGCGACGCTGCCTGCGCAACCGCCGTCATCTCTTCCCACGGCCCAGCCTACTCCTAAGCAAGAATCCTCCACCCAAGTCAGCCCGGTCGCGATGTACCATACGCCCTCTGCTATATCCTCGGACCAGTATATGGGCTCTCATGAAGCTGTTGCGTCGCTGTTGGATCTACGATCGGGCTTCGACGGCTCGAACTATATGAGAAATGGGAACCATCACTTCAAGCGGCTCGAGGATGTCGCCGTGGTGCCGGAGAGAGTGACGGAGCTGTTTGATCTGTAAGTCTGCGTGGATTTGGCGCCTTGAAGGCGGGTTTCGCTAACTGATGACAGGTTCTTCACCTTCCATCACCCATTCCTTCCCTTCCTTGATCGAGCGCAGTCGCCGGATGACTACTATAATGCCTGTCCGTTGCTTTTCTGGACCATCATAAGCGTTGGCGCGCGTCGGTACACGGCAGACACGCACCTTCTCAACTCTCTCGCAGGTCCTGTCTCCCGACTAGTATGGAGTACGCTGGCGGATATCCCACAAAGCTATCACGTTGTGAAGGCTCTGTGTTTGCTTTGCACGTGGCCATTTCCCACCAGCAGCACTTCCAATGATCCCACCTTTATGCTCTGTGGAATGATGATGCAGGTCGCAATGCAACTAGGTCTACATCGACCCTCGCATACTCAGGATTTTAGCAAGTTCCGGGTGGAACTGATTGAGGAGGAACTGCGAGATAAAGTGAGAACGTGGGCTATTTGCAACGTGGTTGCGCAGAGGTAAGTCACTTAGCCATCTTTTGCAGCCGTGGTCTTATATTGATCTGTCGTATAGAGTTGCAACCGGATATGGACAGCCGCCATCCACCTTGTATGACTGGACTCTGTCGTCTAGTGACTTGATCGATCCGAACTTCAAATTACCCGAGGGCATTCAGCCTCGACTGGAGATTGAAAAGTTCTGCGATAAAGTAACCAAAGGGCTGTACACCAATCGACGTGATCCTGTCGGGTTATGTAGCGACCAAGAAAGGTCGTCTCTGATCTCGTTTCTTTCCCGAGATTTTGACGAACTAGAAACTCATCTGAAGCCGCAAAATGACTGTACGTTCCAGATTTAATCATGCGTCCAAGAACTAGACTAACATTCAATCAGGTATCACCAACCTCTATCTTCGAGCGTCTAATCTCCATCTCCATCTATCCGCATTTTTCGATGACCCCACCGCCAAGAATTACAGAGAGCGCCTACTTGCGCTGTACGTCGCCACTACTACATTCCTGGAGGCTTCCATGAACTTGGAGACGGAAGTTGGGCCCGTGCTATCCTACACGCCATATTACGTGTACCAGATGCTGGTTGCAGCTGGCTGCACCCTGCTTAAACTCTGCAAGAGCTTCTTTGCGGCTCACATCGACATGGAGTACACCAAAACCCTTTTCAATCGAACCATCTGGGCCATCCGCGGTGTGTCGGTCTCTAACAACGACCTTCCCGAGCGGCTGGCGGAAGTGCTAGCCCAGATGTGGAGACTCGGAAATGCACCAACCCCTAAGCCGACGGACAATCCTGAAATGGATGATTCATTAATGTTGAAAGTACGGTGCCGCATGAGCATGTCTCTCCTGTACGACTCGGTGTGGCGATGGCGCGAGGATGCGCGGACCAAGGGCCGCAATATCGAAGGTATGTCCGACGGAACCCAACGTTGTCTGTCGAACTGAAATTGACGGTGAAATGCAGCCTATCTTAAGAACCCCACGAACCCGGATTCGAATGCCGACTCATCCGCATCGTCGTCGGTCGGAGCTCTCCATACGTCCACGTCAACTCCTGGTGTGTCTGCCGCGGATCCGAGCCTTGCGCCAGCCCCCTTGCTACCGACAGCGAGCCTGGGAGTGCAATCAAACAACGGGGTCGGCGCGCTGCCCAGCGGATTCATGGAGCCCAATTACGAGGTTTTTGACCCACTGAACTGGCTCTTGGACGGCTTAGTAGACCTGCCTTACTCCTCCTACTCCACCATATCGGGCATGGAAACACAAGGGATCGCCTAGACCGACAGACCGCATTCCCTGTGTTACACAAGAAAGACTCATTGACACCATCCCAGTCACTGGGCGTTATTCGATACCTTAATTGCCGGGTTAGCGTGTTTGATTGATTTGATTTGTACCTGTACATATACCAAACAGCGTCGACACCGTCGGGTGAAAGGGAGCGACGGAGTTTGGATTTCGCTTTTGCTTCGTTCACGTTTATGATTCCTATTGGTTTATTTTTTTGATGTTTTTGGCGATACCATGTACGGCCACCCATGCTATGATACTTGCAATTTCAGTTGATTTAATGAACCCCATGATATGTCTACATCAACACTCGGTGCTACATAAAATACTAACCTCCCTTCCGGGCGGTGGAGTTTCTGCCAGGCGGGGGTTACATCATCGGATGACCGCCGGCCCTTGTGCTCCAGCTGATTTACATCCAAGGCACAGATAATCCACTGCGTCAGTATATAACACACACAAGCACACTTTATATACATCTATATCTATACCCAAGGGAGGAAGAAGGAAAAGAAAACAAAACCAAATGACAGCCCCCAACCCAACATACAAAACCACGCGCCCCAAACCCACACTCCTACACCAAGGCACCAAACAACCGCTCCAAACCAGCTCCAGCTCCAGATCCAGATCCAACACACAGGAAACCAGAATCAGCAAGCTACTGAATCCCAGCGCGCGTCCAGCATCGGCGGTTCTTCGATCCACGCGGTCCGAGGAGGCTAGGGAGACCAGGGAGACGGAGATGGAGACGCGGACTCAAGAGGTGGATATGGCGGGGGCGGTGCAGCCGTTTCTCGATCCGGTGGGGTGGGATGGGTTGAAGAGGGTTGGGCAGATGAGGGATGCGAATGGAGATGGGGATGGGGATGGAGGGAGAATGGGGAGGAAGGAGGCAGAGGAAGAGGAGCGAAGGAGGAGGGAGAGGGAGGCGGAGTTTGGAGGGATGGCGGTTAGGGGGAGGATGAGGGTGAGGTAGATTTTTGGTTATGCCATTAGGATTAGGATTAGGATTAGGATTATTGAGGGATGAGAATGGACTATGATCAGTCGATCGTATCATATCATATCATATGCCATTTGTATGGTACATCGGAGCAGACAAGGAATTAACAGAACAACGCCAAGAACGCGACCTTGTAGAACCGTCGTTTATATCTCATGTCAACGTGTCGTCTGTTCGGTCATTCATTCATCATAAATCATCAGAGCATAGCAGAGTTTTAACTGCAGATAGAAGGGAAGTAAAGGGAAAAAAAAAGAAGAAGAATCATAACACCGCAAGGCAAGGAAAACGAAACAAACATAATATCCCCAAAGGTATAGCATCAAATCATTGTAAATCATAACGAATCAATCATAAACGTCGCATGCAAATTTCTCACTGAATCATACTTCGAGTCTGGGTGCTGGAATCCACGAACACAGCCTCTCCGATGCTCTGCTTGAGTCTTTCTCGTCGTGCTTCTCGTTTGCCCTCCGCGCGTCTTTGCAGTTGGCGCCTCAGGCGCCGGCGGAAGTCCCGCGCAGAACCAAAGCGAAATCGCAATCTCCACCACGAAAGGGATCGAAAGTGCCGCTGGTGAAGCGAGGTCTGGGAGTACAGGGCCTCAGGCGTGAACACGCCGCTGCCCACGAGAGCGCTTCGACGCGCCGTCGTCCCATCGAATCGTCGTCTCATATCGGGGCTACTACGGCGAGCGATTTGCGGTCCTTCGAAGGCCACTCGTGGTTGGGGCATTCCAAGTGAATTTTTGATGACCTGATCGGTCTCAGATCGAGCAGCCTGGGGAGTTTCATCCCGAGGAGAGTCACCTTCCGTCTCGGATGAATCCTCCCAGAATCGTCGGGGTCGCCAGAACGGCTGGAGCTTATCATCGATCTCTTTCCCGGATTTACGATTCTTGGCCGACTTCAATGACAGGGATCGCGTAAACGAATTAAAAGATTCGGATCCGGGCCGTACTCGCCAAGAGCGCCTACTGCCACGTCGGGGAGGCTGGGGGTTGTCGTGGGTATCCTGGGTTCTTAGCGGCTCCCCCACTTGAGGATCCACCACGTCCGCCGGCACCGACGGATTGCTGGAGTTGTGAATGGGCGGTTTCGGCGGCCGACGAGGATTCTTCAATGGCGAACTCATCTCACCCGCATCCGACTTGTCCGGCATGGGCATTTCGGGGGTTCGTGGAGTTCCCAGACTGCTTCGATACGCTATTCGTGGCAACCGCCCGTGGCGTCCAGACTGCAACTGCGGGTTCACCAGCAGCAGCGATTCGTTGTTGTGGGGGAAGAACACCACGGTCGTGGCTTCGTTGATTTCGACTGGCCCCGGGGATGACGATGGGATCGAGATGGCCGTGAAAGGTGCCGACGGCGGACGTAGATGAGACATATCCTCCACTCCTATCAAGATCGAATGGGTTTTGTTGGAAACCTCTGGGGCTCCGCCGGAATCACGAGCCTGCTTCCTAGGCACAGAGACCGGCGGTTCGGAGGGTTTGTTCTGCGTCTCGAGATCCATCGCCAAGGTATGATTCCGCAAGCTCTCCGAGGTAAGTGACGTAGACCGGGAGTTGTTCTGGCTCGTGGGCGCTGACAAGGACGAGCTACGCGGCGGAATCACTGGCCGACTGAGACTGCGGCCTCGGGAGCCTACACTTGGGCGAGTCGTGGCACTTGAATCGGACATGGTGCGCTTTCTCGAGCGAGGAGCATCAATCGATCCCGGTCGACTACTTAAGGTAGGTGGCGCGCGCGATCGTCGAGAAGAGCTGCTCTTCGAGGGGTTTCTGCTCGTGGACGCTGAAGACTTGAGTGAAGAGCGTCGGTCGGGAATGACAACCACGGGGACCACCTCGTAATTCTGTTGAGGAGCTCCCAAGGTCGAGCTTCCCGATGCGGAAATGTCCGACGCGATACTCTTACGATCGTTCTCCGTGATGCGCGCAATCTTGTGAACTAAACGGTGATGAGAATCGGGGTTTGAAGCCAGCGAGGATCGCTCCGAGCGCGTGACGGGGGAACTGGCTGATCGCAACGAAACCCTCTTCTCGCTGTGGCGCAGAGTTCGCTTGGTTGGCCGCGGCGAGTCAATGATCATGGCTTCGATGGTCGACGACGTGGACACGCCCGAGTGTCTGCGAGTATCGTCGGCATCGACGGGGTCCGCCGGACGTTCCCCCGGTGGCCACCCGATCTGATCACGGAAGTTCTCCATCGACGGATTCGCGCCAGGCTCGGGGGAATCGTCGTGGACTCGTTCCCTCAGGCCGTTCACGCGCGTTCGGGGAACCTCCAAACTGTCATGAGTGTTCGCACCCGCATCGTTCACAGGGTGAGGACTCGAAGGCTCTGACGGGTCAAGCGCGATCGGGATTCGGTCTTCCTTACGTTTTTTTGATCGTCGAGGCCGACCAGAGCGTTCCGTCTTGTGACCTTTCCGTCCGGAGCTTGGGGCATCGGTTGGTGACTCTAAGGATCCATTCTTCGCCGGCGTTCTCTGCTTTGCTGGGCGCTGGAGGGATTGCGAAGAGCGACGGGGCGTCTCGGTTTCGGCATCGGAAATCATCTCGTAGGCCGTTTGAAACGACTCCGCTCGCGACGAGGAAGGTGTTTGACCCGCGGGATTGAGACCCGGCCGGTGAGGAGTGAGTCTTGGTGGTGTCGTTTCGGGGGTTGGAGGATGCGAAGGCTTGGAAGGAGTCATTATTCCATTCACGGACCGAGGAGAAGAAGCGCCTCGGGGGATATCCGAATCGCTTGCGGTAGGCGTTTCGTCTTGACTAACGCCAGGGGGGGTTAGAGGGAGGGCGGGAGCCGTAGCCAGTGCAGCGCCTTTTGAAGGGTGGACATTTTGGTCAGTGGATATGTGGATGCCTTGGTCATTATTCGGCGCCAGCTCGGATTTTCGAGGCAGTGACTTGTGGGACTTAAATAACGGCCGATCCAAGTGTTCTGGCGAGGCTGGAGACGTGCCAGCGAGGCCAGGACTGGGCATGTTGAGGCAGCCCAACGACCCAAATGAGGTCGAAGCCGCAGGGCGAATCGACAGCAGAGACGTAAACGGAGGCTACTGGTGCATTAAAACCACCAAGGACAATGAGAGGGGACGGAGCGGAGTTTAAAGCATGACACGGGAGATGTTTCAAATTATAATGGGCCAAGTTGAAGGTTGACGTCGCATAGCGAAGGGAGGACGAACTGTACGGCGGAACTGGACCATCCACAGGCACCGACACGACAGCTGTAGGAAATCCCCCAATTTTGGCCCGAAGGATTTGTCGGTTGAGACGAGAATTTTCTTTTTTTAATTCTTTCTCAACTCAATGTTTTTTTTTTTTTGTCACCCCCTGGGAAATTGTTTGCTGCCTTTCCAGAAACACCCGCGCAAGTAACAGCGACAATCGGCAAGGGAGCGGATCAAGCAGCGTAAGGGTGTAACGTTCGCGAGGCGCGTCTTACCCACCAGGCGAGGCGGAATGGGAGATCGGGACCCAGACCAGCGCAATGACAATTCAGTGGGCAAAAAGACCCGAAAATAGAGTAGCGGACTAGGAAATTAGCTTCAGATCCCGTTGGTCCAGGAAAAGGCCCGACGACGAGCTGCGACGAGGCAAGGAAGGGGGCGAGGCGAAAGGGCGATTCCACGTTGCAACTCGTGGATACCTAGGGAAGCATTCCCCAGGGACCAACCAGGGCTGGGCGAGTTGAATACGCGACCGGTCCGCCAGTGAATGTCTCTGGAGGATCCTTGGGTTCTCCTTCCAGTGACCGGTGGAGATGGAAGGGGAGAAATAATGGAGTATAATTTGAGAATTGACGGGAGATGACGATAAGACAAGGGAATCGCCTAACAATGTGGGGGGGAAGAAGAAGAAGATGAAAGAAGGCGATTTAAACGCCGAGAGTCCAGTGACTTTGGCCCGCGACCCCTGCAGCAGCCCCCATTATTATTCCTCCATCCAGAGTCCAGAGTTTAGACGGGACAAAAGGATTACAGGTCTACAGGTCTACAGCTCTACAGCTCTACAGAATGGAAGTGCAATGGTTCTAGGAAGAACGGATGGCGGGAATGGCTTGCGAGGCCATGGAACGACGATAATAAAGATCTCTGGGACGGTACCGGATCGTCGACGCACATTCAGCCCATTTGAGTGGTTGACCAGGGGCAATGACGATGAATGACGCCGTCACTCCACAGCCCGAGATTGAGCACAGGGGATTGTCTGGCTCGGAGACCATCGGATTGGGGATTCCAGACTAGAGAAATTCATTTGACGACTTGGTGACAGAGTCAATCATGTCTCGAGCAATGAGTGATAGAAGATAGAATCTGTTGAATGGGGATGACTGGAAGATACTTGAGAGGAGAGGAGAGGAGAGTTCCTAGAGGGTCAAGTAACTAGAGTAAAGTAAGTAAAAGAGAGGAAGGAAGAAGATGAGTCAGCCGATGACATAACGCAGGATCGGAGCCGAACTCGTCGATCCGCCGACGTCATGGAATCTTCATTTCCCACGAGAAAGAAGTCCGTTCAATCGGAGGCGGAGAAGAGAAGAACGCCTGAATGCGCGGAGCAGAGCGCAACCAGACCGAGAGCCCTCAGTAATAAAGGACGGGGCGTTTCCCTCTACGGCAAATCCGGTTTTCCCAGGCAGAGACCAACATCATCATCCATCACCGCCGTCAGGACCAACGCCTCCCACTTCCGTCACTTCCCCACCATCTGCTGCTTTAATTAAATTCGGTTCTCCTCGTCCGTCCCCCCGGCTGCCGTCGATTCGCCCGGGCTTTTTCTTTTCTTCGTGTTCTGCTCTGCTTTCTTTCGGTCTCCCTGTCCGACAGTCGATCATTCCTCATACTCACGACATTGTGACTCTAGTGGGGTTGGTCAACACTGCACGAAAAAAAGAAAGGGAAAAAAAAAAAAGAAACAAAGAAAACGTCAACCGATTCAGATTCAGATTCAGAAACAAAAGCAAAAAAGAAGTCTCCCTGGGGATTTCAAACCTGCCGACTTTTGTTTCCTCCCTTTCTGCTTCCCCCCTGAACTGCCTGCTTTGTTTGCGGTCCCCCCTAACCCTTTCGCCCTCCTCTCTCCCTCTCTCTCTCTGTGTCCTTTGTCCTTCTGTCGCACCCGACGGGGGATTACTCAGCATGAGTACCATCCAGAATCTCAAGAATTTCATACGTCATGGCAAACAGGCTCGCCTGGTGACGCCGCATGCCGAACCCACCACCAACGTATCGCCCATCCATGCCGAACAACAACGTCAGCCCCAGCGCACTTATCCTCCCGCCGCCGGGAACCTCGATGCCCTCGACAATAAGTTGGGTCACGCCCAGGCCCCGCCGCAACCCGCTCAAAAGTCCCCCGAGCCGTCCCGTCGTGGTCGCGACGCCGAAATCGAGCAGATCGTCGCCGAGGAAAAGAGTGTCCGCTCCAAGATGCCTCGCTATCCGGGCCTCGAACGATGGATCTTGCTGGAGAAGATGGGCGACGGCGCCTTCAGTAACGTGTATCGCGCCAAAGACTCCACCGGCGAATATGACGAGGTGGCCATCAAGGTCGTCCGGAAATTCGAAATGAACAGTAATCAGGTAGGTTCAAGCCACCCTTTCTGTCCTCCGGCCCTCCGGCCCTCCACTGCCGTCATGTTTTCCCCTCTGCCCTCTCTGGTTTGGTTCGCGTCGTCTGCCCCGATGCCCGTTTCCCTTTCGTGGTTCTGTTGTTTCCCAAGTTTCTCGAACTTCGTCGCCAATGTAATTGTTTAGTCCGATATTCTTCATCCCGGATTAAAAAGAAAGCCCAAAGCGGCTGAGGTGCGCAAATCCTGAGGAGCATACCTCTTCAATCTTCTTTCTGCGTCTCCTTGTTTTTGCCATCCCTCACCTGCTCTTCGACCGCACCATAGCCTGTACCGTGTTTTATGCTCCGTCTCTGCCTACCCATGTCGTCATCCAAAGTACTCGCTGGCTAACTGGTTCGCAGCGGGCCAATATCCTCAAAGAAGTGCAGATTATGCGGCAGATCGACCACCCGAACATCGTCAAGCTCGTCAACTTCTCCGAATCGCCGCAATATTATTACATCGTGCTGGAGTTGTGTCCGGGAGGCGAATTGTTCCACCAGATTGTCCGATTGACGTACTTCAGCGAAGATCTTAGTCGACATGTCATCGTCCAGGTTGCCGAGGCGATTGAGTATCTTCACGAGACATCTGGAGTGGTGCATCGGTACGCTACCCTTCCCGTGTTCTTGCGTAGCAATCGGACTGACTTGGATCTCGAATGCAGGGACATCAAACCCGAGAATCTGCTCTTCTACCCGATCCCCTTCGTTCCGAGCAAACACCCCAAACCTCGTCAGCCCGGCGACGAAGACAAGGTGGACGAGGGCGAGTTTATTCATGGCCGGGGTTCTGGTGGAATTGGAAAGATCAAGATCGCCGATTTCGGCCTGTCCAAGGTCATCTGGGACAGTCAAACGATGACCCCTTGCGGTACCGTCGGTTACACCGCTCCTGAAATCGTTAAGGATGAGAGGTACTCCAAGAGTGTCGACATGTGGGCTCTTGGTTGCGTGCTCTACACCCTTCTCTGCGGTTTCCCTCCCTTCTATGATGAAAGCATCCAAATCCTGACTGAAAAGGTGGCCCGGGGCCAGTACACCTTCCTGTCGCCCTGGTGGGATGACATCTCCAAGTCGGCTCAGGATCTGGTCTCCCATCTCCTGACGGTGGATCCCGTCAAGCGTTTCACCATCAAGGAATTCCTGGCTCACCCGTGGATCCGCGGAAGCAACGAGGAAACGAGCGCTGCCGAGGATGCGCCCCCGCTAGCGACTCCCCTCAGCACGCGCCAGCCCCAACAATCGCCCTTGGACGCCGCCGCGGCGGATCAAGCCCCCAATGCGCCCGTCAGCGCGCGCCTTGGAGACCAGCCCTCTGCCGGGTTGGAACGTCCCATGGATTTCCGATCACCTGGCGCGATCAACCTCCGCGAGGTTTTTGACGTTGGCTATGCCGTCCACCGCCAGGAAGAGGAAGCGAAGCGACGCAAGAACTTCAAGCACGTCTACCGTGGAGCCAATTCGACGGCCGGATTCCAATCCGCGCTGAACCCGCTCAACGAGGACTATGACGACGACGACGACGCGCACATCACCTATCAGAACATCCCGGAGGACGAGTATCCTCCCTCGAAGGTCCACAAGAGCTCCAACCAGGCAAAGGACGTGGCCATGATGGAAGCCAAGTTGCGATCGACCAACCTCGGTGCGGCTCCCCCCAGTCATGCCGCGCAAGCTCGGCAAGCGAACCAGCCCCGACAGCAACAGGGCTACGGACAACACAGCGCCGCCGTTGCCGCCGCCGCAAAGCAAAAGGCTGCTCGCTCGGCGCGGCAACCATTCGAGCTCAATTTGGGCAATGCTTCGTTGTTAGAAAAGAGGACCAGACGGCACCAGGAGCAACCCGTTAGCTGAGGTGGTCCTCTGCTTTCATTCTGTCCTCTTTCTGCATCTCTCCCCTTATACCTTGTGTTTTGTTATTTTGTTTTTGCACGCATCAACGATGGGATCATGTTTATGAAATGTGAGCGATGGGCCATGAATTATTTTGGGATTACTGGGCGGTAGTCTTCACCGGGTCGCTTTTCTTTTTCTCTTTTCTTATCTCGGGTGTTGTTTCTCCTTTTGATATCTCGTGACGTTTCTGTCTGTTAGTGCTCATCTTTTTCTTTTTTCCTTTTGATTCTCTTCTGGGTTCAGGGCTTGGGCGAAGCATGTGTTATGGAATTGTTTGATATTTTCCCCCCTCTCCTTTGTCTCTTCCTCTTCATCCAGTCCTCTTTCGATATTCCTCTCTTCGTTCTTCTGTTCTATAGCATGCATAGGAGGAATCTCACTCGGAACATATATAAGGGTTGCAGGTCCTTTCATTTCTGTCTTCCTTCACCTTCACCGCAGTTCGTTCTGGCTGGAATCCCGCTAGATATACTATACATCCTTGTACTTAGGCTTTGCTGTGCTTGCAGGGTTTTTTCTGTTTCTGTTATCAGGGAAGTAGAGAGTGTGTTGTATGTAAATAGGGATGTGTACACATGTAGGTGTCCAAGCAAGGCATTAGACGATAAAGGTGATAAAGATATGATCAGTTGATTCGATGAATTAGTATTTGATGTTCAATGTTCTTAGTATTCAGTAATGATTACCTGTCACTAGATAATCAAAAGAAAAATATATGAACATTTTTTTATTGATTTCTCTAAAATCCGCTATATGCAATTCCACAATTCCACCATCCATCCGTTCCTCGTCAGTGCATACACTCAAGTAGACAAGACAAGAAAGCAAAGGACAGGATTGAAAAGAGGGGTGGAAAGGAAATGAAAAAAAAAAAAAAAAAAACGAACAGGGGTATATGATTTTCCATATATGCGTGGTTTGCTTCATATCAGACATGCACACAAGATGAGAAGACAACACAAGTCACCGAACATAGAACAAGTCTGATCTTGATCTGTCTTTCTGTTCGCCGGGGTTTTCCATGCTCATGTAGATCCGTGGATCAATCAACGTCAATCATACACGTAAAAACACATAAACATAAACATGAAATGATGATAAATAGACAACAACCACCGAATCCATCCATCCTTCTATCTATCTGGAACAAATCGATAGAATAGGCAGATATGGGAGGTAACGTAACTGGTTTAAATGCAGGGGAGAAAAAAAATGACAAGAAAGGTATCAAGCGAGTCATGACGAATTCCATCGCTATTCCGACATAATCAAATCACAAGGCATAAGAATGCAACATAGAAATGAAGATGAAAGTATCCAAAAGAAGAGAAAAAGAAAAAAGTATGATTTCCTGTTTGTAATGATTTTTTTTTACAAAGTCTGCTTACCGCGCGTCTCGATAGGAAGCAAGCACATGGCCACGAAGGCAGCCAGCATCAAAGCTCCGGAGGCGTAGATGGGCGCATTGACGTTTCCGCTGCCGCTGTAGATGGCGACCAAGGGGGCGCACAGTCCTGCGATCCGATTGATGCAGCTGGCAATTCCGGTCCCGGTACCACGGTTCGGGGCGGGGAAAACTTCCGGGGTGTAGGCGTACAACACACCGTACATGATGTTCTGGAAGAAGGCTTCCAGAGACGAGCAGACGAGCTGAACGTCAGGGTTGGTGGAGGCGGTAAAGCAGAAGAGAAGAACACCGGTGATCATGGTGGAGATGACCATGGTACCCTTGCGACCGACGTACTTGATGTCGACGGTGTAGCAGGCGAGAATGGAGCCGGGAACACCGACAATAGAAGTGATGGCGTAGTTCCGGTAGACAGTGTAGGTCGATTGCTCGGTCGAACCGCCAGCACTCTTGATGTACTGGGGGAGGAAGGCGTTGAAAAGAGGATAGCCCATGCCAATGGTAGCCCAGCAGAACCACAGAAGAATGGCTGCAAGTCATTCTAGTTAGTGAATGCCAGAAAGGGAAATTTGGGAGGTAAACCTACTGGTCAAGCCAAGCTTCTTGGTGGCAAAAAGAGGAGCAATGCGCTGCATCGAGAACTTGGAGAGGTATCTCTGGGCAATTTGCTTGTTGGAAAGAGTCTGGGGAGCGCTTTCCTCTGGGTATCCACCGATCTCGTTAAGGATTTCCACGGTGAGCCAGGTCTTGGACCTGTTTTTGTAGGCGATGCCCTGAACGGCTTCGACGGCCTCTTCCTGACGGCCACGAGACAGCAGGAACTTAGGAGACTCGTACAAGTGGAACAGGAAGAAACGGCAGATGAACATGACAAAGGTGATAGCACCCAGAGTCAAGACGAGGTATCTCCAGCCCATGTTGTCCTCCTTGCGACAGCACTGTTCGCCTTCACCGGCCTGGCTGCAGGCAGGGAGACCGGATTCGCAAGTGAAGTTGGGAACATAAGCCCATGCAAGCAAACTGGCAATGAGGTTACCCACGGGCCACCAGACACTCAGCATGGTCAAGAGGTTCCCCGACGCAAAGGGCAAAAACTCCAGGAAAAGAGCACCGTCAACAGGCAAATTTCCGCCGACTCCCAGTCCCAAGCAAGCGAACAGGGCGCAGGTTCTAATCAACCGATGTTAGAATTCCACTCGTACCAAATGACCATAAAAGTCTCGAGGCTTCTGTATACGTACCCAATCCAATTCGGGCCACCACCGGCAGCCAGACCGAACACACCGGTGATGAGGAGAGTCAAGTTGAAGGCGGGACGACGTCCGATCACATCGGATGCGATACCCCAGAATGAAGCACCCAGACAAAGACCCAGGAATAGCGCACAAGTGGTAAACCGAACTCGGTCTTCCGAAACACCGAATTCCATGGACAATTGCGTCAGAGTTAGAGCAACACCCTAAACATGTCAGTATGATACATCCCTATAGGTTCTTTCCTAGGAATGTCCTACCTGCAACCAAAGGCTAAAGAATCGATGTTAGTGGTTTATTCTTGGATCTAAGAGGGTGTTCACGTACTTGTCCGCAGTCCAGCCAAAACCGCAGAGAGCAAAGAGCTCCCATTGATAACGGCCCATGCCGATATCTTGAACAGCTCTGTTGATCACTTTCGCTTTGCCTGTATGATAACAATTAGATCCGCAACTCGCGATTGACAGCCAATGGCAGTCTGAGGGGAAGGGGGATTTTGGAAGCTAGAAGAGAAAAGGCTCCGGCAAAAAGGCAGGGCAAAGCTATCCCATGGGCAACTAGAACATACGGTCATAGGCGCTATCGTGCCCCGAAGCGGCAATGTCGGATTCGACTTCGGCACGCAAAGCTTCAAGGGTCAAATGGGTATACTCGGGGACGGGACCAATGCCCTTCTCGGAGGCAGCTTGGTCGAGACTCCTGTCGTCAGCCTTGTCATCTGGGCCAATTTTCTTTTCTACCGGGGTCGGACTCGGGCTTTGGCTGGAACGTGAAGGGGCATTGGCGAGTGGAATCACAACGCCGGGAAAGTTGCGATGGTCATGTCGCTTGAAGGGATTGGTCAACAACTGCATGGTGCCGGTTCGTTTGCTGCTAGGGGAATATGATTTGGCGCGTGCTGGGAAATTCCTCGAGATCGTACAGGACCGACACAACTGCGAATGGGGTATCAGAAAAAAGCACCGGGGTCACGCTGGGAAATTTCCGAGGTCAATGGCGGGCCTTGCGTAGGGCTAATTGCTACTGTCTTGGATATAGGTCGCAACGGCTAAATCCGGACCGGGAATCTTGAGTCGTGGCGCGCTCAAGGGTTGAGATGTCGCAAATGGAGTTTGATTCCTCGAAAGGCAGGCGCAATGGCTGTGATTCGAAGGAGTTGGTAGACCGCGGATTCTCTGGCGCTAGGGACGAAGGTATAGACGGGCTCAGTCGCTGTGGTCGAAGATGTCGTTGAAATGTACCGGGCGAAGCAGATTTGCTGATGCTGCTACTGAGCGTATGTCGTACGACTGACAGTGAACCACGATGTTCTGTGACTCTGCTGGACCAATTTGTTCAAATAGACAATGAAGAGCGATATATAGATCAAAAAAGGGGAAGCGAGCTTTGGAAAGCCCCGTTGACCTGTGATGACAGGAAATCAACAGATAAGGATAGAGTCAGGAAACTTGAGAACCCTGATTTTGGAAAAGGTGATTGGGGGGGGTAAGAAGAAGATTGTTTTGCCCTGTACCGAAGTGGTAGACAGAGAGAAACAGAGCTCAAGTGGCAGATCGCCTCGAATTCCTGATTGCAGGAAGAGGGGAAGAATGGATGGGATGGTAGGGGAGGGGAGGATGAGAAAGGAAGATGGAAGAAGAAAGAGAGGGAGGGAAAAGGAAAAGGGTGGAAGAGGGAAAGTTGGCAATGAGGAAACCAAGGTTGAGGACGAGAAACCATCTATATACGGGTTCCCTCCAGGAAATGCGGGAGAGAAAAAAAAAAAAAAAAAAAAAAAAAAAAAAGCTAAACAGAATATTATACGAGAGATATGATGATAACAAAACTAAATTATTATTTGCTAATTGTTCTGATCGAACCATTTTTTCTTAATGGACGATTCTTGTTTTACAATTGACGCAGTTGCATTAAGTTCTCTCTCTCTTTTTTTTTTTTTTTTTTTTTCCCTCTCCCCATCGGCATGCATATTCCGTACAAAATAATACATGGGGAGGGCACTAAATTAATTTCCAGCTAAGCTAAGGCCAAGTCACGGGGGTGCCGTATGGGGGCTGTATCTGTATTCTGTAAGTTATCTTAGTGCGGTTAGTGTTGGTGTCGCAAGTGGCGACCCGCTGGAAAGTGAAAACCTCTGGAGGACTTGCATCGAGAGGCATCTGCTCTGCTCCGAGGCCAATAAAGCTGACTCAAGAGCCCGGCCGGGGTTAATCCAACGAGCTTTCGATTCGGAGGGGAGACCAATGCAGCACCCGTTTGATACGGATATCGAATTACTATCGATAAGGGATACAAAGAAAGAACGTGTGGGGAGCCCGGCTTAAACGCCCCCCCCCAAATACTCCGTATTACCTACTTCGTAGTACCTGAAAATTTCTGGAAGGTCAGTCCGTCTCAGGCAGGGGCGTAGGAAACTCCAGGCCCTTCGCCTGAATGGACTTTACCTACTCCGTATGGAATGCCTCAGGCGGCTTGGCCGACTACGACCAAAACGGACGGGCATCCCTGCCGGCCGAAAGCGCAGGGTGGGAAAGCCCGCTGATTGGCCGGGAGACGGGCGGGTTCTTGACTTTTCGCGGGTGGAGACTCAACGCCTTGGCCCTTTCATGGCGTCTGCACTCGACGGCGAGCCCGGTAGAGTATGGGTTATGGGTTGGCCCGGTATGCAGCATCGATTCTCGACGAGATACTCTGTCTCCGCAGTAGAGCAAGAGTTGAGCAGGAACCACTAGATCCAGCTATCCCTCACTGATCAGGTCGTTCTACTTAAGTATGTAATGTACTACTGTAGGTACTATGGTGTCAGCTGAAGTTATCGCTATGTCAACCCCGGAAATCCGGGGAATAACCCGAATTGAATCTGTGCTCCCGTCGGGCTGACCGTTGGTTAACATCCGCGGCAAACTGAACGAAAGGAGGAAAGGAAAAAGGGAGAAAAGCAAAGAAAAATCGCTCCCATGGCCCCGAGCCGTCCGCCGAAGCCCTGAGAGGCCAGTAATTCCCAGCGGTCTATTCAGTATGCCGTAAGGCTACGAGGTTTCGATCGCCCCGAACAGGATCAAGCGTATGTTAAGGGCAATCCCGGCGGCGCCACCAGGCCCTCAGATTGGTCCTCGGCCATCTGCCACCGCAAGTTGTACCAGTCCGATCAAGGGTTCCTTCCCATTCTGCACGTATGTTTAGATCATGCGGTTGGTATCGGTGGCTTAAGATTAGGTGCAGCCATGGGAAGGAAAAAAATGAAAGGGAGGGCCCGAGAAATTTACCCTTTCGGGAATCCAGATCACGCTGGATGGGCGAACGACGTCCACGTGCCAAGTCGGGCTTTACCCCCCTCGACGTCATCCGACTTGGGACAACATTTCCTGTCTCGCCCATCCATCGGTACCGGGATCCTGTCTTGTGCCCGGGAGCAATTGGTGAAACTGAATGGTGACTGCCTGGACTCCGGACCTAACCTACCAGACCTTCAGACCTACCTACCTAACTGGGTCTAGTCCCCCATACCACCGTACACGGTCTAGTCTCCTTTCCTTTAGCTTCCATCTTGTACGATCTTTTCACCTCAGGATCCGACATGGACGAGTCCGTTTTACCTAATGACTAGTACTGAGATAGTGCTTATGACTAGCCTGCCATCTGCCTGACTAAATAATAAATCATGAGCTAGGTATGTCTTTCCGCCCGGCAAGACACCTGCAAGAAAAAAAAAAAAATTCTGCCTGCACCGCGTCGCAGACACGAGGCTTTTACTTTTTGATAGTCGGCGTCGGCGTGCACCAACGCTAGCCCCATCTGGGAATGGATCGCCGTGACCGGCTGGAGGCGACCGTCACTTCCGCATCCGGAGGCAATTGGGCCAGCCAATGAGACATCCCAAAAAGGTTTCATAATCCTCCTACACGGCATTCCTAACCACGGACCACTTTACGATTTGCCCGAGGGATGGGATATGTCGTGATTTTTTGGTCTTATATGCATTGGGATAACTCTCAATTACAAATCAATACTTACTAGCTTACCACACTCGGTGGTTTTTTGGGTAATTCTAGCATCATCCACCTTCGATCAGTCACTGAACAGACAGCCAACAGTTGAACCTTGATACAAAATCAAGATCGACGGGAAGGCGCCCGCTTCCTGCTGCTAGGACCAACTCAGTATAGCCGGTCCAAGAACATCAGGTCACTGGACTTACGGAGTACTGCGCAGTTTTTTTTTTTTTTTTTTTTTTTTTTCTTGCCTTCCTTCCTCCCGTCTTCCGTACGGAGTATTCCGCCCTCCCCCATTCCATTTTCCATAGAGTTACACCGAGTTTGACAAGTCACCCTTACTTACATCGTACATCGCATCCCTTCATGCCGCCTCAAGCTTCATTCAATGACATGGCGCAAAAGCACGTGGCATGGGATGATCGATTTGGGTGTGGGGTAGTATCGAGGACCGATATTCTATCTGCCTTTCTACACCGTAGGTTTCCAACCCAGAGTCAACTTTCACTTTCTCCAGAAAGTCACAGGCCTACGCAGTAGACCTGTCCCGAGCGGCTGAGGATTCCGTCGTCGTTTTTCCTCGCATTACTCGATATGGCATGATCGACTGGCGAGCCAAGCAGTCCGAGTGATTGATTGCGAGTCAGAAAAACGCTGATAATAACTCGTAGTAATCGCCTAATTAACCCATGTAAAATCACAGAGTAAATTAATACGATAAACCTCAAATCGGGATCTTGGTTCGGTAGCTGGAGACCAGCTAGACTACCTAATGAATACTACGTAAAATCAAACCCATCTCGATCCTAACCGGCCACTATTACCAATCTCTATTACTACATACTACATAGGAAAGACGGCTAATGGCTATACTATCCGCCGGCTGCCCTCGGCTTGGCCTGGAGGTTTCTTCCGCGATACCCACTTGGGCTTTTTTTTTTTTTTTTTTTTCTTTCGCTTTCCTTGGGTGAGCTGGAAAGAATGATATACTCGACTGCGGGTGCCGAGGGTCATGCGGTATGCGAAATACAGCGAAGTAGGTAACTTCGACGGGGGGCGCTAGTACGGGTGCAGTACGGACGCAATACGGGTATTTTTGCCTGAGGTGTCTAATATCTGCCTGATCGGCTAGGCCAAAGCGTTGATGTAGATCCATACTATCTACTCCGTATCAGGATCGAGGATAGGCCAGGATCCCGGACCATGACGCCTCAGCTTCCAGTTTGCCTTATCAGTTGCTGGCGAATCGTAATACGCAGTATAAGACCTGAGACACCCCCCTGTTCGTGAGTAATTACGACTGATTGGCAGATAAGCCGATGAGCTTCTTTCACCTAGCTCAGCCACCCGTGCCGGGTCCTTCATGACAAGAAGATGTGGCGGGCGTCTAAAATTCTTAGGCTTGGAGGGTTTTTACTTTTACCAAGAGCGGTAACAATATGATATCAGATTTCTCGACCCGAATGGGGTTATGTATTCCTAGAGTAGTTGGGACTTCGGTCCCTAAGGATGGATTCACGTCATGTCTCGTCATATACAAAGTTGAGGTTGGATTCTATGCTAGCAGCATGGCCAACCTCTCGTAGTTTGCTGCATGTTCTTGGCCCTTGCTTCTCATTTCCTCGTGGCCTCTTTTTCTTTTTCTTTTTCTTTTTTTTTTTTTTGTTTTGGGCATTTACCTCGGGCCCTCGGCACCGCTTGCCTCGCGTACATACATGTACAGATCATGCATTCAGGCTGTTCTTACCCCTTGCATTTACAATGATTCAGTCCGGCCCAAGAGCCACTCAAGATGGCGGTAGGTTACTCTCGGTTGGTACTGGGGCTGCATGTGTCCGCTCTGGTACGTCTCTGCCCACATGAGACCGCGCTCGTAGTGCTGGATGCCCATAACACCCTGACCGACGTCCCAGGTGGAGATGCCGTTCTCCTCCAGCACCTCCTTGTACTGGAGGTCCGGCAGGGTGATCTCGATCGGGGTGGTCGGGGCCGACTGGAAGCCCAATTCTCCGTTCCATGTCATGTTCTGGATGGCAAGCAAGGTGCCGTTGGTCAGAATGATCATGTCATAGTCGCCGTTGCTGATGAGCACCCGATTCGTCGCCTCGATGACCTGAGGCAGAACGTGCTCGATCGGATTGGCGGAGATATCGCCCTCGCCCTCCGGTCCCGCGTCGCCGCCGATGAACACGCTTTCCGTGGAGCATGCGGACCAGGTGATGTTGGGGGCGTGCAGGGCCGCCTTGACGTCGTCGCGGTCGAAGTATACGGTCGCGCCGGCGGGCTTGTAGTCCAGTGCGGTGGGCATGGCCAGGATGTCCCAGAGGATGGGGCACATCAGGTTGATTTCGTAGATGTCGAAGCAAGGGTTGGACTGCATGGCTTCGTTGTTGATGATATCAAAGACGTCGCAGTCGGCCTCGCTCGTTAAGTTGAATGATTTCGGGGGCTGCACTTCCGAGGGAGGGAAAACCAGGTATTGATCCAGGTAGTCCGCGTAGCCGCAGGACTTATGGAGACTCTCCAACTCCTCCATGAAGCTGGCATTGAAGCCGAATAGGTTGGCGTTCTGCTGGACAAATGGCACTGCGGGCACTTCTTCTTGCACGTAGTCGTGCTGTCCAATACAAGGGTCATACACCAAAGCACCTGCAAAATTCAGATGAGTATGCGACTTGGTTCTCGATTAGTATCGTGAGGGCTTACCGTTAACGTCATAGTATTCTTTATCCTCCTCGTCCAGCATCGCCGCAGAAATGTACGGGACGTAACGGCCTGCATAACTTTCGCCCGTCACGAAGATCTTGAAGTTCTTGATTCCGAAAAGCTTTTGGAAGTTCTTGAAAAAGTCGACGAAATCCTTGGCCGTTTCCTCCTGAGAGACTGCAGTTGGGGTTCCCAAGGCGAATCCGGTTCCGACAGGCTGGTCAACCCTACAACGAAAATTCCGATTAATATTATTGATCAACGAGGATCGACATAGCAATTGAGTGGAACATACCAGAGCACATTGGTTAGGTTCACCCAGGAGTAAGGGTTCTCCACAGGCGCAAAGGTTCCCGGCTGCCACAGGAACCTGCCATTCTCCTGGAAGAAGCCTTCGAGGGAGCTGCAGCCCGGGCCTCCATTGACCCAGATGGTAATCTCATCAACTGGCTCTCCTAGCTTAGGCTGGAAAATGAAGAAGAGGGATTTGGAGCTGTTGCCCTTTTCGATCGGCACAGATCCAGAGTACATCTCTCCTATATCGAAAGGAACATCGGGCAGACTTTCCACGAGGTAGGCTAATCAAAGGTCAGAATTAATTAGCATCACATCTCCAGTACAAGTAATGGCTAATCATACGCTTCGTCTTTTTATCAAGGAATCGGAAATCCTCAGTGGAATGGTTTCCTGGCTTTTGAGTGCCCAGCGGGCTACGCTTAGCCAGCGAGTCACGCGCCTTTCTTCCGAAAGGTCCATGTTTCGCAGCAGAGACGTTGTCTGCGCATAGCGAAACGGCTATGACAGCCGTTGACAAGAGAGAGCGAAAAAGCATCCTGGCATGAATCGCAGGCAAACGGATGGAAACGAACTTCTTCCCTGGTCTCGTCGGGTCATTTTGCGCGGGGAGGGGAGGGTATTTATAATTGAGATCTGACCGCTAATACTATCGTGCAACAACGGCAATCAGGCCGAGCGAAGGGTTAAGCGATGGAATGTGGCGGAGAATTTTGACAAGGCAGCACCAGTATGCTTGAATCTCCCGGTGGGACGCCCAAATTAACCGTTGGAACCTGACAAGTCGAATCCTCTACAGCAAAGACCCTAGCGGAAGACCGATTCCTTTTGTGTTTATGGAGCGAGGCGACAGCCAATGGTCATGATCCTCATATCTGCCCAAGGAGGAGACCAAGGCGGGATAAGGAGGGTAAGCTGCCGGTTGACCTCGGCGTAAAGCTTGACTGGATCACAGCTTCTTGCCTGTGGGGGATCTATTCCGGAGAAGACACGGACTAACAACGCTTTAGGAAGGACGCTAGGATCAGGGATTCTGTGATAAGACATGGTTCCTGGAAAGCGATAAGGCACGTTTCTCAATCCACGGGGTCAACTCGGTTCCCCTTGCAGGTCTTCAATTCGGTTCGTCGTACCTGAGGCTAGAATCCTATCGAACAAATGGATGACCATCTTGGCTGGGTTGGAACCAGGATGGGAGTCAAAGATAGAGTCGCGAGAGGCAGAGAAAAGATAAGCGGAGGCCAACGGAGACCTCCGTCCCTTCAGACTAGCGGAGCGAGTCAACAATCCCCCTACGCGGTTAGTTCAGAGCTTGGGAACGCTAAGCTTTGACTGATGAGGAGAAAGGTGGAGATGCCTCGAATCCGAATTTACCGGTGAGCTGCCCTCTCCCTTCAGTTGCACCATTGCCAGTCTTCTCTTTTGATGGAATAAATATTCCAAACCAAATGATGTGATATTTGTCACGAAAATCAGAATGGAGATGAAGAGAGGAGACTGGGATGGCGATTGCCTGATGAAGCGTCGTTGTTATCGGACGATGTAACCTCAGCCAGATAAGAGCGGGGGCTTCTGATAATCCCGATTATTGATGATTTCATTTCCCATATGCAAACAGATCGGTCTCTCCTTGGGCGAAATGACGAGGGAAGAGCAGCCTATATGCGGCTTTTGCTTCTGGGTAAAATTTTCTTCAGTTTTTTCCGGGTTGTTCGACCTCAAAGATTGATTATACTCCTCCGCAATCATATAATATAGCGGTAATTTGTATGTAGAGACTTATCCCCTCCTCGTCCCCGCATGGAAGCGGGTATGTGATTCCAATACAGATAAAAGTGTCTCAATTGTTCCTAGTCCTTCGTCTGCCCGTTTCAGGGGGAGTTCGGGTTGCTATTTTGTTTGCCAGGGAAGCTTGCGAGTCACTAAGAAGCGGATTCAAATACTATAGGTCTTTCAAAACCTGCATATGCTGGCATTGTGAACTTCTCGAGCTATTTGATTGAAGTGATTGTTTTGTATTCTAGCCAGTGCGGAGTCCTCAGATCTTTGGGGAAGCTCTAGAGGATGAATCACCGTGCTCTCCTTGATAGGCCCTGTCAGTGGCTAGGATGTGGCTTATTTCTTGGGCATGCGCCAAATAAACCGAATCGATTGACTCGGTGGTACTTCCACTTTTCGTCGCCTGCTGGGAGGGCTCAACTGCAGGATATTTGGGGGACAATATCACCTGATTTATGGAATACTAAGTTACTCACGTTGTTTGGAACCCAGCTATGGCCTACCACGATGACTAGGTACTTCCGAGACCTCGCTTTGCTTGGAAAGCCTGGCAAGGCATCCACTTCTCTGGTCACGACAAACCCGAGGCAAACAAGAACGAGAAGGCACAGGCTTTCCTCCACGAGTCTCCTACTCCGGAGTAGTCACACCCAATGTCTTCTGCCAATGTCCTTTTCCCAAAACACACTTCCCCGCTCTTTCCCTGGGTTCAGAATAACCGGATGGACAACATCGAGTCAATCTTGACAGCGGCCGTTTGCCACTGCCTCTTTCATCTGTTGTGATTCACTGTAAGAAGGATTGATCCTCTGAGGATCTCTGAAGATCAGGTAAGTCTTTTCCTTTCGAATTCGCGACCCAAGAAGCGAGTTTAACGATTTCAAATCGCGTCGGTGACATGGGAAGCTGCCCTGGCCTTTTGTAAACGATTCCGAGTCGTTCTTAGGCGTGGAAAAGTGGCTTCTGATCTGCAATGCTTTCTGCGCTGAAGAAAAATTCAGATGAAGCTGTGCTTCTGATTCATCTGGGCACCATCGCTATTCATCAAGAATTTGGCAGCGATCATACAATTAGTGATAATAAGTTGCCCTAGCACATTCGCCATCCAGGGGTATTGTCATTTAAAAGGAGTTCACAATCAGATTTCTCAGTGGTAACACAAATGTCAGATAAAATCCATGAGAAACAAAGTCTCGGGGCAGAATCGGGAAGATCACGTTGGCATCACATGATCCCCCCATTCGGCTCGGCCGAATCAAAGAATCCATCACGACTCGGACTTGTGCTTCATCGGAGATCTGAATAAACTCCTTCAATGGAAATTTAGTCTCGGGCTTTTGTTCAGCCTGTTGAGTGAAACTAGATCTATCAAGGCAGAATGCCCCTTGCTTCCCGGTTTCCAGCCATGGCTTTCCCCGGTGACCCACATGGCTGTTCCCAGCATTTCCCAGATCCATCCAGGAGTTGATGTCTTCACAGCTCCCACAGAATTGAATCTGGCTTTCTCATCCACTCGGAACTTCTGGATTTTTCCAGAGTCGGGCTCATGTGGAATTATAGGATCAGTGTCTGCTTCACCCGCCTAGACCTGTCTGTCTGAATGATTTCTCCATTTACCTTCCTTATACTGTCTAGTGCTACCACGTCGTTCCTTTATTGCGGGGAGAAGGTCCCTGTGCATTGTGGGCGCCGAAAAAAAAAATGAAAAACGCCATCAATCCATTACCTTTGCCAATACCCAATTCCCGCCATTCTCGCCAATAGGATTTATTCCGCCGTGGCGAAACCCCAAAAACGAGGGAGCAAAAGAAAGAAAAAACCCACCTGCACTACACGGCACGAGGCTAACTTCGTGGCCCATAAGATCTCACGGAAATCCATCCGTCGGGCAGTTGTGCTTGTGCCTCCAGAATTTTCTCTCTGGAATATTGCCCTACAATCTTGTTAGGTTCCCAGCACTTCCGCGCTCAACTCGAATTTGCGACGTCTTCGGTGTTTCTTTCTTGCTTGGTGTTTTCTGCTTCAATCATCCAAGACGAAAATAAAAGCGGGGAGAAGTTAGATAGGCATTGGAAAGGACGAAGGTCAACCGTGGCTCACTTCCACCCTCTGTCTATACTAACATGTCCGCAAACATCAGGCCTTTTGGCAACCCAAACACAGACAGAATAGAGCAACGGGATACTAGTGAAGTTTCTCCTCAGACCATTGAACATACCACACGACTTCCTCCATCATCAGAGAAGCAGTTGCCCGATCCATCAAATGCTGCTTATGACGTTAACGATGCCGAAAAACAAGCGCATTCCCAGCCAGAAACCGACCACTATCTGCCACCAGATACGCAGGTGAACCCAGAGAATGATCTCGACCGGCATTCATCCACTGCCCCATCACATCGCTCCGTACATAGCGCTCCTATGAGTCGTGTGACTACCGACGCCGATGGAAACACTTACCCCGAAGGTGGACTGGAGGCTTGGCTGGTTGTCTTCGGCAGCTGGATGGGTCTTTTCGGCTCTCTGGGTTTGGTCAACACCATTGGGACGTTCCAGGCATATCTCGAGAATCATCAGCTGAAAGAGTATAGCTCTGGCAAGATCGGTTGGATATTTGGCATGTATGCATTCCTGACCTTCTTCTGTGGTGTCCAAATCGGTCCTATATTTGATGCCAAAGGCCCTCGGCTTCTTGTCTTCGCAGGCTCGTTATTAATCGTGGTCATGATGATTGCGATCGGATTTTGCACTCAATACTGGCATTTCATGCTCGTTATTGGCGTCGCCGGAGGATTGGGAGCTTCTCTCATTTTTACCCCAGCCATTTCTGCCATTGGCCATTACTTCAATGAGAAGCGTGGTGTTGCCACTGGCCTTGCCGCAACCGGCGGCTCTGTTGGGGGGATTGCATTTCCGCTCATCCTTGAACGATTGTTCCCCAAGATCGGCTGGGCATGGGCAACCCGTGTTGTTGCATTGATTTGCTTAATCTTGGTGGTTTTTGCATGTCTTTTGATCAAATCCCGGCTGCCGAAGAAACCAGCTTCGAAGGAAAATGTTCTTCCCGACTTCACTATATTCCGGGAGCCCAAATTCGCTCTTACAACAGCTGGCATTTTCTTTGTGGAGTGGGGGCTTTTCATTCCGATCAGTTACATTTCTTCTTATGCTTTGGCACATGGAGTGTCTAATCAACTATCATACCAGATGGTGGCCATCTTAAACGCAGGATCGTTTTTTGGAAGATGGATTCCGGGCTTTGTTGCCGACTACCTAGGACGCTATAACACTCTTATAGGGACAGTGGCCCTATGTATGGTTTGCAATGCTTGTCTTTGGCTCCCCGCTGGAGACAGCGTTCCAGTGATGATCGTATACAGTGTCATCTTTGGCTTTGCCAGCGGCAGCAACATCAGTCTTACTCCAGTTTGTATTTCACAACTGTGCAAAATTGAAAACTACGGAAGATATTACGCCACGTCATACACAATCGTGAGCTTTGGGTAAGTTTAAGAATTTCTTCTTTCGTCTCTCCATTCGGTCCGGTCCAGAATGATCTAACCATCATGTACATAGAACTCTCACTGGTATTCCGATTGCAGGTGAAATACTTTCGCGTTGCAACGGGGAGTACTGGGGACTTATTGCCTTCACGACTTGCTGCTACGCTGCCGGACTTGCTTGTTGCATCGCAGTGAAGGTCATTCATGTTGGCTGGCGCCATCCTTTGGCACTTTACTGACGCCTCTTGAACTGTTGTCCATGGGGTCACAGACGCGAGTTGTATTCCCCAAAGAAGGACCACAGAAGCAAAAGGAAAGCCAGAAAAGAAAATGGAATTCAAAAAAGAAAAAAAGAAAAGAAAAAAACAAATTAACAACCACGAGACATAATGTTTTCATGACTAGCACTTCAGCATTATGGGGAGGGCGACTAATGCTCGTCTCTTTTCACTCGTCTTTTCGACTCTTACCTACTTTCCCACCTAAAAGTCTTTCAACCCCGAGTGTCAAAATATACGCCACGCATAACGACTCGGAAATGTCCTCCGGCATCATACCCGCAGAGCAGGTCTAGAACTTACATAGATCCGATCTCCGTCACTGTGATTCCTCTTTTGGCGTCATCATTACTGGATTCCGACGAGCTCCCATAGGACGACATCATTTTCCATTTAATACACGCATACGATGACATATTATACCATCATGTTCCAGACAATACTAGTACATATATCGCTCGACTGATTTCCCCCCTCTTCCCCTCTCACAACCTCTTGATTCTCTACACCTTTTTCTGATCAGATCCGGTTTGCTTAGGATCTCATCATCCATTAATAATTCAGGTTGTCAAATCAACACATGCCTCCCTCGGTGAAGACCTTGATCATAGCTGCCGCGTCATGTGGTCTCCTTGTCCGTGATGCGGCAGCTGTCCCTGCGTCCGTCAGCACTCCGTCTAACGGGCCTGTTCCTTCAGCCCCTCCAGAAGGCGTTGCTCCTACCCCGGGTCCTTCCAAGTCAAGTGAGGTCGCACCCCCACCTGGGGCGTCGACTCCGCCGGAGATACCTCAAAGTCATCCGCCTACTTTCAAGATGACTCCTTCTCCCTCTTGCCCCGGCCAGTCCACGGTTACTGTTACTGTCTGCCGTACGAAGTGCCCAAGTAGTAGCTCGCCCTCTGTGCCTCCCAAGCCTACTACAACATCGCCCGGTGGCGGTGGTCCTGGAGGCGGCGGCCCCGGCGGAGGCGGTCCTGGCGGTGGTGGCCCTGGCGGTGGTGGCCCCGGCGGAGGTGGCCCCGGCGGAGGCGGTCCTGGAGGCGGCGGCCCCGGTGGTGGTGGACCCGGTGGTGGCGGCGGCCCTGGCGGAGGAGGAGGTCCTGGTGGTGGTGGTGGCCCTGGCGGCGGAGGCGGCGGAGGCGGAGGCGGAGGAGGTGGTGGTGGTGGTGCAGGCGGTGGCGGTCCTGGAGGTCCTGGTGGCGGAGGAGGCCCTGGTGGCCCTGGAGGAGGTGGTGGTCCTGGTGGTGGAGATGGTCAACGTCCATGCCCAACAGGCGGTCCCGGCGGAGGCGGTCCTGGAGGCGGCGGCCCTGGAGGAGGCGGTCCTGGTGGTGGACCAAGTGGTACAAGCCCCGGTGGCCCTGGCCCAAGTGGTGGTGGCCCCGGCGGCGGCGGTCCAGGAGGCGGCGGTCCAGGAGGCGGCGGTCCAGGAGGTGGAGGTCCAAGTGGTACAAGCCCCGGTGGCCCAGGCCCGAGTGGAGGCGGTCCTGGAGGCGGCGGCCCTGGTGGAGGCGGTCCTGGTGGTGGACCAAGTGGTACAAGCCCCGGTGGCCCTGGCCCAAGTGGTGGTGGTCCTGGCGGCGGCGGTCCAGGAGGTGGAGGTCCAAGTGGTACAAGCCCCGGTGGCCCAGGCCCGAGTGGAGGTGGCCCCGGAGGAGGCGGTCCTGGCGGTGGCGGACCTGGAGGTGGTGGTGGCCCTGGAGGTGGTGGTGGTGGTCCTGGGGGTGGTCCCAGCACCAGTCCATGTCCTACTCCAGGAGGCGGAGGACCAGGAGGCGGAGGACCAGGAGGCGGCGGGCCTGGCGGCGGAGGACCCGGCGGAACGAGCCCCGGCGGAGCGGGACCAAGCAGCAGCGGACGACCCGGCGGCGGAGGCCCCGGAGGTGGTCCTGGCGGCGGAGGTCCTGGAGGCGGAGGTCCCGGCGGAGGAGGAGGCGCCAGCAGCTCACCCTGCCCGTCCTGCCCACCATGCCCCAGCAAGACAGCGGGACGACCATCCCAGAAACCAGGAATCGGCGGCAATGGCGGCAGCGTCATTCAAACACCAGGACCCTCATCCTCTCGTCCCGGGTCCAGCGCAACGCCATCCTTCTCCACCATCTCCATCCAAATCCCCTCCTCGACTCCCGGAGCGAGCAGTTCCAACGTGCGACCTCCATCCACCAGCGCCGTCCCCGCCATTTCAAGTACGCCTGCGCCCACACCAACCCCAGCCCCGACTCCAGCCGAAGACCCCGATCCCGACACATCTGACTCCGACTCCGACGATGAGATCCCGGTGGAAGAAGAGCGCCGAAGGAACGCGAAGAAGAAGGACAAGATGCCGTTCGCGAAGAGACGAGAACAGGCTCGTGCGTTACGAGGCAGCCACCCCGGCAACGAGGACGAGGACTCTTCTTCTAGACCGGTTATTTTCCGTCATGGGTGGTGGTTTTAAGTTGAGATGGCCTCCTGTCTTGGGGTGGTTGGGACTACCTATTTATTGATTACTTCCATGAGGGGAACTAGGAAAGGAGGGTTACGGAGATAGATGAAGGGAGGGCGAAGTAGGAGGGATAGGATTTCATGTGTGTCTGTTTGTCTGTGTTTGTTCTGTTTCTCGGTTGGTATCGTCGATGTCTTATCCATTCTATCCTGCCTCTTCGGTTTGATGGGAATAGGCGTAGAATGGATGAAGCACCTATAACTATCCTAATTAATTGCAGTGTTAATAAATAATGAGAATGCAATGGATGAATGAATGACTGAAACATGAACGGTGAGGCGACTGGTTATGGCTATCAATCTAATCAGGAATGAAATCTACCGTGGCTGCTTATGTGTTACTTCTAATTTATTTCAAAGTCGGAAGTTGATCGTCGTCTGCACTTGCACTCAAGCAGCGGTGATCAATGTATCTCATTTGCCAATGGGGAAAATCGACCCGTACATGGCAAGGAAAATAAACGTGGACGGGATAAAGACAAGGCAAGAAATAAAAAGTCACTGGCTAAGAGGGAGCGTCCAGACTCCCAGGCCAAAAATTGCATGTGCTAGTATAAAAATAAAGAAAAGGAAAATAGAAAAAAGATGGTAAAGAGGAATATGGAAGATTAAATACAATACAAATGGGAATTCCCCGGCGCAGGACCTGAGTGCTTAGCAGGGGAGAGAAAAAAAGGTTGAGTTAGATGAGGAAAGTAGAAAACAAGAATGAGATCCGGGCAAAAAATAAAGAAAAACAACATTGCAACAGATGCAAGAAGAGTAATCTTCCGTCAATCAGGGGGATGCTGGCTCCTCCGCAGATTGACTTAATTCGCCCATATTTGTTTCCATCCCATACCGCAGGTTTATTTGGAACCCCAGTGGTTTCCATGCGCCAAACACCTTACACCAGAAAACAGCTGGCGTATCAAATAACATCCGAAAATCAACAATGACAATATAATACGATCAGACGAGAAAGATAAAACCGAGGCCATCGTTTGAACTGTCGACATGATACCAGCGACAAAGACATGCGTGATTTTGACCAAAGACATCAGGGGGAGGGATGAGGTAGAGAGGGAAAAGCAGAGAACAAAGAAGAGATAGCGAGAGGCAGAGGTCAAAGGAGGTTTTTGGAGGAATCAAGAATCAAGAGAAGAAGTGTTTCCCCGAAAGAAGAGAAAGGAAAAGGTAGCCACGTGAATCGAAGAAAATCCAAACAGGTAAATGATCAAAGGCACCGTCAGGAGGTCGCCATGCGAAAGAACAGTTCTTACAAGGCGCGCAAATGGAAATGAAAAAAGGGTATAAAGTTTGCATCGAAGTCACTCGAAAACTTGAAAAGAAAAAAGCGAACGCATGTCTTCTGAAAACGTCTCACGAGCTGTTGGATCGCAACAATGCCTATATACCGGGTTAGAATGGTTCTTATGAAGTTTTCGAGCACCATGCGGAATTTACCCTTTCCACGGAAAGTTCGTCGGCTTTCTCGGTACTGGGACTCGCAAGACTGGTCCGGTTGACGGCGCTGGTTGCAGTCATTGACCTAGGTTCGACGGTAGGGCGCGGGCTTTTGCTGCTGTCGGAGCTCGTGTGATGAACCGGATGCATTTCGCCGCTACTCGAGATTCGCGACTCCTTGCTCTTCTCTAATAATGACCCACCCAGCGTAGCGCACTTGAGGATGGTCTGCATCATTTGGTTCTGCTTCAGTGGTTTCGATAGATATTCGTCCATCTGGGCCTGTATGCACTTCTCTCGATCACCTAACATGGCATGTGCCGTGAGGGCGATGATGGGCGTTCGGCTCAAACCGGACTCCCTCTCGTACTCTCGAATCTTGCCGGTGGCTTCGAAACCACCCATGACGGGCATCTGGACGTCCATCAAGATCACATCATACCGGCGTTGCTTGACGGCTTCGACGGCCTCCAGGCCGTTACTGACGACCGATACATTGTGGTTGTGTTTCTCCAGGATCTTCACCGCCAGCTTTTGGTTGACATCGTTATCCTCTGCAAGCAAGATGTCAAATGATCGAGAGTGGTCGGTGGTGATTGGCGTGGAGCGTCCTTCGAGAGCAGGGAGCATGCCGTTGCCGAGGTCGATGGGCTGGCACGGTGTGGTCATGTAGGAACTGATTCCTAGGTCCAGAGCAGATTTCAGGCTCACGCAGACCAACGGGCAGACCAGGACGATGGGAACGTATTTGAAATCATCGAACGTCCGAAGCAGCCGTGCCGTGCCAACGGAGTCCACGATGATCACATCGTATGCGTGGCCTGATTCCTTGCCCGAAGGATCTTGAATCTCGGGCGGAGGAACATGGTCCTCGTTCCGTACGACCAACGGCTCCAGATCAATCTGCTTGAGCATTTTCATGACATTCTCTGCCTGACCACCGTTCTCTCCCTTGTCGATGAAGAGGACCCGGTGATTCTTGTACGGCAACAGTTGGGATGCAATGACACTCAACGACTGGTCGGCAAGTTTTACCACACAAGTGAAGTGGAAGGTACTGCCATGACCGTACTCGGAAGTCACCCAGACATCACCACCCATCAAGTTCACCAGGCGTTTAGAGATGGACAGACCCAGACCGGTTCCACCGAACCGCCGCGTGGTCGAGCCATCGGCTTGTTGGAAGGTGTCGAAGATGAGATCAAGTTTATCCTCCTCGATACCGATACCTGTATCCGAGACAGAGAATTCAAACGCATACTCATTCGCGGCGCACTGCTCCCGGTCTGACTTGCAGATCGTGAGCTTGACTTCTCCGTGTTCGGTAAACTTGATGGCGTTGCCGACCAGGTTGAGGATGATCTGGCGAAGACGGAAAGGATCACCGATGACATAGTCCGGTACGGTGTTGTCGACCTGGTAGGTCAGGCTGAGGAACTTTTCGTTTGCTTTCACCGCCAAGGTCTTCAGCGCGTTGAAGACAGTGCCCCGGACTGTGAACGGGATGCTTTCGATAACCATTCGGTTGGCTTCGATCTTCGAAATGTCGAGAATATCATCGATGATGGTCAACAGACTGTTCGCAAGGTTATGCACCACGTTCAACATCTCCCGAGTATAGGGCTTCAGGTCGTCCGTGTCCAATGTCAACTGCGTCATGCCGATGATACCGTTCATAGGCGTCCGGATTTCGTGACTCATATTGGCCAAAAATTCGGATTTGGTGCGGTTCGCCAACTCGGCGGCCTCCCTGGCAGCGGTGTTTCGTTGGATACTATCACGAAGGTTCGACACCATTTTATTGATCTTCCGTTTCAACTCGTCCATCTCTCCGGATGCGTTGACGGTGATCAGTTTCGTGAAATCGCCGTCGGTTGCTGCGTCCGTGATTTCACCAAACGCTCGCACCTGAGACGTCAAGTTCTCGGCCATCGTGTTGACGTCCTCCGTAATTTCCTTCCACGTTCCGGCGATACCTTCGACGTTGGCTTGACCACCCATCTTCCCGTCAACGCCGACATCACGGGCGACCTTCTTGAGCTCGGTGGCAAATTTCGCCAATCGGTCCACCATGTGATTGATAGTGACCTTGAGGGTCAAGATTTCTCCCTGGGCGTGGACTTCAATCTTCTTGCTCAGGTCACCCTTGGCGATGGCTTGCGTGACATCCGAGATACTTCGGACCTGAGAGGTCAAATTCTGCGCCATGGTGTTGACGTTGTCGGTCAGGTCCTTCCACTTGCCCTCCACATTGTCTACCTTGGCCTGACCACCCAACGTACCGTCCGTGCCGACCTCTCGAGCGACCTTGCTGACTTCGAAGGCAAATGTATTCAGTCGGTCCACCATGCCGTTGATCGTACTCTTCAGATCCAGTATTTCACCTTGGACGTTGGCGGTGACCTTCTTGGTCAGATCACCCTTCGCGACCGCGGTGGTGACGTCGGCAATTTCTCTGACCTGGGTGGTGAGATTGTTGGCCATCCGGTTGACATTCTCGGTCAAGTCCTTCCAAGTACCTTCCACGTCGTTCACCGTCGCTTGGCCACCGAGAACACCATCCGTGCCGACCTCCTTGGCAATCTTGGTTACTTCTTGAGCGAACTGCCGCAGTTGGTCCACCATGGAATTGATGATGTTCTTCAGCTCCGCGATTTCTCCCTTGCAGTTGGCCTGGACCTTCTGGGTAAGGTCACCCTTGGCCACAGCCTTGGTGACCGTGGCGATATCTCGCACTTGTGTTGTTAAATTATTCGCCATGGCGTTGACATTGACTGTGAGTTCGTTCCACATTCCTTGAACACCCTCGATCTGGGCCTGTCCACCCAAAACACCTTCCGTACCGACATCACGGGCCACACGAGTGACCTCCGTCGCAAATGTCCGAAGTTGATCCACCATGGTATTAATGGTCTGCTGGAGTTCCAAGATTTCACCCTGAGCGCGACTTTCGATCTTCTGACTCAGGTCTCCGTGGGCGACAGCGGTAGTGACGGCAGCAATCTCACGCACTTGATCCGTGAGATTCTTGGCCATGATGTTGACGTTTTCCGTAAGTTCCTTCCATATACCATGAACACCGGTGATCTGAGCCTGGCCGCCAAGGATACCCTCCGTACCGACTTCTCGCGCTACTCGAGACACCTCGCTACCGAAAACTTGCAGCTGGTCCATCATGGTATTGATTGTCCGTTTGAAGGTGGCGATCTCCGGGTCCATCTCCAGGGGGTGGATCTGCACCTTCATCGACAAGTCACCGTTGGCTACTTGCGTGATGATGCCGCCGATTTCCCGTAAGGCCTTCTGGAAAGCCTCGTTGGCTTGCTGGTGTTTGCGCAGCTCTCGCTCCAGCAGAACGACGTCCTCGTTCTCGACCTTGGTCAGAGCCCGCCGCGTCTGCTCCTCCTGTTGCTGCAGCTCATCACGGACTTGGGCGATGATATCCTTCTGGAAACTGATTTCCTCCGCCTGCTTCTGGACATGGTTCCGTAGGTAGCTGATATCCTC